GTTATGGCCCTGGTTGGTCTCTATTAGAAGGACCCTGTCTGATGTGTGGCACTTTGTAAGGTGGCTTGTATGCAGAAGGACAGCAGGGAGCACCAAGTCAGTTCTGCCACTACCCACCACCCAAGGCTAGCTCTGAAATATCAGACCAGTTGCCTGATGTTGGCCTTTTTTTTCTTTCTCAGCTGTTACTAGAATGAGTGTATAATGCATGAAATTTAGCTCCTTTGAAACATGGTTTTCCTGTTGAGGCATTGAAGATGCGCCTACTCCTGGGTAGCAGGTGAACTGTCTGAATGAGGGGATCTGGGTGGGTTCTTTGGTCAGCCACCCAGAAAGAAAAAAAAAGGGGGGGGTGACTCTCCTTAGTCTGGGAATTGAGTTCTGGAGGTGGCCTTCCCCCCACAGCACACTGTGAGGGCTTCCCATGTCATGGTGTGTTCCAGGATTGGTCCTAAGAAGGAACACCACTCCACTCCTGGGAGTGTCTTGTTCTAGAACTACTGTTGTCAATTTATATTCAGTTTGGGGTTACCAGTTTTAGAAGTCCTGGTACCTATTGGGAAAGTTCCCACTTTCTCAAGGAGGGTCTTCCTTAGCTACGCATCTGTTTTTTCCTCTCAACTTTGGAGAAATATTGTATTCATTTTTCTTTAAAAAGGTATGGAATTTGGGGATAATTGGCTTTTTTTTATTACAGTCGTTATCCATGTACGTTTCTCCAATTTGGGGGGAGGTTGTCATTGTTTTTAAATTCCTCCACACAGTATTTCCCATTCCTTAAGATTTACTTATTTTTATTGGAAAGTCAGATTTACAGAGAGGAGAGAAAGATCTCCTATCCACTGGTTCACTCCACAAACAGCTGCAACGGTTGGAGCTGAGCCATTCTAAAGCCTGGAGCTAGAAGCTTCTGTTGGGTTTCCCAAGTGGGTTCAGGATCTCAAGGCTTTGAGCCATGTTTGACTGCTTTCCCAGGCCTCAAGCAGGGAGCTGGATGGGAAGTAGGGCAGCCAAGACACGAACTGGCACCCATACAGATGCTGGTGCTTAGGGTGGAGGATTAGCTAATTGTGTCAATGTGCCAGCTGCTTCCGATTTCTCATGCCTTGTCTACTATATACCATATGGGTCTAGCTCTAGACCCTCTGTTCTGTGTCATTAATCTACCAGTTTTCTCCTTGGCCAAAACTGTTTTAATTTTACAGATTTAAAGTATTTGCTTATTAATCCCGATGATCTTACTGGGTAAGTCATCCCCCACCTTGACCTTTGGGCCATTGTTTGCCAACCTCTGGCTTAAAAGATCATGCAATGCATTGACTATAGGCTCCAAAATGAAGTTTCTCCAGAGAATTCAATATGTTTCAGCCCAGATGTAGCTACAACCATGGTCTCTTTAGATTGGGCATATCACTTCATTCAAAAGTATTTATTACCAAAATTTTATCCATAGCCATTACACACATTTTTGTATAAACAAGCATACAGGTTTGTTCAAATTGGAAAAATATTTTCTTCAGTATCTGTCTTATCATGTTAGATATTCTCCTGAATATGATGTGAATGCCTTCAGAGGCAGTCCTTCATCCAAACTGTTACAATGCATTATTCTGAGATGGTGTCACTTCAGCAAGTAGAATTTCATCTGATTAAACCCCTTTATTGGAATTACAAATGTTAAGAAAAAAACAATCTAGGATCTAATGACCTTTATAACTAAAAAAAAACAAATGGTTTGTCATCCAGCATTGACTTCTAATTTTTTAAACCTTTCCTCTGATTACGGCACAAATGCGTAAAAAAATTGGCTCATGCAACAAGTTCATTTGAGAAGCCATCCAGATCATCTGTGAAGAAAGACTACAGGGTCCTTTGCACGTTGTCGTGTTTTACTAACATCTGACTTAGGCAGATGTGAGACAAACACCTCAATTGCTGACTTGGAATTAAGCCAAGTGTGTAAAAACAGCTTTGCTATGCAAAAGAAATGGAGTCTAATTTTCTCATTACTGTATTCCTAATACATTAAGATCCTGTGTAAATACTGGCTGAACTAATAGTAGGAAGTACTGTTAATTGTTTTATAAATTTTTTAAACTTCCACTTTGAACAAAACACTTCAAATGTAGTACTAGGAGAATCCAGGGACTCAAGTCCTGTTGACATGCTCTGTGGGAGGAGGGGAAGCCTACCTGTGGGCCTAATCTGCTTGTTAGGTGAGCCTACGGGTCCCATCACTGCACCTGCAGATGCGATGGCATAGGGAGAATGCAGGTGGGTACAGGTTTGTGCACTTCAGCCAGTAATTTCATGTGCACATACCTTAGGATGGGTATACAGGTCCCGTGATGTACTTCAAAGTGTTGGATTTGCAAGTGCTTGATTAAGTAACTTCAAAAATACTAATGTTTGAAAAGATAAAGCTTCACCATGATGTCAGGGAAAATATTAAGTTTTTATATCAACATTTCAGAGAAGCAATTGGTAAGTCCGTTATTTTTCTGACTGCTAAAGGCACATTGTGAGAAAAGGTCCATTAAATTTTATTACATTTAGTATTTTAATTTTTAAATTAAATTTTAAATGTTGAAAAGATATAGCTTGGTGCAGAGTTCAGATATTGATGTTGAATTAAAGTCATTATTGATTCCATGAAATTTGGTGAGTTGAACTGACTTTAAAGATGCAGAGAAAAATGCTAACATAGAAGTTTTTCTAAAGATGTCTCACTCACCTTTCAAGTGTGAAGTTTAACTAAAAGCTAGTTATTTAGCAGCAAATTACTGTGTGGGAATTTACTGCTAGTGACCTATACATTAAGCACAGTTCCAGTGAAAAACTTCTCTTTTTGGAGTCTATCATTTCTTAGGGTAAGACTGTTCATGACACTCTCCTGCTTATTCCATTCACCATGCTTTTACACATTAAGCCCTTGGCACCTAGTGGTTAACCAATAACAGGAGATGGTAGCTACCCAACGAGATAGAGAGAATGAAGGTATAAGGTAGTACACTGTGAGGACAGTTACTCTGTAGAATGACAACTTGAGACATTTTTTGGTTAAAAGGACAGTATTTACGTGACAGATGGAGTTTCCAACTAAAATGCACCAAACAACAAACTAAAAGTAAACAACTTTAAAGAGGTAGCCACAAACCCAGTTGTTTTAGACTGGCCTTCCCAAGATAGTCAATGTGTGGGCTGACAGGTGTAGGTCATGGGTGATAGTGGTTGTGTGATGCCGAGATGTCCAAGAGATGCCAGCATGTGCAATGTGGATGCAGAGGGAAGTGTTCATGCTCACAACAGCGTTTTTGGACATAACTGTGAGCAGTCTTAACCTAAGCACTGTGTCTTGTTCTGGCCCCAACAGCTGAGAAGAGTAACTGATGAAGAAGCTGAGCTCAGAGCTCATGGACTGCTTAGGGCCCGAAGTGTGTAGTTCCCAGGAGTCTTTTAACCTAGTGACCAAGTCAAAGGGTGGGGTGTATTCTAACTGAGGGAGAAATCCCAATAGGATTCAAGACTTGCCCTCCTGATGTGCATTCATAGAATAGCCTGCTGTTACCAAGATGGTCAAAACAGGAGGAGGAATATGCAGGATTACCTGAGTGCTTGCTTTTGAAGAGTCCAGAAAATCCTTAAAACAAACCTAGGCCTGTTATTACTGGATGCTTTTAAATCTTTATAAGATATTTACAATAACTTTTATGTGGTAAGTATCAAAAATGTTGAAAATAACTTAAAAAGTTGGACTCAGTTACCTAATTCTCTCTATAAACAAAACACAAACCTTTGGCTAACACAGACATTAATGAGCTAATTTTTGGGTTTTCTAAACAATCTAAATCTCAGGCCTGGCACAGTAGTCTAGCAATCAAAATCCTTGCCTTGCATCCAAAGTCAGGATCCCATATGGTCCCCGGTTCTAATCTCGGCAGCTCCACTTCCCATCCAGCTCCCTGCTTGTGGCCTGGGAAAGCAGTCAAGGACAGCCCAAAGCCTTGGCACCCTATACCCGCATGGGAGACTGGAAGAAGCTCCTGGCTCCTGGCTTTGGATCACCTCAGCTCTGGCTGTTGTGGCTTACTTGGGGAGTGAATCATCGGATGTAAGACCTTTCTCTCTTGTCTCGCCTCCTCTCTGTATATCTGACTTTCCAATAAAAATAAATAAATCTTAAAAAAATCCGATTCTCAAGCTAAAATTTTTCTCTTACTATGTGGGTTGTCAAGAGTTAATAATGTCTTATGCTGTTATTTGAAGCTTAATGGCATTAAGATCAAAGGATTTCATTTTGACTTGATTTTTATATCTACGTAAAACCACCATTGTTACTGGTTTCTAGATTTTTGTGCAAGTTTTGTTGGTAGCAGCATGGATTCACATTGGAAACAAATATTTTTTTCTATCTTGCTCACATCTGAATTCTGGCAACACATTCCTAAGATTATTTCAAAGCCAGAATGACAGATAAACAACTCCTTTTTTCCAAAGCTCCTTGTAGGACCAGGCCAAAGCCAGGAGCCTAGAGTTTCATCTGAGTCTCCTTCATGGGTGGTGGGGTCCCAAACACCTTGGCCAGCTTCTGCTGCTCTTCCAGGACCATTATCAGGGAGCTGGATCAGAAATGGAACAGCCAGGATGTGAATCAGCATTCTGATACGGATTCTGGTGTTACAAGTGACAGCTTAATCCATTGGGCCAAAATGCTGGCCACAGGACAGCAGCATTTTTAGCACAGCTGGTCCTTTAAGTCAAGGCTTACACAAAAAGGTTGGAGAACATGTGGGACTGGATCTTCTAGTTATGTATCAGAAACTCATACTCAAAGCATTTGGTCTGGTGGTTACCCCATTGTCTCTGTATTATTGGCCATTAAAAATATACTGGGATGCTTCTCAGAAGGCCCGAACCCATAGTTTTGTTTTTAAAACATCTCACTGCAAATTCATCCACACTTACAGATAGTCAGCCTGGGGGAAGGCTAGCATATATTGTCAAAGTTAGCAGTACCTTTATTCATTAAAAGTCATTTAAAGGCAATTCACATGACTTATATATCTTTTAATATTGTTTTAACTGACATTCTCCAGTTATATGCAAATAGCAAAATTAGGCAACTTCCATTTTTTATAGAACTGGCATCTTTTATATGGCCATGGGGACTTCTTGGTATTGGTTGTAGATTATATGTGTTTGTTTAGACTGCAATCCACCTTAAAAATCTTGCGTATTTCAAGTGTTTTTGTTCTGAGAAGTAGGTACGAAAAATGACGACGTGGGCGTGGTTTTTTCTGTGTAGTTCAGTGCTCTCCACAGGCTGCCAGGCTCTGATTTGACCCATCTTCCTCACCTTAAATAGATCCCTGAATTCACTTTTCTGCATATACTTCCTTTTTGCTCTCACTGGGACTGAAGTTCATGTTGGAAGTCTATGCCTTCAAACTTCATTGAGGAACTCCAGGTTGAGACAAGCTGGGATATGGATGGAGTCCATGGTCAGAGAGGATGGGTTAAATGGAAACAAAACAGGGAACATGTGTTTGAAGTCTAACAGCAATTGCTGCGGGTCGTTCCGATCTTGCAGTTGTGCCTGTGGGAAGAGAGGTAAGACTGAGTGAATACTTATGACACCCAGCAACAGCCAGCTAAGGTGGATCACACAAAGGAAGCAGCCTATGCCACAGGAAGATTTCCATGATAATTACATTAAGACCTCAGGAAATTGGGGCCTGTGAGGTGTTTACTGTGAGGATACGTTAGGCTTGTTAGAGAGCAGATAGCCATTTTTAGACCTAACATATGTTCTAGAGACAGCCAACTTGAACTGCTACCGTGCCACTACTCTGGGCTAATTCCAAAACCTTTCTTAGTCAGTTTCCTCTCCTCTAGATTGGGGAACAGTAACATCACATAAAATAGCAGCAGATGGAACTCCAAGAGTTGGTCCATCCATTTAAACATCCATTAAGTTGGAGAGTGAGTGGAATGGATACTTACAAAATAACTAAGGAGGGCATTTGATGAAGGAAGAGGCTGGGAGAGCAGTGTGTTTGAACTAGCCACCCACCCACCCACCCACCCATTCTTCAGCCGTAATGTAGCCATGGGGTTAGCAGCTTGCATCTTTGCAGCAATTGTTCTGGTTCTAGGGCAGGCAATGGGACCCTGTCTTCCAAACTTGGGGATTATGCGTTTCGGTGGGTCTCGTGCATCCCACATAGGCACCTGCCTTGGCTTGGGCATCTCTTGGGGGATGCAGTAGCTTTCTCTGGTAGGACTGGGAGTGGTGAAAGCAGCAGAGCTCCCTCTACCTTCTCCACCCAAACCCCATCTGAAGCCAGACATTTTAGGAAATGTATAATCAAGAAAGATTCACTAATGGAGTTCAACAGCAGGCTTGATCATGAAGAAAGGCTCTCAAAAACAAGCCAGTTTGAAAAAAGTTTGAGTAACAAATAACAGCGCCTGTGGGACTATGGTGCATGTCAGTATATACATTATTGGAGTTCTAGAAGGGAAAGAAAGTGAGGATTGGGCAACAGAATATTTGAAAGAATAGTGTCCCCAAACTCCCTATATCTGATAAAAGGTATGTATATACATCTGCAAGAAGGTCAGCCTACCCCAAGTTTTAAAGCATCCATGTGACATCACATGAGTATATGCATAAAATGTGAAATGGCAGGAGGGGTTCTAGAAGGAAAGCCTTTTTGAGAGCATTAGACGTCCTGTTACTTCTCCCCACCATTCACATGTGTTAGGAGGCAGTGGTGTCTTAAAGAGCTTGAAGAAACTGAAGGATTTAGGGACAAAAAGTTAAAGGTTACCTAATAATCTTTAGGGTTATTATGTAGACAGCAACAAAAGGTGTTAGACATTTAATTCAGCAAAATCTGCAAGGGGATCTTTATGAGATAGCTACCTCTTGGTGAGTTTAACAATTCAGATTTACATTTTTATATTTTGAAGTTTTTTAAACTTTATATGTTAAAAGTATAATGCATTATGTTTTGATATATGTGCATTTTTTAAAGATATATTTTTTATTGGAAAGTCAGATATACAGCGAGAGGAGGAGAGACAAAAAGGAAGATCTTCTGTCTGCTGATTCAATGACTGCAATGGCCAGAGCTGAGCCAATCCGAAGCCAAGAGCCAGGAACTTCCTCTAGTTCTCCCATGCGGGTACAAGGTACCGAGGACTTGGGCCATCCTTGACTGCCTTCGCAGGCCACAAGCCGGGAGCTGGATGGGAAGCACAGCCACTGGGACATGAACCGGCCCCCATATTGGATCCTGGCACGTTCAAGGCGAGGACTCTAGCTACCAGGCTATTGCACCGGGCCTGATATATGTGCATTTTTAACACCACATACTGCCTGTAGCACCATGCAAAGGCTTTGTTCAACATGCCTGTATAGGAGTTCAAGTGTAGTAGAGTGTATTGGGAAAAAGCAGAACAGCCACACAGCTGACTAAAACCCGATGACAGGCCTGATGCGGTAGCCTAGTGACTAAATCCTTGCCTTTCGTGCCCAGAATCCCATATGGGAACCATTTCATATCCTGGCTGCTCCAGTTCCTGTCTAGCTCCCTACTTGTGGCCTGGGAAAGCAGCAGAGGATGACTGAAAGCCTTGGGACAATGAACCCACACGGGAGACCTGCAAGAAGTTCCTGGCTTCAGATCGGCTCAGCCTCGGCTACTGCGGTCATTTGAGGAGTGAACCAGCAGACAGTTCTGTCTCTCCTTTCTGTAAATCTGCCTTTCCAATAAAAATACATTGTAAGAAAAAAAAATTCAATGACAAAAATCATGGTTTTGGGGGGAAGGGGAAGGAATTGCCAAATACTGCAATCAGTTACTGAGGAAGACTTAATCTGATAGTACCCAGGTACTGCAGAAAATCTGGGGAAACACATTTAAAAGAAGAGTTTACTTCGAGGTAAACACCTTTTAAAATCCATAGTATCATATGCATTGTCCATGAACTCTTGAATGAGAACACATATCGCATCTACTGCTAACTTTTCAAAGTTCCCTGGGACACATGCTTGGAGACTGCTGACACTTCACCTCCATTACATCTGTGCTGGGTAGGCGGCTCCTTGTGCCTGCAGTCTGACTTGGCAGGCATTCTTTGACCTATGCCCTGAAGTTTCTCCTTGGAGAGAGTGCTGTGCCAGTGTGTAAGCAGCTGAGGAGCTTTCCCCCTCCCGATATTCAAAACCAAGAAAGACTCTCTAAACTTGGACTTGAGTTTGTGTAAATTATTAGCTCTATAAAAATCAGCAGTGCTTGCTTTGGCAGCACATATATTAAAACTGAAACGATACAGAGATGATTAGCATGGCTCCTGCGCAAGGATGACATGCACATTCATGAAGTGTTCAATATTTAAAAATAATAATAATAAATCAGCAGTGGGTCCAGGGTCGTGTCTCTTAGTGGCTTCTTGTCTGTTGTCCAACTCTTCTTCTGGCTCCCCTTTCCACAACTGACTTCCTACCTACATGTATGGATCCCTGCTGGGGCCTTTCAGATGCAACCCCTTGACTGGGCCCTGTTGGCGAGTCTGCCACCTGTACCTTTAACAATCCAGGGCATGAAGAAAATACCCTCTGGTCCAATTCCACAGCCAGCCCTTCCCCGACCTTTGCTTCTATCAGCTACTGACACAGGAGATTAAAGTTCACTGATTTTTTGCTTCAGTTCTTCTCAGACTATGGACTCTACGCTCAGACATGTGTAAGGAATAAACCTAGGACCCTGAGGATTCTGAAGGGAACAGCTGCTCTCCCAAGGCCCCAGGGCTTACCAGGGTCCCCACAGTTTCTGACATATGCCTTCTTTTCTCTCATTCTTACTACTCAGATCATGTTCCTCAGTGCAAATATTTGCAATTTTCCTTCCAGCATTACTTGGCTTCACTGGGTAGAGGTTGCTTAAGAAGTTACAGGATTGTTAGAGAATCAAAATGGCAGAATAGGGTAAGGACACGTTTAAACAGATCAAGAAACATTAGCCAGTGTAAAGCAGAGAGGGCACATTCCAGGAAGTAGGAGAGGACAGAACGACAGCAGAAGGGCACCAGGAGACTGACAGAGACAGGAAAGCAGCAGGCACAATGGTGTGACGTTGCCGTGATCAATACCCCAGTAGCATTCAGCAGATGGCCATCTGAGTTGCACCAGAACTCCACCACCAACAAGGTGGGCAGGAACATTCACTGGGAGATCAGGAGGTGAACGCAGACAAAACTGCCTGTCCTGCTTGTCTGCTTGATTTGACTAGGAGCAGAGGCAGAGCAGCAGCTCCCAGATGGCAGTGCAGGAACAGGTTAGATTTCACAGCCCAGTATGCCTGCTAGAGTTGAATCGAGCACCATTTTGTGTAGGGAGACAAAGGCTATGGGACAGGATTGCACATGCACTGAGCTGGAAGTGAACTCATTTCTGGTTCAGTGAACTGTAACAGCATGGCATCCTATAGGTTCCATCTAAGATGGGTCTGGGTAGCCCTCAAGACATGACAGCCAGCAGATCAAGAACTCTAGCAGTGGCACATCAGGTGCTATTTGTACAGTGTAGCAAAAGCTTTAAGACTGCATGAACAACAGTGAGATGTGCATGTACTGAGCTGGGAGAGAACTCACTGAACTCATTGGTCCCACAGGGAAAATAATACTGACTTCAACATCATATGGGTCTAAAAGAAGTTCATGTGGCCAGACCTAATGGCCAACAGGTTCCATCAAGATCAGCACCATCAACAACCTAGCTATATAGGACACCTGGTGTCTCCCTAATCCTGGGAACTGCTCTAACAGGAAGTGGGAGAAAGGTTGTACAGACAATGGTGCAGTCTCAGCACAGTATCACAGGAGGCAGAGAGTGGTAAGCCAGGAGCTGGGGCTATGGAGACCATGGTGAAAGTCTAACATAAGAACCCAGACCTGGAACTCACTGGAGGGAGTGGCACAAGTGACTGCAAACAAAGAGCTATGTGCCAACTGTAATAAGTAAAATCGAATTGTAGACCTGTGGGTGACACAGCTTAGAAACCTGCCCCAAGGAGAAGAGTCTGCTAACCAGAAGTACAAGGACCAAAAACAAGAGACAAAAGCACAATGAATATTACTGAAGACTCCTCTGTAAAGGAGCAAAACCCTATGCCAACCTCAGACAGAGTTAACTGAGGAAGACCTCAAGAAAATGGGGGATACAGAATTCAAAACAGTTGTTTTAAAGCTTCTTAACAACGAGAAGCACATAATATAGGAGTTTAAGGAATATGTCACACAGGAAATGAATCAAATGAAAGCTGATATATCAAAAATGAAGAATACAGTGGAGTAAATTAAAAGTACAGTGGAGAGTCTCCAAAACAGAATGAAGGAAGAAGAAGAATCTCAGAATTTGAAGATATTTCCTGTCACCAGGGGGAAACAAAAAAAAAGCTGGAAGCAGAGCTGGGTTAAACTAAAAAAACTATTCAAAAATTGAAAGACACTATTAAAAGGCCAAATGTAAGAGTTATGGGAGTCCCAGAAGGTGCAGAAAGAGAAACTGGGATTAAAGGTGTATTCAATGAAATAAGGGAAAATTTCCCTAATCAAGAGAAAGAATTGGGAAACCTCATCCAGGAGGGGCCCAGAACTCCCCACAGGGTTGACCAAAAGCGATCTTCATGATAAGACCAAGACGTCTACATGATAATCAAGCTCTCTTCAATCGAACATAAGGAAAAGAACTTAAGATGCGCATGTGAGAAAAATCAATTGACATATAAAGAAATGCCAGTTAAATTCACTGGAGACCTTTCACAGGAAACTCTATAGACCAGAAGACAATGGAGTGACATTAGATTCCAGATTCTAAAAACAAGAAATTGTCGGCACAGAATGATGTACCCAGCAAAGCTTTCCTTTATTTTTGAAAATGAAATACAATTTTTCCACAGTCAAGAAAAGTTGGGTCCGGCAATGTGGCCTAGTGGCCAAAGTCCTCTCCTTGAACGCGCCAGGATCCCATCTGGGCGCTGGTTCTAATCCTGGCAGCTCCAATTCCCATCCTGCTTGTGGTCTGGGAAGGCAGTTGAGGATATCCCGAAGCTTTGGGACCCGGCACCCATGCAGGATACCCGGAAGAAGTTCCTGAGTCCTGGTTTCGGATCGGCATAGCATGGGCCGTTGCGTTCACTTGGAGAGTGAATCATCGGACGGAAGATCTTCCTCTCTATCTCTCCTCCTCTCTGTATATCTGACTTTCCAATAAATAAATAAATCTTAAAAAAAAAAAAGTTAAAAGAATATGCCTCTTCCAAACCTGCCCTACAAAGCATACTTAAAGATGTTCTCTTGACAAAGAGGAATAGTGCCCACCAAAACCAAAAGCAAATGTGAAGAACATCCCAGTAAAATAACAGAAGACTAAATCAATTAACAATCCATTGCTAAAATAAGGACCAAATTATCACCTATTCATATTAACTCTGAATGTAAATGGATTATTATCAATCAAATCTCAGATAAGTAGACTGGATTAAAATAACAAAGCCCACCTATTTGTCGCCTATAGGAGACTTATCTCACCAACAAAGATTTTTTTTTAGTTTCATCTCTTCAGAACACCTTGTTTCTCATTAAATTCTTCACTGGCCCATAGATACAGTAACATCATTTTCTTCAAGAAAGTTCTTGATTTTCTTTTTCATTTCTTCAGCAACACATCAGTCATTTGGTAGCATGTTATTTAACTTCATGACATTTTTTATTTCTTTTTTTTTTCTTCCTGCTGTTGATTTTGTATTGTGGCTTTTCATTTAAGGGGATGTATAGTAACTGTGTAATAGAGACTATCATATCCAGATGTGAGGATACAATGCAGTATGCATCTCTACTTCCAGATCAAAGATGGACTCCCAATGAAACTGTTAACTGTATCTTGACAATAGGATGCTGGACTCTCTGCCATTGTCCATGCCCACAATGATGGACATATGACTGTTTATGAAGAACTATACTATAATAATAATATAGGGGAACTCAATGTGGGGAAAGAGGACTTGGGGAGGGGGTAAAGAAAATCCAGGAGCCAATGGGTCTGCATCATAAAATGATAATAATAAAAAAAAGTAAAAAAAAAAAATGTTGTTGTTACAGGATTGCTTAAGAAGTTTCAGGAAGGGCCCAGCATGGTAGCCTAGTGGCTAAAAGTCCTTGCCTTGAACGCATCAGGATCCTGTATAGGTAGCAGTTCATGTCCCAGTGGCCCTGCTTCCCACCTAGCCCCCTGCTTGTTGCCTGGGAAAGCAATCGAGGATGATCCAAAGCCTTGTGACCCTGCACCCGTGCAGGAGACCCAGAAAAAGACTCTGGGCTCCTGGCTTCGGATTGGCTCAGCTTCAGCCATTGCAGCCACTTAGGGAGTGAATCAGTGGAAGGAAAATCTTTCTCTCCGTATATCTGATTTTCTAATAAAAATAAATAATTTTTTTTAAAGGAAGGTTCAGAAAGTGCTACCTCTTCCTGCCAAGCTGTCCCCACATGGAAGCATGAGAAGAAGGGGGTGTACTTTTCCCAGTGATGAATGGCATGTGGCCATCATGCTCAGGCTGTTCATCTGCCACTGCACACGGGGCCCAGGCACTTGGCCAAAAGCAGCTTGGGCAGCTCTAAATGGTCAATTGTTTTTGGTTATAAAAATTCCCATCATCTTGAAAAGCAGACCAAAAGAACTGTTCATTTAGCATTTTCTTTAAAGCCTGTTTCTTAAGGCAAATATTTCTAGTCCTAGAGACAAAATTTAGTTGTTATTCTTAAGAGAATATTTCTGAGTGTATGCTCATCATATGCTTATTTTTGTTAGTTCCACTGGGCATTACTGCTGGCCAATGAAATTCCCCATTATACAGAATGTGAGAGCGCAGTCCCTGGGGGTCAAGAATGACAGGGTTGTTTGCCCTGGTGGAAGGCCCTGGCATCCTGGGTCTTCTAGCATGTCATGCAACCGGTATTAAAAGCATTAAGGGTTATATTCTCAATATTCCTTTTGAGTTTTAGACTAAGATTTTTATAAAATTTATCAATACCTTAAAACTTACCTGGATTGTTCGTATAAAGGCCACTGTTACCCGTTCTTCAAATTCATTCAGGGGAGTATAAAGATTCAAGATTTTGACAATCTGTTAGAATAAAAACAAAATTTAGCGCATCACTAAATGAACACAACACAATGTTTGAACTTGAATGACAATCAGACTGGATGACATTGGAACAGTTGTATGTTCTCTCTTGGAACCACAATGCTTGTAGGTAGAGCCAGACTGCTCCGTATTAACACAGGAGTGTTTTGTCACCAGGGAGTCCCTGGTTTTGCCCGGTGGGCCCGGGGCCTGTTACGCCTGGCACCTGCACACCCCACACGCCCTTCCTGGTGCCTGACTGATAATGAGGAATATAGAAAAAAACGGCCTGGAATCCTTAGCCTCTTATTTGCTGATAATGGAAAGGTTTCTGGGATTCCTACCTTCAGTGATAAAGAGGTTGTTTGACAACACCTAACTAGCCTTCTACCCTTTCTCTTACCCTTTACAATGAAAAGCATATTTGTCTGCCTGCCAGTTGTGTGTGAAGTGGCCTGCTCACATGCAAGGACAGCTGTATGCTAGAAGTCAATGTATGAAAATACATATTTATGTATATTATGTTTATTACACAGGCAAAAAACGGTTTGAACATTTTCAGGGGCCGGTGCAGTGGCATAGTAGGCTAATCCTCTATCTGTGGCATCCCACATGGATGCCAGTTCTGAACAGTCCCAGGTGCTCCACTTCTGATCAAGCTCTCTGCTTATGGCCTGGTAAAGGCAGTGGAAGATGGCTCAAGACCTTGTACCCATGTGGAAGACCCAGAAAAAACTCCTGGATCTCAGCTTCAGACCAGCCCAGTTGTGGCCGTTAAAGCCATTTAGGGAGTGAACCAGCAGATGGAAGACCTTTCTCTTTCCTTATCTCTCCATGTAACTTTCAAAAAAAAATTAAGTCTTTCCTTGAGAGGCTGAACTCTCCTAATGGCTAGCAGAGGAAGCAGGTGAGCCCTGGTGCTTGGTTGTGCTGAGTTGGGGGTTTGTTTTTGCAGGTGCTAAGCTGGAAGACGATGCGCTAGTTGACTTGGAGAGTCTAGTTTCCCTGGGCAGGACTCGGAGACCTTCTGCCAAGTAGCCACACTCATGACGGAGGCAAGACCTACCTGTGCGTGAATGGAACTTACCCATCCACAGACTGGGACCAAGCCACGGTGAAAATGCACTTTTAGGAGGAGGAGGAGGACAGAGATATTGAAATGCCCCCTTTTAAAATGATTTCATTTGAAATAATGGGGTCTTAAGTGAATATAGGACCATACGGAAAGCAGAATTATAGAAAGTTTTTTCCATCATTGTGAGGCAGGCAAATACTCAGCCATTGTCTCAAAGAGTTGAACATTCCAGATAGGAGACACTGCAGCTGATTGCTGCGGTTTTAATGAAGCTTCATGTGCTGCAGGCTTTATTGCCCTAACCTGCGATGTGGGCAGAGGAGGTTAGAGGGCCTGTGGTACTCAGGATGGCACAGCCCTATGGTGGCTTTAGTTCATCCTGGACACCTTGAGGATGATGTCACAAGGGCTCCTAGAGGCTGGGGGTGGGGGAGGGAAGGTGTACAGGAGGCCCACATGCAAGGGAAGGTGGGAAGCAGAAGCTGGGCCCCAGCATGGCAGTGGCTTGGACACCACCATACCTGTTGGGTGCTGAGGGAGGTACACAAGGAGCAGATGGCCTCCGCGTCCTCCTGAGTTTTCTTCTTCAGCTGCAGGAGCTGGGCTGCCTGGATCAGAGGCTCGAGGGTCTGAACTGCCCCACTCTGGTGAAGGTTCCTTCCCCGCAGCCACTCTTCAAGTTGGCTGATGTTGTACCTGAGCCATGGGCAGAGGGCAGGGCTGTGTGAGGTGCTCCTCCTAAGCCACTTGGGAAGGGGACACCTGGGCCGTGTCCTCACCCTCTTGAGTTCACAGGGTTAAAAGGTTTGCCCAGCTCCCCACCCCCTGCCCAGGAGCTGTTGAATAAAGGATGAATAAATGAATATGTGGATGTTTAAACACACCCAAAGCACATCAGTTAATGGAGAAAAAAAGGCCATTCTGTGTTTTGATGTACAATTAATAATTAAACAGTCACATGTTGACACCTCCCCCACAGAACCCTCATGCCTATCCTAATCTCCGAGTTTCCCCTCTGGCCTACCTAGAATGGGTCCAAACTTCATATCGGAGTAAGGAGCCATCTTTAAGCTATGACCTTGTTTGCCAAGTCCCTGCCTCTGGGTTTGCTAAACACACTGACTACGTCAAGGACTGCCTGAGAGATCTGAAGTTCCCATGGAGGGCTGGTGTGTGTGTGTGTGTGTGTGTGTGTGTGTGTGTGTGTGCGCGCGCGCGCGCTGCCTACACTGGCAGGGTTGGCGTCAGCAGGGGCCTGTTCTCTCCCAGCCGCCCCCGAGCCTGTGCTGCCCCCTTACCTGAGTTGCATGCCTGTGCTCCAAGAGCACACGTCTTTCCGCAAGAGCAGGTTGTTGAGTGTCACCGCATTGATCACATAGAAGAGCTGCTTGAACACCTGCTGGATGATCTCGGGGTCCAGGCCCTGGTCGCACATGACCCCATGGAAGGCATTCATCTGGCGGATGATGGCCTCTAGGCAGTAGGTGTTTTCTCCATCCACCATGCTGGAGGAGCGCTTCCGGTAGCCCGTGGGCTTCACGCCAGAGAGACCCTGGATGCTCTCATTCTCCAACATGGCAGAAACTGAAAGAGGAAAGCAGACTGATGGAAGCTTGCCTGCTCGGCACAGACAGGGTCCGGGTTTTGGATGAATGAGAGCATCAGGGACTTGCAGCTTTGCCCATAGCACTGTCCAGAGGTACGGAACAACTGCCATGATCAGGAACTCAGTGACATGTGGCAGGGAATTTTCAAATGCATTCATCTCTATATGAGATGCAACTGTTCTCCCTGAGATTTGTTGGTGATGGGACAAAGTGGATGGGCATGTCAGCCTGAGTCTGTACTGCCTGTGCTGAAGGGTTAGAGTCCAGGATCTGAGTGACTTTAAGAACACTGGGGCCCAGCATGATGGCTCGGAAGCTGAAATCCTCTCCTTGCATGTGGCCATTGTGGCCACTTGGGGAGTAAACCAGTAGACAGAAGGTCTTTCTGTTTCTCCTTCTCTTTGTAAATCTGCCTTTCCAATGAAAAATAACCTCTTTTTAAAAAAGCACATAGCCAGTAGCTATATAAACAGAGGTTAGCTGGCCTGTCAGCCTCACTGCACAGCACTTAGCTGTGCACTAGTCAAGACTTCTTAGTTTTCTAGTAACTTACTTAGTTTAGGGTCAACACTTTTTAGTTTTTTAGTAACTGTATAAGACACTGCCCATTTTACTGAGGCATAAAGAGGTTGGATGACTTCTTTAAAAACCATGCTGCTAGGAAGTGGCAGGGCCAGGATCTGAACCCAGGTCTGATCCCAGAGCTTCTGCTATTAACCGTTGCATTATTGTGAGTTCCAAAATGTGTTCCCAATTTCTATGTCACTATGTCCTCTGCCCAGTACAATAAGGTGCCAGACTGGAAGAAGGATTTGTAGTGAACCCCATGTGGGAGATGTGATTTCTGGACTGGTCCAATTGGGCATTAACCCAGAAGCTACGTGCTGTAAGGAGCCTAGGCGAGTCTTCACGGAGCTCAGGGAACTTTTCCTTTTATTCTTCAGAGTATATCTGCCCTCCATTCCAGCACTGTAATACTTCATAGACAAAGTCCACAGGTGGCCAGAGGAGTTTTAATGGCTATCTGTTTAAATTAACTTGCTTGGGGGAACAATATGGTATCAGAGTAACACAGATAAAGGAAAAGTCTCCAATGCGCATCTGTATGCTGACAACCACAGGATCATCTGAGGAAGCACCTGGGTTTCCAGAGGCTGTGGTTAATATGAGGAGTCTTCAAGGAACTCAGGGAAAATGCACTTTGCTTTTGGATTCAATTTCCTTGTAGCTGTGATGAAGTGCATGCCAAAGTGTGGTTCCCTAGAGGTATGGTGGGCCGCCCCCCAAGCCTTCCCAAATCTCACAGCCATTGCCGCCACCAGCATACCTATCATGGGTTGCAGTAGGCCCTCGGCAATCTTAATGAGCTGCTGGTAGATCTGGATGGAGAGGTCGCTCAGCACCTGTCGATACTCTGTGAGGTCAAAGTTCTTCAGACAGTGTTCATTCTGCTTCGCCGTGTTCTGAGTCATGAAGCCCTGAAGAGGGAGGGGTAAGCATGACTGAGGTTCTACGGGCTGCCACTGGGCTCGTACGAAGTATTAGAAAACCCTGAGGCTTCACTGATGGCTCTTGAACTTGAAAGTGGTATAAAAATGACAATGTGATAGAGAGATCACGACTATGTAATTACAAAGGTCTGCAGCATTGAGTCCAGATCCCCAAAGTAGTTTCCCTAAAGTAGCAAAACTCAGACCGACAGCAGGTCCAGACAAAGAGAGCTCTGTGCTTTCTGACTCCTCTGCTAAGTGCTCACCCCAAGGCACCAGGTTGCTCAGTGCATGAGGGAGCAGGACCATGGTTATGGGATGTGTTTGTATAATGAAACCTTTTGTATGGATTTCATCATTAAGCAGGTGGACTGAAGTGATTCTATGGCTTTAGGGATCTGGTGTCTTAGGCTTCTGTATTAACAAGATGGGACAGCAGGCCAGCCAGAAGCGCTGCCAATGTCAAAAGCAGCCACGTGACCAATGTCCTTGTTCTTCAACGTAAGGAAAGCCAGTGGTCTCATACAATCTGTGTCCTCCAAAGGGCAACTCCAGTGAAGCTCTTGTACTCTGCCACATCACAACAGTCTTCATAAAAATAAAGGCAGATGGAGGAGGGGAAGGCAGGATGACCATAAATGCCCAATAGACTGAATCATTCATTCTCACTGTTTGACTGTGCTGGCCTGGTTCTACCATGCTTCATGTCTTGTTCCCAAGAACAGGAGTTTATCTACGGAGAGCCTCAGGTAAGGGATTCTTGAACTTGCCATAGCCTTACATATCTTACCCTCCATTTCGAATATCCATCCCACTGGGTCAAGTGGTGAGTCCCAGTGAGACAATTAAGTGTGGTTCTGTGTTTAAAAAGCTTGTGTAGGTTGGGACTGGTGTGGTGACATAACGGGCTAATCCTCCACTTTGCAGCACCAGCATTCCAGACAGATGTTGGTTTGTGTCCCGGCTGCTCTACTTCCAATCCAGTTTCCTACTTACGGTTTGGGAAGCCAGCAGAGGATGGCTCATGTCCTTGGGCCCCTGAACCACTTGGGAGCCCTGGAAAAAGCTCCAGTGTCCAGGCTTTAGATCAACTCGGCTCAGCTCTGGCTGTTCCAGCCATATGGGGAGTAAGCTAGCAGATGGAAGCTCTTCCTGTAAATCTGCTTTCAGATAAATATTTTTTTTAAATTTATTTTTAATTGAAAGGCAGATTTTTTCATAGGGAAGAAGAGACAAAGAGAAAAGGATCTTCCATCCACTGGTCCATGCCCCAAATGGCTGCTATGGGTGAAGCTGATCAAAGCTAGGATTACAGGAGCTTCTTCCAGGTCTCCCATGTGGGTGCAGAGTCCCCAGGACTTGAACCATCCTTTGCCGTCTTCTCACGCCATTAGCAGGGAGCTGATCAGAAGTGGAGCAGCCGGAACCTGAATTGGCACTCATTTGGGATGCCAAACACTTGCAGATGGATGAGCAACCTGTTGAGCCACCATGCTGGCCCCTCAAATAAATCTTTAAAGAAAAAAAAAATGCTTGTGTGCATCACAGAAGACATCTGGTTTGGAACAAAGGATGGTTCTTTGATCTGAGCCCAACTCTTTCATTATAAAAGTAAGTGATCAAATACAAATTCTGACTCTCAGGAAAGAGATGAGTCAAGCTAAGTACCCAATCGTAAGACCAGCTGGGGTGGCATAGCCTCCTATCACCCCAAGGAGACAGCTGAGTCAAAATCTGCTCTAACACAGAAGACTGAATAAAGCTTGGAAAACTGTTGCAGTTTTGGTTTGTGTTGCCTCAGGAAGGGTGGGTACTGAGGTTTGTGAAGGAAAGGAAGCAAGGCAAAGATGGGGAGGCCCCTGGAAATATGAGTAGGGCCCGTGTGGAGGCAGCTGGGACCATCACCAGAGAAGCAAGGTGAGGTAAACATGTGCCATGCCTAGATCATGTACTACACACACAGCATGGAGGAACCCTTCTAGAGATCACAGTGGAGATGGGGAGCCTTGGAGGTCCCAAATGGAACGCGACATGATGGTGTCAACCAGGCTGCAGGCCTAGCCATTAAACTCGGTTGGCAGCATGAAGCTGGGCTACACAAATATAGGGCTGACTTGGTGTTCCTTTTTTATTTACTCATCTTTGTCTTGAAACAGCTTGGCATGGGAGAGTGGGACACTAGACAGTTGGATTTCTTGAGGCATTTACTGAAGTGGTGCAAATAACAAGATCATCCAAGATCTCTGACAAGGGAAGGGCACAGTTAGCCCACATATCCCCTCTCAGTTTTCTGTCTTGATTCAGGGGTACTCATCCAGACCCCTAGAAACAGGCTTTGTATGTTCTGCCCCATTCCCACTCCCAGTCACCAGGTACAGTAATTCCTACCAGAGTCTGAGGTCCTAGCAAGGGGGTCAGAGAGCTGACTTCCCTCCAACGGCTGCAGAGCACCTTGGGATGCATTTGGCTAGAGCAAGGATGCCTTCTGGGAGCTTAGCCCAGTACTCACCTCATCCCCGCTGTACTGCTTCAAGCAGTGAAGGAGGCGACAGGTGTTGGACAGCCAGAACGTCGTCATCTCAAAGTCATCATTGTGCTTCTGTGGAAAGAGCAGGATCCCCCACCCAGCTGAAAATGGTACCTGTCTGGCCAAGCGCTTACCTGAGCCTCTCCATATTCTGCATCCTAGCCAGCGTTCCCCAGTGTCCCTGACAATGGGCATGACCCTTGCTGGTCAGAGAGAAGATCCACTCACTACCAAGAGACGGCATCCGGAAGCCATGTCTTGGTTGCTGATTGGGCGTGTACATACAGAAACACACAAGTGACAGGTTGTTCCCACCACTGAAGAACACAGTGCAAGCAAGGCTCAGCCCCAGCTGCCTGGCCTCTCTGCACTAGCCACGAGGATCCCTGCCCCTTCTTGGAAGTACCTGTTCTCCAGCTCTGGGGACCTGAGGGTGCTTGCTGGTGAAATATTCTGGGGTCCCATGTATCAAAAGGTCAGATGTTCCCGTAGGCTAAACTTTCTAGAAAATGGTTATAAACTAAGGTGGGGGCAAGGCTTCCTCAGGGAGGTGAGCTCTATAGTCAGCCCAAGCCTGAGTCAGGCTTTGGCTGCAGCTTCTGAAAGCGCTCAAGGCTGGAGACACATGCTTGAGTCCCCAGGTGCTTAGAGCCCTGCATGGAGGAAATGGCCCACGGAGCCTGCAGGCCAATAGGCCATGCAACCCAAAGCTCTGGGATGGCTGACCACAGAGCAGGTGTTGGTGTTGAGTGTTGGGGTGGGTCTGAGGACAGCCTCATATGGCCACTAGTTTGGATCCTGGTTGCTCCACTTTGAACCAGCAGAAACTGGCAGAAGCTGGTCCAAGTACTTGGTGTGGGAGACCCAGAAGAAGCTCCTGACTTCAGCCTGACCCAATTATGGCTGCTGCAGTCATATGGAAAATAAACAGAGGGTTTCAAATAAATAAATCTTTAAAAACAGACTGAGACAGCTGGGATTGTAATGAGAACCTTATAATCACTTGATGAAACTTATTATTTGCTCTGCTCTCCCAGTTCAGGAAGGCAGTCAGTCAAGGATGGCCCAAAGCTTTGGGACCCTGCACCTGTGTGGGAGACCTGGAGAAAGTTCCTGGATCCTGGCTTTGGATCGGCACAGCATGGGCCATTGCGCTCACTTTGGGAGTGAATCATCGGACGGAAGATCTTCCTGTCTGTCTCTCCTCTGTATATCTGACTTTGTAATAAAAATAAATCAATTTTTAAAAAAATTTTGTTCTTGAAAAAAAAGTATTAATAGCACAGAATAAAGGATTCCTGACAGTGGAAAAAAAAAAAAAAACCGAAACTGAGCAGTAACCCTTGTGCCCTAGTGCTGCTAGAAGGCTGAAGACCCTCTCCCCACTCATCACCTGACTCTGGCTCCTGCTGACTGGGCTTCACTTCCCTGCAGGGTAGTCTGACATCGCAGGGGCTGCCACTTGGTCACAGAGAGGCTCGTGTGTCTCTGAGTTGTGTTAATATCCTGAGGGCAGCCCTGTCTTGGACCAGAGCTGGTAGCAGCAATGTAGCAGTACTGTCCAGGTGAAAGGCGGTCTAGGTTCCAGTGGAGTTCCATCAGCCGCAGGGCCAGGTCCAGTAGGCCCTGGCTGCAGCCGGATGCCTTCCCAGTTCATGCAGCAGTGGTAGGCAGACCTAGGCATGCTAATAAGCTCTGGGCAGCCTCTCCAGGCTACCCTGGATTTCTGGCTTAATCCAAGCATCCTGGCTACACAGGGGACCTCATCCACTGCCCCAACACTCAAGTACTGAGAAGCAGCAGGAGGAGGATGCCTGCTCTCAGTCCCAGCCTCCTGCGCAGCCCACTGACCTTGAGGACTTTCTTGATGCCGTTGATGGTGGAGGTCAGCAGGGAGTGCACCTTGACGTCGTCGTTGGTGTAGTCTGCATGCCTGATGCACATGTAGAGGATGTACGCAGGGAGGCAGGGCACAGTGCCCGACAGCACCTGGGGCTTCAGGTCTACCAGCAAAGATGGCAGCAAGCAGCAAAGAGAGAGATGGAGGGGGTGCCAGGGTTCACACTCCTCCTCCTAGAAACCTCCCCACTGTTTCTCAGTAGCTCACAAGGAATGGGAGGGTTGTGGGAAGGGAGTGGGGAAGCCGGTGAGAAGCTACCAGGATGCACAAACACCTTCTGGCCCTATTGATCAGCACTTTCAGCTGCTGCAGCAAAAAAACCAAAGCCAAACTGTGGAATGAATGGAACCAGGTCTTTGTTCTTAACTGCAGAGGAAGAGAACCCAGAGCTGTGCACACATGCAGGGCCACCAGCTAAGGAGGCCTCAGGGGGCAGGCTGCAGACAGGACTGGGCTCCCCACTGGGAGAAAGCCACCCCTCCACCCCTGCTCCAGCCCGGGGGACCCCTGCTTCCTGCAGGGGCATGATCAGGTCCCCAGCAGCCAGAATGCAGGGCCAGCCAATTCCAGCTTTCTACAGGCAGTCAGACAGCTGAGCACTGGTAAGGCTGCAGCCACCTTGGGTGTCACTCTGGGGACAGAGGACCTGGCAGCGTTAGTCTTCTGAACTCACAGGCACACACAGATGCACCAGGCCATGAATACACTTGTCCTGTTCAGGTCCCACCGGCATCACTCTCTTTCCCCATGACCTGCACACACATGCTCAGACCCTTGTCCCCTAAGCGCTAAAGCCTGGGGAGGGCCAGGGAGAAGCTGTAACACTATGTTCTATCCCACAGCATTCCAGGGGATTCAGTGAGCCAGCCCTAAAGTGACAAGTGGTGACAGGAGTCCCAAGAGGCAGGGCAGGGATAAGAGGCCTGGTGCAAATACAAGGTGACAAGTGGACATGGGGTGTTCACATTGTACCCCCAGACCCTGACCTTCTCTCTCATCACCCTCACCCACCCCGGCATAAACTGGCATCATGAGCCACCTCCCCTCACTTCCCCCAAGCCAGGCTTGGAACAGCAGTGAGGGAGAGTTTTCTTCACCACCTTCCTGTGGCAGGATCCTCCCTGCCCTTCTGCCAGGGTTCTCCTGGTCTGGGTTGGGCTGGGGTTGTGCCACCAGCACTACCATTTGCTCCTTGGGTTATGCTGGCACATCAACCACATCCCTTTCAATAACGCTTACTCCTGGCCAGCACACTTTGGGTACCTGCTTAGCATTTGGGCACCATGGAGAAGTGCCTTAGTTCTAATGAGAATGCCAGTACATTTATCTAGAACAATACCACAAGCCGATGACCCATGTACAAACAGCTTGTCTTGGGACATCCTCCTCTGATCGCACAGGTATTTGATCAGGCTCCTGGGCTACACATGCGCCATCCATGGGAGAAGAGGCCAGGGTTCTATTCTCCACGGTCTTTCTCAGCTGCTAATCTTGGCATCTGCTAGGCTGCGGTCTGGAGGGAGGCAGAATGCCTGGGCAGTTTGGTTGGACTTGACCTGGCCTGAGGCAGCCAGAGCCAGGCCACTGCCAGGACTCTCATGAGTGAGGATCAAGGCTGTACTGACCCAAGAGCTGAAGTAAATAAGTTCTAGGCTGTCAGACTCCACTCTCCCTGCATCCCAGCCCTGGGCACCCTACAGAGCATGACCTCCAGCACCTGAGGGCAATCTCTCCATGCTAGCAGTGACCTCCCATCTAAGCTTGGAATGTGCCTGCAGCCCCCATGTCTCAGAAAGGATTTTTAGCCCTATCACAGTATATTCACGTTCGATAGATCTCACGTGATGGGGCAGTGGTAGCATGTTCTCATTTTACAGATAGGAATGCTGGGAAGTGCTGAGAAGTGAGCGAGTGGTTCATAGTCCACTCTTCCTTTGTGCATGGCTCTTTCCTCTAAGGCTCCACCTCTTGGCTCTGAGACTTGCTGCTGGCTTAGGCTGGGCACAGGGCAGGTGGTGACCGTGTTGGAACCCAGTGGGGTGTGAGAACAAATGGGAGGGTACTAGTACAATGGCAAAGCAAGCAGCACTGGTAAGGTAAATAGCTCCCTTGAGCCAGCCCTTGAAAGGCAGTGCCTACAATGGGCAAACGTAAGGAGCCCCCCTGCCCCATTGGTGGCACACCCAAGCAGAGTGACCCTAAGGTGCAAGAGGCTCTGTTCCAGCTCAGCAAGAGAAATCTACCCCAACCACTCCACTCCACACTGCACACTCCAAGCACACTGCAGCCTGCCTGGCCAGCCCCAACCTAGGTACCTATCTGGAGAATGCAGAAGAGGAGAGACTAGCCCAACCGGACCCCCACAGTGGTTGTGCAACCCCAGGCACTGTGAATGCACTGATTCAGCTTTTCAAATCCCCTGCCGCCTGGCTGTGCATTCTGATGCGGGATGTGTGTATGTGTGGCGGGGTTGGGGTGCAGTTTCTAAATGTGGCCTGGAATTCTGCATTTCTCACCATTCCCCAAATGCCTCCCACTTCCATGCCATCCCACATGGGGATGCTGGTGAACAGCACAGCGACAGCTACATGGCCAGATAGCAAAGAGTCGGATGCCTGTGGACCAGAAGACCCTCCCCTGAGAGCCTATGCACGGACCACACTGTGCCTGCAAACTGCAAAGCTCTGGACAGAAGCTGCCCTATCCTCAACCTGGGCAGGTGACAGGAATGTCTCAGGACACCTTGTGTGAACTAAACAGCAGCTTCCTGGGGAGGATCAAGCCTGGGGCTGAAGACAACGGGCTGGGCATGAGCTGATGGCAGCAGCGTGCAGTCATTGCTGTTGGAAGCAGTTGCCCACACAAACCCACGCCAATGAGGGGGCTGGGGCTGCCTCTGGGGGAAGCATGTGGCAGGCATGAGCCATGCCACCAGCTCCCCACTCACTCCTGCCTGCCACAGTCAGAGCAGGGGCCTCTCTTCCTCAGGTCCATGTGAGTGTGCAATTGACGGGGTTGACTTGCTCTGGGAAAAGCAGTGAGCAGTCACCAAGAGCACCACTTGGAGGCAGTGGATGGTCTGGGGAAAAAGAGCCACAGGGGTGGGTGGGGGGATGCAGACAGAGGCTGGGATAGACCGTGCTGAGTACAGACAGAGGAGGGGGTGGGTCCTGACCTGTCACCAGGTTCCGAATGAGGAGTGCCTCGTCCTCCTTGTGGTACTCCAGCATGCCCTGGAAGTCCTTCTCCTTCCGCTGCACCGTGACCTGCCTGGTGAGCTCATGGTGCTTCCTGTCATTCTGGGCCAATGCTTGCACAGCTGAGCAGGAAGGAGAGAACGGGACACATGAAGGCCTGGGACTGATCACTGCATTTTCAGAGCACCACATTCTGTGCTGTCCCTTGAGGCTGCATGATACTGGGGGAGCTCAGTCCCTGGCACAGGGCAACGTGAGGCAGCAGCAGGTGGGAGAGTTGCCTCACCAGGTGGCAGTTTCATGGAGGATATGCAAGGCTTTGGTTGGGTCCATTATACTTGGTTCCCTGTGTGTGGCTACAGGGCACTCTCGGGACACTGGGCAGTACAGACCCAAGGGCTGCAGGTTGGGGCACTGCCTGTGGCCTGCTTTGGATGGAACAGTACAGAGTCTGTGATGCAAGAAGGCACTGTGCCTTGTACCCATGTGTAAGATTAGACATGGGAACTTGTCTGCTGTAGGATCTACCACCTAAGGCAATTCTCCAAGGTGGAGTCTCTGTGTTGTGGGGTGGGGTGGGATCCATCCCCCATCCCCCATCCCCAGCCTCCCCTCAGCCTGGGCAGGTTGGGGAGGGTGGTGGGTGTCCAGATCCTCATGGGAGCAGGTACCACACAGCATCCAGCCCTGCCTCTGCAGCACCTAGCTAAGGAGACACATCTGAGCATTCACACAGAAGCACACTTGGTGACCTGGCTTGCCAGATGTGACATCAGGTATGTGCACCTGCTGTTGTCAGGTGCTGTGTCAGGTGTGTGCACCTGCTGATGGCAGTTGGACAGGAGCATCCCTGCTAAAAGGACTCAATGGGCACACTGGGGCCTGGATGAGCAGGGTGGAGTGGGGCACCCAAGGGGTGGACGTGTACTGGTGCTCTCCCAGGGCCTCGGTATGACGGAGCATTGTCTCACACCAAAAAGTCTTGCCTCCCAACTCCAAACCCCTTCAGGGCAAGGACCACGGGGTACTTTTCTGGCCCCCTCAGCCCTCCAGCCCCACAAAGCCTGCTTCACAGGCAGCACCCAACTCAGGGGACCACAATCTTCCACCCTTCTTCTAGCTTCGACTGATCAAGGGCATAGGTGCTCTCAGTGTCCCAGTTCTACTGCCTGGCCGGGTCCGTCCAGCAGGAAATGAGCCAAGAGGGAAGGATGCCTGGGCAGAGGCAGCCTCAGTTCCGCAGGCACGGCTGTTGGGCACACCTGTGCCATGCAGGTACCCATGTTCATGCATACACACATACACACTACCTTCCAGGTCCTGGACTCGCTTCATGTAAATCTTCAGCTGCTTCTTGAGCTTCCTCTCATTCTTCTCCAGCTTTTCGACCAGTTCTCTGAAGTCCTGAGAGCAGAAGGAAGCAGTGTGGGAAGAGGGCTGAGCCTTGCCCTGGGTGGCAGGGCGTGGCCTGTGCTGCTATCACACAGGTCAGGCTGGGAGGGTGCTGTCCCTGCTGCGGCATCCAGGAAGCAGGAGGTGAGTCAGACATTGTTATCTTCACATCAGGAAGGCAAAACCCTCTGGGATCTCTCTGGCACCTCAGGGCTCTCCCCAGCCAAGCCTCCGCGAGTCGCCATGCCAACCTCCCAGGAGTGCTCGGACAGACGGGCAGTACCCTGGACCAAATGGGTGGCAAAGCAGGAGCAGGGAGCCTTCACGGGTCAGGGTCAGCAGCAAAGCAGGACCTTGGCCTCTCAGTAGCTGCCCATCTCCTAGCAACTGTTGCCACTTAGTGCTACTCAGTCCATTGGGACCAGAACAGAGTTGGGGAGGAGGGTTTTATTGGCACAGATGCCAGCCAGGCAGCGTCCTCAGCGGTGAAGTAGGGTGGGGGAGGAATTAGAAGGAGAGCAGCCCCCACTGTTAATATGAGGGCCTTGGTGCCACAGAGTGACAGGGGTATTTCCTAGGTTCCATCTCAGATCCTAGGAAGTACCTTGAGTGACAGCTGCCACGAGACTGGCCTGTAGCTGCAAGACAAGCCAAAGCTGCAACCTGGTGCTGTGGCTGCTGTTGGCCACAAGCCTGAGAGGAGGCTGTTAGGATTTACCCATCTTGACAAAAAAGGTGGAAAGCAATCACACCAAGAGGTAATGACAGCGCTGGCTTGGAGCCATGGCAGGGGAACTCTGAGCGAGTTCAGGTAGCTGCTGGACCTTCACACGGAACTCCCTGAGGATCCACTGTGACCCCGTGAGTTCTCGGTTTGGTCCCTCAATGCCTGCTTGGCTGCCTACCTCTTCCTCTTTGCTCAAGAATCCTTCCTGGAACCACCTGCACTGGATCCTCTGCAGCAACAGGTGAATGAGGATGTTCTGGCCAACCCAGAGAGCGTATATTGGGATAAGCCCATCCCCAAGCGCTTCCATGCAATACCACCAGATCCCAAGGAGGACTAAGCCATGCCTGCGTCTTTCCTACCACAGTTTTGAAAACTTTGGCAGACCCTCTAAAGGGCAGACATTGCTCACCTGCAGCCCATGTAATGCCACCTCAGTAGCCAAGTGCTGCCTCCTGGGCTGTGTTTAGGAGCTCCAGCATCCCAGCCAGGTAGTGTAGCACCACCCCTGAACCACTCAGCACAGGTGGCCTTGGGGCACTTCCTGTGCCTCTACTGCCAGCCCACTCGCCCATCCCACCCCGAGATTCCAGAAGGTGAGAACACGTTAAGGGGAGCTGTGTTAAAAGCTCTTCCCCAAACCTGTGGCCACCTGGGTGCCTCGGAAGTGTGAAATCGGCAAATGCAGGACATGTGAAGGAAGCTACTGGGGCCCAGAACCATAGAGGCCAGGACGACAGATGGCTGACTCAAGTTCAGCCAGAGAGGAGTCCCAGACACAGGTGAGCGTGTCTGAAGACGTCCCGACGCTCTTACGCTGCACCTAGAAGGATAGGCACGTTCTCTGAGCCCTCTCTGAGCTAGCCAAGGGGCCTTCCTGACTCCCCCTGACTCCTCCAACTGGGGACTACGTCCCACAACTTCCTGTACACACCATCTGAGGCTCCTGGGCATACACTGAGGGGACAGGCTCCAGGTCATGTTCCACGAGCAGGCAGGAACGCTCACTGGGCAGGGAGGGGCTCACGACTCCCTGACACCCTGCAGACCCCCAGGGGGTAGGGCCCTGTTTACAGGTCTCAGCCTTGACCTTGGCAAACAAGACTGACCTTCACTACATGCAGGAGTCTCCTCCCACCAGGCTGCTGGCTGGGGCCCGTCCTCAGGCTCACCCTCCCTCATTCCAGGCCCCTGCCCTACTCACACCAAGGTCATGCCCTCCCAGTGGGCCCACGGTGCTGACCTTGTGCCCTGGTGGTTTCTCAAGCCAGGCCTGTCCACCTTTGTTTGTTCATGGGCCCAACCCTAGGCTGTCCCTGTGACACAATGCAGTCCCTCTGCAGTGAGTGCACGGTCCTCTTTGCAAGGTGGTCGCCAACTGTGCTATCAGGTCAGTGGCCCCCGGTGGCATGGGCCGCCTCCCCGACCTGGCAGGAGCTGGCTCAACAGCACACACTTCTTTCCATAAAGCTGCCTGCATACACACCTCTGTGTGACAGTGACACACAGACAGCAACTGAGCAGGAGGCACATGAGCATATCCCCTCAGAGGGGCGAAGGTAGGTGCAGGGCCCCCACTTCCTCTTTCAGGATCCAGGGAGCCAGCCACCCAACCATGGTCACCTGAGGAATAGGTGGGAATGGCAGCCCCGGCTCAGCTCCTGAACTGGACATGTTGCCTTGGTGAGGTTTGAGGGCACCTGCTGTTTCCCTTCCCACCCACTTCAGAGCCCTCTCCTGCACGCACTCCTGTGTTTGGCCTCCCTGGCCATGGTTACACCCCCTTCACGCCTCACTTCCTCTCCCAAGTTCTTGCAGAATGTGGTGTTCTTTCCCTGCTCCTCATGCAGGGTTAACGACGTGCCCATTGCCCATCTGGCTGAAGGCCACTGCCCCTTTCCCCCAACCCCCCATCTCCACCCAGGACTCCTCAGAGCATGGTTGCTCACCAGATTCTCATTGGTCAGCCGGGACATCTCCTGCTGGACACCAAACTCCACCTGGGCCTCTGGGGAGAGCAGCAGTGTCTGTGAGAAGGTCTGCTGCTGTCGGTCCATCTCCTCCTTCAGGGCTTCCACCTGGGCCTTCAGCCGTTCCACCTCCTCCTCATGCTCCAGGCTCTGGGCCTGTAGCTGTGCTTCCAGCAACCTGTGCCAGGCAGAAGAGGACAATGATTACACCGGCCAGCTCAGGGTCAGCATCTCCAGGAGAGGGGCCCTGGGCAGAAACACGACAGGGAGTGGCAAAGCACACAGCAGGGGCTGGACACTGGGGTCGGTCATCAGACAAATGGAACAGGCTGGCGACTCATCTGACAGAATGGGAAATGGAGGCCAAAGGCACCCCTCACTCTTGGGCAGTTTTCTCGGCCCCCATTTCTCATTTTGCGAGCAGAGTCCATTGGTCTGGGGTTCAGAGATTCCCTGTATCCAAAGGCCAGTGGCAGAAAGAAATGTCCCACTGTTATCTTTTTAAAAAGATACACCCACCTTGGTGTTGAGAAACCCAGACAAAACTGATCAACTGAGCTATTCATTTCCTATTTTCCCTATGGTAGATACCATATGGGTTTTCAAAAGGCAAAATACTATTCTTGTTCCTTTTGTTCTCACCATTATTACTCCCACGATCTCACACACTCCCACCTCCACCAGCCACAAGCCAAGGCAGTTTAGAAACGATGGGTAAGGGGGAGGGGAGGTTTAAGATCACCTAGGCTCAGGACAAGTCGCAGAGATCTGGAGGGACTCTAGAAAAGGCTGGCCACAAGCCTCAGAAGGCCAGGTCCCCAAGGGACATATGGGACAGTTCTGGAAGGCATCTGCTCCATCACCATGGCAGGTAGGGAGCCAGCAAAGGCTCAGAGCAGTGTCTTCTGGAGGTAGGTGCATACAAATATGCCTGTGATGCTGCTTCCCAACTCCACACTCTATGTGAGGTTGGCAGGATGCTGGACATAAGTGCCCTTAAAAGCTCTGTGACAAGGTCTGCATGGGGGAAGCATTTGCCCCCTCTCTTCCTGAGATGCAGAGATTATGCCCTGAGCTGGGCACTGTTAGGCAGCAGCTGGTGAGCTGCTGATTGCCCTGGAGGCCAACAGGTGGACAGGCACAGTGGTTTGGCAGTTCTGCTGTACTAGGGAGTGCCGATGTCCAGAGAAGAGGAGGGAGTCTGTCAAGGAGGGGAATATGGAGAGGGGGAGCTGGCTGTGTGGCTGGGGGGCTGGCACATTTCTGGCAGGGGCTGTTGGGTAGAGTTTGGCAATTGAATCAGCACTGGAGGTGCTACACAGCATTCAGATGTCATCCACTATTGGCCACAGCATGCTAAAAGCAGTCACCAGGATGCTACGAACTCCATGAGACACTGTGGGCCCACCGCCCAGAGGATGTCTCCCAGTGAAATGTCACTTGTTCCCATCTCAGGGCTCTTCCTCGGTATCCGGGTGGACTGTTTGTGACTCAGCCTGGGGATGTGTGCCAGGGCAAGATTCCCACCTATGCACCAGGCAGGAGAGTTCACCAGGTGAGAGGTGAGGAAACCAGAAGGACTGGTTCCCTAGCCTGGGCTCCCGCTACACTGTGACGCTGACTCCAGCTATCTGCTAATGTATTGCCCCACCCCATCTGCAACTGGGACAGGCACCAGGAGTTTCACCCTCAGGTCCCTCCGCCAACAAAACAGGCTGATGGGTGGGACAGGAATTGGGTCTTACCAAATCACCATGACAGACAGACGCGGCAGCTAGTATTTCTTTTGTGCTTACTACCTGTAAGGCAGGTGGCAAGTGCTTTACCTGTATGAGTCTGACTTTTTACAAGGACACTTCCAGGAAAGCTCTGTTCCCAGCCACAGGCCACAGAGGAGAAAACCGAGATACAGCCCGTGCTTTGCTCGTAGTGGGGGGCCATATTGGAAGAGCAAAGCTGCAGAGCCAAAAGCCTTACTACCTCATGGATACACCACTCTTGGCTTTGCTGGGGAGAGATACTTTGTGTTGCTGCACTGGGACCCCCATAATGACACCATCAGGGAGAACAGGATATACGCTGGAGGGCTCTAGACTCCTGCTAAGAGCCCTGCCAGCAGTGGCAGAAGAGAGTTGGGCTCTATACTCTTAAGCTGCCCCTCTGAGCCTGCCCCTCTTGTTTAAGAAGCCAGGCAGGGGACTCTGGCCTCATCCCTCTCTAAAGAGGCACAAGTGAACAAAGCAAGGCCATACACCCACCTGCTGGAAATGGCATAGGTCAGGCCATCCCGCTGTTGTGTCTGCTGCCTGTGCCTAACCTGCTCACTCACTACCAAAGGCCACTAAGCTACCAGCTTATGCTCTGGTATCACCAAACCCTCCATGTTCCATGGCTCTCCTGACCATGAGGTGGTCGTGAAGGTGAGATGACATGGGGCAAGCACTGCACTTGGCTGTGGTCAGCTCTAAGGAGCCCCCATGACGAGGACCAGCCCATGTGCTGCCAGGAGGTCCCCAGAAGCAGGAGCAGCAGCACAGACTGGGCTGACACTTCTGGCTGATCCTATCGAGTTGGGGAGTGACTCGACAGGTAGAAGGTACATTGCAGAGCGCCAAGAGCCCCCAAAGGACAGCAGCCTTCTAGGCCTGGTTCTAACTGGCTGTGCTCCTCTTGTCCATTTCCTCATGTATGGAATGTGTGGTTGGGTCGCCTGGTTCCTAAGGTTCACCTGGCCACCCTGTGCTACCACCTGGACCTGAACAAGCAGCCTCTCTTGACCTTATCTGCACAGTCTGGACACAAAGTGGCAGGTTTGTGACCTCCAGGGCCCCCTGGCCAGCATCCTCTGTGAGCTGTGCCCCATTCCCTTATACTCACTGTAGTTTAGATACAATTGGGCATGGACATGAATAGCACAACAGACAAAGCAGACACAGGAAGGAAGGAAGGAAGGAAGGAAGGAAGGAAGGAAGGAAGGAAGGAAGGAAGGAAGGAAGGAAGAAAGGAAGGAAAGAAGGGAGGAACACATTCGACCTGGCAACTTGCTTTAGGCCTTGGTAGGCCAGGCCGAGTTCTCCATCTTCATTCAAATAGCCCCAATCCTCAGTCTTGCTAGAAACAAAGGCAGAAAAACAAGGTGTCTGGTGCAGAGAAGATACAGGCAACAGAGAGCTCAGGAGGCAATTCTAGCCAGACCATCAAAGGCTTCAGGACTCCCATGCCCTTCCTGCTGCTGCACCTGCTCCCTGGGATGCCCATACCTCTCCCTCCAGCCCCACGCCCAGGTCTCCATCACTGACTTGCACATGGGCACCTGTGTAACACACTAAGAATCACAGCTGGGCACACCATGCCCTGTGGTCAGGGAACACCAAGAACTGCAGCTCTGTGATCAGCAGTGTGTGGCAGCAAGGACTGAAGTGGAAGCACCGCTATGGTCTCAAACCCCAACATGGACATTCAGAAAGGAATTAGGGGTAGGCCTCTCCCAGGGGAAGCTTCAGGGTGAAGCCAATAGCCACTGGGCTCAGTCTGGCAAGGAGCTTAAACCTTTTATCTGTGGCTTAAACAATCAGCTGACTCTAATTCCAGCTCTTGGTACAGAATCAGGTATAAAGGCACAGCTACAAACTTGGTGTCTGCTGATGCTGGCAAAGCGCTCTGGGCCTGTGCTGACTGCTGCCCTGGGCCTGGAGAGATCCTATGGGGTGTGGTGGGCAGACTGCCCCACCCACTGCTGCCAAAGACTTCAGTGACCATGAGCTCCCCCTTCTGGTTGTATCTCAGGTTCCCTGGGAGGCAGCAGGAAGCACCACCAGCCAGAATGGTTAGCACCCCTCCAATCTTACCCAGCTCTCAAGGGGCCAGCACTGTCTCTAGAGTGTGTGTGGCCTACATGAGTCACTGAAGTGCCCTATCCCATCTCCCCACCCCAGTTCAGCCACCCTGGGGTTTGAAGTGAGGGAAGGGAAGGTGGTAAGGAGCACAATCCAGGGTGCTGCATGACCTCTGGCTGCTAGGTGCTCCGATACCGTCCCAGCTCCTCCCTTCAGCAGGGCAATGAAAAAGGCCTCTGGCACCAAGTCTCCCCTGGGGACTCTTGCACCCAGTTGGGCCTCCCTGATCCAGTCTCTGGTCGTGGACTCTTCCCTTCCCTTGCTGCACTTTGCTGACCCCTGTGCCCTGTGTCCCAGCAAACCACAAAGTGACCTCGAGCTGTGTTATGGGTGAGGGCTGAGAGCTTAGCATGGCACCTTCTTAGGCATACTACTTAGGGTTTCCTGGTGACCAATGCTTTAACCCCAATGAGTAGCTGGAGAAGGGAGAGCAGCTGCAGTTCTTGGGGGACCCAGAGAGAATGCCATCAGAGTTGAACATGGGGTTCTTTTACTCTAGCTGCCCCCTCTGTCACAGGTGAGGGTCTTGGGAGCCATCATAAGCCAGGGTGGGAAGTGCCCAGAGTTCTGCATTCTGTAACACACCAGGCATCAGGGCCAAAGGCGAAGTCAGAGAATTGGGTAGCCTGGGCACATGAGTAAATGAAAAAACAGCCAGCTCTAAAGAACCCTATGTGCCCAGATAAGAGGAACCCAATCTTGCAGGAGTCTTGGGGTCCCTCCATCCAGGGCGCCACCTGCAGCCCATAGGAATCCAGTTCTTTGCAAAAGGGGGCATCCCTGTGTGCAGTCACAGTGCCGCGCCCTATTCCAAAGATTCGTCTCTCTTTCCCCTTGCCATATAAAACATGAGAAGCCACAGACACAGCAGTGAGAAACTGCAGAGCATTCCTGGAAACTTCACCTGTCTTCCCAGGGAGGGGATGGATTGCAGTGACATTCTAAAGGGCTCTGAGCTCTTGCGTAAAGCTCACTTACACGGGGCCTGCCCAAAGGTCATGGGAATGCATGCCCTGAGCCATGCTTGGATTTCAGATCCAGTTTGAACCTCTTGATATGAAAGGCAGAGTGAAAAAGACACACACACACACACATAGAAGGGAGAGATTGATCAGTTCACCCCCAAATGGACTCTGTAGCTAGGGCTGGGCCAGACCACAGTCAGGAGCCTGGAACTCTGCCCTGGTCTCCTGTGTGGGTGGCAGAGGTGGAAACAGCTGGATCAGCAGCTGGGAATCCTGGCTCCTGCATGGGATACCTGGCTCGAAGACAGTGGTTTAACCTGCTATACCACAACACCAGCCTGAGATTACGGGGGGGGGGGGCTGTTTGTACCCAAATAAATGCTTCATTTCTTCCCTAGAGCCTAGGGGCAGGGCCACTGTCCCTTGGTCTTCAAAGCCCCTGGAGCTTGGGCAGCCCACACAGGGAGGCCCAGGGAAATCACAAGGCTGGGTAACATCTCCTCAATGCCCCCCCACACTGTCATTTCTCCGCTCTAGGCCCCTGCTCCTTTTCTGTTTTAACTCAGGCCATTAGTTTCCTACTGTATGCTGGATCTGCAGCAAGTGGAGTTATTTTAAGCTATAATAAAAGCTATTTTTATTTTATCATCCCCATCTTTATTGCTCTGAAAGCAAGACAAATCCAATGATTGAGCAGCCCCTGGGAAAATCTAAGCTGGGGCTGGATCCCAGACAGGGAGGGCCTGCAGCTTGGCCACTGCCACTGGCTGTGTTCTTTTCACTTTCAGCTCACCTGTGTCCTTCTCTGCTATTCATTTCGCTTCTTCAACTTGAGCTAATTTAAAAGCACTGAATCCTGGCTCCAGTTTCACCTGTAAAAGTCACCCTCATTCTCTCTCCCCCTCCTTCAGTGAGAATTACTTCTTGAGATACTCTTGGTTTCCTGCTGGGGCCCGCTTGCAGCAACAGTTCCACCCTCTGACTATCAATACAGGGCCTGGCCTCCAGGGTTCTTCCTGGACTCAACTGGGTGCTGTCCCCACCCCTATCCCGGGTGGAATCTGTGTCCTCAATGCCGTAGGTGGGACTGGATCAGAAACTGTGGGAACGGTAGCACTGGGGAGCTGTGCTAAAAGCTGCAGCCGACGCACACAGCGCCACCTAGTGATGCTTTTCACAAGTGTCGGCTATGTTCAGCGGTTCTGAACCAACACTGGCTGAAGTGGCCAGGGCAGAGGCCTGCTGTGTTGTCAAAGGATGCTCAGAGGGGCAGGGGAAGTTAGAGAGCAGCAGGGAAGCAGTACTGCCCGGAGGGGTGTCCTGGAGCGGGGAGGTGTGCCTGTCCTGCTACAACTGCCCCCCAAAACAAACAGGAAGAAACTGAGTCACTCATGGAACAGTCAGTGGGCAGCAGGCTTGTGTCCAGGCTCTCCATTCTGCCATGCAGCCCTGGCCTGGCTGCCTGTCCGCCTCCCTCTCCAGCCTTAACCCTTGCTTGGCTCACCTCTGAGGAGGCACCAGACATGGTGGTTGGAAGGACAACCTAGGAAACCCTATTCAGCACTGCATGAGAGGTGAGACGCTCCCTTCCTGCCTTGGCAGTGCCCAGCCAGCCTTCTCCCCCGAAAGACAGGGGACGGCTCCTCTGTGTGCTGGCTGCCGGCCTGCCCCGGTGTGGCCCCAACAGCTGCTGAGCAGGCTCCCATGGCTAGCCAGGCTCCCTTTAGGCCATCTTCCTCTCTTTGAGAAATGTCATTCTTGGCTGGTCCCTTCACCTCTGCCTTCCCGTGGCTGCTCCATTTCCTGATCCTTCTCAGGGGATGTGGGTCCCACCAAGTCTTCCTAAGACTATCAGCAATTGTCAGCTGCCTTCCCCAACCCCAACACGGGATGTATGGTCAGTGCCTGGAAACAAGTCTTAGTGGAGCAGGCTGAGCCAGGCCCACAGTAGCATCTAGTGAGAGGCCTTACCTGTTTGCCTGGCAGACACCGTGATAGGCCTCAATGGCATCTTCCTGGTCCACATGCTTCTCGCTGTTGGGCCAGCTTGTTCTGGCATTAATGTTGGGCTCCTGGAAGGCCCCCGATGAAGAGTAAGTGACTTCAATGTGCAAACAGCTGCCGTGACACGTGTCATACACAGAGGTTTTGGAAGGGACAGGAGGCTGGGAGCAGCCCAGGTCATGGCAGGTCAACCCTGGCAGGACTACAGAAGGCCCATTTCGAAAGGCCTGGGAGAGGGGCAGAGCAGTGGAAGAAGAAAATGTGCCCCTAGTGCAGAGAGCATGAGGAAACCTGCTCATTACTGCCCACTTGCTCCAGCCTCAGGTGCCCAGGGCCCATGGCCAGAGGTGGCTTTTGCCCCCCTCCCTACCCCCCGGGGCTCCACAAACTGCCCCAGAAGGTGAGAACATCAGGAACTTACAGCACGGAAGTGACACCCTAGAGGGCAGAGAGCTGAACCTGCTTCCCCTGCCCACTTCAGATGGTTCACAAGACCACCTCAGCATCTCTCTCTGACTCTGCATTTGGCTTCTTTTGCATACTTTCCTGTTAACCACAGAAGCTTCTAGAACCATCTCTCAGAAGTGGTCATGCTGAGAGAGCAGCCAGCCCCTTGCTCTGCCTTTAGAGGAAACTCCAGAAGAAGAGTCTGCTCTCCTCCTCAGTGGGGACGGAACCGCATGAGAAAAAAACAAACCCATCCCCTAGTGGCGCCCCTGCCCGGCCTCCTCACCAAGTTCCTGCCAGCCAGCCGGCGCTGGTCGGCACTCACGATCTGCGTCCTAAGGATGAGCACCTCCTCCTTGCGCACCTCCAACTCCTCGTTGGCCAGCCTGAGCTGGTTCAGCAGGAGGCTATAACCATCAGGGGAGCTGCGTGTGGAGTTGTCCTGGGCGGCGTGGTCTGCCACGGCTTTCCTCAGCTCGTTCAGGTCATTCTTCAGCCTCTTGTTCTCTGACTCCAGCTCCTGCCTCTGGAAGATAGCACAGGGGCCACACCTGTGTCACTCCCAGCAGCCGTCCTGCGGGGCTGTCTCCAGGGTAAGGGGGCCTCCCCTGCCCCACCTACAGGGCTAGCTGAAAACAGCCTTCTTCCACGCAGCAGAAGTTCCAACTGGGCAGGCTGGAGGTCTCTCTGGGAGGGTGAGCAGAGGATCACAGCACCGTGTCCCACCCCCAAGCTCCTGGGATGCCTTTTCAGTCACCAAGGTTCCTCTTATCAAGTGGCCAGACCAGACAGACATGGGACAGGCAGCTGGCTGCATGGCAGCCAGCACAAGTGGCTATCATTATCTTCTTTTTAAAAACGTGTATATTTCGCCTTCTCTGGATTTGATGCAGTTTTTGAGTCATGTGATACATGTAGTTCCTTATAGGGATGTGGTCTGTTTAGAACTTGAGTATGTCTCCGGAAAGCAGCCCATAAAGGCAACCATCACGTGGAGCACAGCCTTGAGGGGAAGGATGTGCGAATGTTGCTAATGGAGGAGCACCATTCTGTCCACTGTTCTCTAGCCCACAGTCCTGACATCTTCCCATTGCAAACCAGTAAGACTCACTGGGTCCATATGGTGAGAGGAGGCTGGGAACTGGCTCTGTCCCACAGTCCAGCCACAAGAGCGATCCCTGCAGTGACCCTGCTCAGCCCCCAAAGGACTGCCAGGGGCTACTTAGGAGATGACCTGGTCTCTCTCGAAGTCTCTTCACAGCATTATTGATCATAGCAATATTATCAATATTGAGAGCATTGAGAGGATTTTCAGTGCTTAGAAATCGGCTCAGGAATCTAACACAATCGTGTTAGGAAATTTTCCCCATCGCCAAAGTTTCGGGAGCAAGGGGGTGGAGCTGTTCTGACCCTCTCCTCCCTGCCATGGGCCTGTTTTTCAACCCGAGACTCTCCACCATCCCCCTCTGGTCCATCTCCTTTGGGGGGCCAGCACTTGGTACATCAGGAGATGCCCCCACCTTACACCTGCCCATGCAAATTCTGTGTTTTTTTTTTCCCAGAGTGATTTTACCCCCCATGGTCACATTTTCACTAACACTGTCATCAGGTGGAAAAGCATGCACCATTATCCTATAGAGCCAACACGAATTGTTCCTTCCTTGTGAAAGGGTGAAAAGGGGAAGTGGTCTGTTTGTGGCCCTGCTGGTGGGCACACTGGAGGTGGGACCTTGTCTCCTGACACTAGCTTTGTGCTTTGTGCTATATATAGCAGGGAGGAGGGCATGCAGCATGAGTCTCACCTTCAGACTGTTGTAGGCTAGATCTGCATCCTGGTCCAAATCCAAGTCATTCTTTGGTTGCTCTGCCTGCACAGATGGGGTGGGGGAGGGAGAAAGGTGTCACAGGTGAGCGCCGAGCAAAGTGTCTGCAATCAGCCAGGGTCAGGCTTGTTCATTCTGCAAACGCTTAAGTGTTTGCACCCCTGCTTTCCACAAGTGCAGTTCCTCCCCACTTTGATAGGCAGCTCTGCATCTGGCTATCACCAAGTATCTCAGAAACAGCCCCCTCCCACCCTAGCTCTCCTTACTTGATCTCATTTTGCCCCCAGGCACACACAGGTGGAAAATGGGTGACATCTGTCAGAGGTTGAATCTTGCTTTCCTTCCCTAAAAGCAAAATGCGCTGAAGTCCTAACTCCTGGTTGACAGAAACTCTGACCAGATTTGCAACCAGGCTCTTGTGGATGAGCTCATTATGGTAAACAACTATCCAGGATGCCTGAACCCCTTATAAGATGGCCAGATGCACACACAGGGGAGACGGCCATATGAAGATGAGGCAGAGGCTGGAGGGGGGCAACAGCAAGGCCCAGACCCCAAGGACCACCAGCAATATCAGCAGCAAAGAGAAAGGCATGGAACAGACTCTCTCTGGGAGCGACCGAGACCCCACGGCCGTGTCAACACCTGGATTTGTGACCTCCACAATTCACAGTACCTTCTCGCTGTTCAAAGCCATCCAGTCTGCAGCACTTGGCTTGGGCAGCCACAGGACACTCACACCTCCTCTGTGGCTTGTGAGCTGGGCTTAAGTACACCTGGGGGTGGGGTGGGGTGTGCTCCTCTACAGTCTCAACTCTAATCGCTTGTGCTTAGAGGCCTATTCCCTTTGTGGCATTACAACAAGTGATAGGACAGCTGGTGCATGCTAAAGCTGGTGGCTGTGGCTGGGAAGGGCTGGAATAACACCCATTAGGAGTCAGCTGAGCCAAGGGTTCCTGTAATTACAGGATTGCTATCGGATGTACACAGGTTCACGAATCGGTCACTGAGTGATGGTCCTCTGAAGCAGAAGGGCTGAGAACTGAGAAAGCCCCAAGTAAGATGACCCTGAGGTCCAGGTATGGCTGCCATCAGCTGTGGGAGCATTAGGAGGGCCTGGGGTTGACAGATGGGGGTGATGGGAGGCTGCACATTTTCCACCACTTTTTCCAAGTGAAGATCACTTCCATTTGCTGCATGCTTCCAGGCCTGCAAGCTGGGGAAAGATGATCTCCAAGCTACCACTCTCCGTCCCATGTCCGGCCATCAATTGTGGTAGAAGGCAATGCTGCCCCAGGCAGAAGTCTGCCCTTGTGTTTGACATGGCACGGATTTGCCCCCACGACCACAGAGGCTACTTGCACTAGCTCCAGGCGCCATTTTAAGATAGCCTGGCAGACACATTTCTGAGTGAATAGCCCCTTGGAATCACACTGGGAGCCAAGGTGGCTTTGCTGGGCCTGAGGAAACAGAATGAGACAGACGGGGAGAAGGAGGGCAGTTAGACACACTGGTAGCTGGTGGCCATCACAGAGGCTGGCTCTTGTGGCAGCCCAGTCACCCCCATGTGGATGGTACAGTTCAGATTTCCTGGTTACTCCTCAGAGTGAGGCCCAGGGCCATCTCTCTCTAGGATAAAGAGTCAAATAGCTCCAAATTCCTCTTGGGACAAAGGGTGGCTCCAAGAACTTGACCTCAAAAAGCACAGAATGCTGCTGAGGCAGTCTGTACTCTCCTATCAACCAGGGTATTCGGCTTAGAGAAGCTCTATCTGTGACAGCACTGAGGCCCTACTACTCTTCTTTCACTTAATGATTATTTTCCAAGGAAACTGGCACCGAAGATTTGGCACTGAGAAGTTTCTAACCCAAGATTACAAAATTATCTGGCCCTTTCAGTGATGGGGGATCCGGGATGTGGCTGGGTGGGTTGATTATGCTTGACATTGCCTGGGTGGCTTTACATAGATCATTCTCAACTTAGGAAGGTTCAACTCTGTGACGGTGTGAAACTGGTATATATACAATAGGGACTGCCCTGCGATTCTGTCCTGCTCTTGGGCCAGGGACACACAGCACTACACTCCTGGAGAGTGGGAGGGCAGCATCACGAGGGAAAGTGACCCACAGCCTCCAGTGGGTTGTGCTGCTGAGCTGGGAGGCTGGCTGCTCAGCCCAAGCTCATTGCACTTTGGACCTGTCATGCTTTTGATCTGGGATGAGTTTTATATGGGAATAAAGCCCCACTGCAAGTTGAGCCAGCTGTATTGGACCTGTGCTCATCTGGCAGGTAGGGCAGCTCCCCTGATCAAGGGAGGAGTCCTGGACAAAGCTGACCCTTTTATTCCCCACTCTGGACACAACCCGCCTGAGAAATGGAAATCCACCTGTGAGATCTCTTTCCCCACTTACTGCTCTGGAAAAGAATCAAGCCTTTGGCAGCAGCGCAGACCATGGGCCACACGTCTGGCTGGAAAGGTGAGACGGATGCTGCAAACTGAGCCGGGGTTGCAGTGTGAACTCCTGCAATCCCGGCCAACAGCGTCAGCCAGACCCACGACCAGTCAGCTCCCGTTGGAACTGGCCTGCAGCCCACAAGAAGTGGTCTTCGTTCTCCAGAGAAATGAGAACTGGTCCTTATCTCCTCACCGCCAAAGCAACAGGCACTCCCTATTCCCACAGTCCCTGGGTCTGCACTCCACTTGGCCTGCATGTAAGTACTCACTACATTGTTTCCTATTTCCATCAGTGCTAGGTCTGTTTATCCTAAATGAATCTAAATTCCTCAGTGGCTGAGGACTTCTTACATTCCCCCATCTTTGCATCTGATACACATTTTCCATGCCTATCACCAGCCAGGAACCAGAAAACAGCACAGGCATCCAATAGGTCCTTGATTTGCAGCGACTACTGCTGGAGTACTAAGGTTTCAAAAATTTCTTTTCCAAGGCCCAGGAGGCTGACAGCAATCTGGATGGAGGCAGGGCACTGCATGGTCCAATGGGCCAAGCTAAGCCTATGGCAGAGTCCACCTACCAAAGGGTAATAGGTTGGCTCTGCTCAACTCTGACTTTTGCCATGTTTACACTCTTATACACTCTAGTCCTCCTGGCATGAGTTGCTCTCTTTGTAAGTGGGTGATGATACCAAGCCCTTCTCTCTTGCCAGGCTTCCCTGGGAAAATCCCCACTCTGGCAACAGCATGGAAGCTCACTCCTGCCCAGTTTGGTGGTGTGGAGCCCTCCTAGACAACACAAGGTGCCCTCTTCCAGTCAGCACCACGTGAGCCCAGGCAGTCACACCTGCCACCTGAACCCTGGCAAGCACCGGATGGGCCATTCTCCCGCCTCAACCCCTAAGGGCACTGCAGTCCCTCTGCACACCTGGACCTTTCTGCTGTCCTGCTGCTCTCTCTTCTCCAGCTGCACCTGCAGCTTCTTCCGCTCCTGCTCCAGCTCCCGCACTCTCTTCTGCAGCTTCAGGAAGACCGTCATGTCCATGGCTGCCTTCTCCAGGCCAATCTCCTTCAATGACAGATAGGGGCAGGCACAAGGAGGTTTTAAGGCACACAACAGGCACACTTGGCGCCATCAGCCAAACTGTCTCCTGCTGTCTTTCTGAACATCAATCCATGTCTCCAGTGCAATGCCAGCACCAGCCAACCAGCACGTCTCATGTTAAAAGCAGTGTTCCAAGCTTGCCGTCTGTCAGACAACATTGGAGCCTCAGCCATTCTGTATGCCTCCTGTGGCAGCCACTTCAAGTGACTCATAATAGATTCTGAGAACAAATGGATATGGACACAGCTCCTTTCTTTGGACGTTAAGAGAACTTAATTCTGGAAAGCGCTCCATTGAGGAAGTGTGCTGAGGGCAAGGACCTTGTTTGGCTTGGTCACTTTAATTGTCCTACATTTAGCACTTGAGAAATTGTGAGTCAGGACATAACATTTCCTGATGAAGAACTGATGTGGCTGCCCAGCACTGGATACAAGCTGTCAGATGCCCTCCCCTATGCCCACCAGCCTGACTTAACTGCATCTCGAAACAGAACCTGCACCTGCCCGGCCACAGCATCCATCTATCCAACAGACCAGGAATTTCCCAGAAGACTGTTTTCTCCCTCAGGTTCATGCCTGGGTGTGATCTCCAGGGTTCTGCAAAGTGCAGGGGTGACAGGACCCATGAGTGTACCTGCCTGTATGCAGGCACTCTGAGCACACATGTGTGGATTTTAAGTCAGTGTACGCCCCTCTGTGATAATATAGCTCGGCTCTGTCAGCTCGAATTTAGTCTTTAGCTGGCTTTAAAGCAGTCGACTTCCTTGAAGAACTCGTGAGGCAAGTGCTCATGTCTGTGTGTGTAGGCAGTCACATAGGCCAACCAAAGGTGGCACGGTTGGAGTTCACATACAATGAGAACTAGACAGGGACCTAGACTATAGAGGCTACAATAGTGAATCCACAGGCCTCACAGAGTAAGAGCATAGAGCAAGCAGCCACACACAACTGTGTGACCGCAAGAAGACCCTTGCTCCTGGGACCTCCTTTTCTAGCCCTCTACCCCATCACTCATCATCCTCTTGCTTTTGAACATGCAGCAGTACCTCTGCAGTCTAATCACACATTTTGTTTGCTAACAGCTCACTGTCTGATGTTCCACTGAGGAAGTGTGCTGAGGGAAGGACCTTGTCTGGCTTGGTTACCTTAGCTGTCCTACATTTAGCAGTAGTGTCTGGCACAGACACATGCTCAGAACACACTTGTAGGGTGGGTGTCTTGCCTGGCAGCTGAGACACAGGCATCCTGTATTGGAAGTACCTAGGTACCAGCAGCAGGTGATGGGTTAAGATGTTGGGTTCCTGTTCCCCATGTGGGAAAAGGAGTTTCTGGCCTGCAGCTTTGGCCCAACACAGCCCAACCCAACTCAGCCACTGAGGCATTTGCGGAGCAAACCAACAGGTAGAAAAGACAGGCACTCTCCTCTCTGTTTCTCAGAACACCAAAAACTTTGAAAACAGTTGTTTCAAATCACTTCAACCTCATGGCCATCTCTAGGTACTTTACATGCAGTCTGTGTGCTTAGGAGTTCTTCCAAATGCTACAGGTGCACTGAGGGGCCTCTGACAGAGTTACACAAAGACCACAAAGTCCATTGAGGGGTCCCATTAATCAGGGTGTCTAAGAGGCTACACTGACAGATACAGGCCCTCAGCATGGCAGGCGTGAGGGGGCAGTGGTCTCTGGGTTTTATCAGTTTCTAGGTCTTGTGGGAGGGGTCCTCCTGCACATTTGTCAATATCACCATATGTGTTGTGACTCTAGATGGTGGTGTTGAGCTGCATTTGTTTTAATGACTGAGTTCATCCCTCCCATTCCACCAGTCTGTGTGGGTTTCTGGGGCTTGTGGGAGGAGCCAGGAACTGTGTGTGTCCTACCCACCCCCACTCTGGACAGCACAGAAAGAGAGCAGTGGCATGCATCACTTCACATTGGAAATGCTGATTCCCAAGCACCACCCAGGTAAACCCACTGCAGCCCAAGCGAGCCTTTCTCCAGGATGGGCATCTGGGCCCCTGGCCACCATCCACAGGTCAGTGCAATGTGGCTGGGCAGCCCCACCTGGGGTATGCAACCCCACTCGTTCTTGGTGGCCCAGCAGCCAGGAGCCTGAGCGACTCACCTCCACCTGCTGGAGGGCATCCTCGGCGTCTCCGACCTCAGATGTGGAGATGGAGGGGTAATTGGAGTCGGATTCTAAGCTACTTTGGTTTGACGGATTCCGCCTGTGGCCTGGGGTTTGCTGTTGAAACAAAAATGCACGATGGCTCATAAGTGAAGTTCCTGAGGACTGAATGCACGAGCTGCAGGCACTGGCACTTGGCCTCCTTTCTCATTTGCCAACAAGAACAGGCATCACTGCTTCTGGGGACATGGATAAGTAGAGCTAATGCCAGAAAGCCTCACACCTGCTAACCAACAGGGCAGTCAGGAGGGAACAGGGCTCCACAGTGGGGTCCGAGTTCTTGTCTCTTAGTGAGATCTGTGCCTTTGGCTAATTTTTCAGAAAAGTCCAGTGGGGAATGACTCTTTGTCCCGGGTCTCGCCCTCAAAACTTGCAGCAAGGCAGCCCTGTCCCTGGTCTCTCCTTGAGCCTCCTGGCACTGGTCTGTCTCCCACGGGCCCTCCCTGCACCTGCACTCTGCCAGCCCCACATAGGGAAGAGCCACAGAACAGTGAGGTCCCATGCACATGGGTCATGTACAAATGTCTTTGGGAAGTCTGGTTTGTCTTTCCAATTAGAAGTTGAGCTTGGGTGGATAATTTTAGATTTCTGTGTGCATTCCTATACCATTTTTCTTCCCAATTTCTATGCAACACGGGAGTATGCATTTCTGGAGGGAACCTGAGGTGGGGTCATGGGGTTGCAGAGAAAATGGTAAATCCCAAAAGTCACGAAGTGTCTCTGTCCACCCCGTGCTTCGCAGGGACCCATGGATGTATTCAGGCCCTCGGGAGCCTTTGTGCCACACAAAAGGGGAAGCTGAGGATAGAATTCTCCAGCTACATCACTGCTGGCTCCCAGGACAGGAAACAGTATGGACAACACACACAGGTAGAATCTGCCCTCAGCTCTTATCTAGAGTCTATATGCAAACTCAGCATCATGCAGTCCTGCCAGCTCCTTGCCACAGCAGAAGCAAGAACAGCAGTGGCCAGCAGGGTACATATATCAGCTTGGTACCCTGTGCCAACAGCTGGCAGGGCACACAGGTGAGAGTCAAGAAGGTGGGCAGGGCAGTGGGACTGGGCTCCTTGCCTTCAGAGTGGCCATCTCGTCTCGCAGGTTGTCGTATTTCTGCTCCAGTCGGGAGTACTCCTTCACCAGGTTCTGGTACCGGGACCGTTCCTCCTCCAGCTCCTTCTTCATCAGATTCTCCTTCATGGAGCTCTGGGCAGATTCATCTGTAAAGGACCATACTGTAGTCAGGTGCAGGGGTGTTGAGCCATGTTCCCTAGGTTATGTCCGGGCACCAAGCTGTCGCCAGCAGCTCATCATGAGGCTTATTCATGCAATCGTGTCCACCCACCCCATCCCCTGCAGAGACCCGGGTGAGGGTGGCTCTTCCCTCCAGCCTGGCAGAAGTATCTGCTCTACTCCTGGCTGGGCAGATAAGTCAGCCTTTATCAGTTTCATGGCTACAGACAGCACTGCTGCAGGTACTGGGGGTACAGAAAGATTTAAGATCAGGCCTAAAGCTCAGGTTAGAGGATTGCCTACAGACCACACAGATGGGTGCCAGACAAAACTTCTTAGTTACATGACTGCAAAGCAACATGTTTCTAAAATTTAGAAACAATCTACATTCTAGGCTGGGTGGGAAAGTGAAGTCATGAGTTTCTCCCCCTGGTGACATGGGTGAGGGATGCACAGATGAGCGACCTCTCTGGGGTGCTAGTGGCCGGGGCGAGCACCGGGGTCCAAGCATGGGCATTGGCCTTTTGCAGCCAATGGCACCTGGGGGATGCCAGCGGAGGGTTGAACCAGAACCCAATTCAAGGCCCTCTAGCACACATCCTCAACGCCCACCTGGTCATGGTGGAAACCATGCATGGAAAAGGCATGTGCAGAAATGGCAGTGCTGATGGTTCCCGAGTGCTTGCTGTGTGCTTGCTGTCTGGAGCACTTGGACCGCAATAGGCACCTCACTCCCCACACAAGCCCTCTAGGGCCTGCACTCCTGTGTCACGAGACTTTGCCTTGAGGCCACAGGAAGCACCTGGTGGGGTTATGCTCTAAGCACAGGCTGCCCCGAACCCTCATCCCCTTCCACCTCCTTGTCTTACTGTCTACAATGCTCGTGTCTCCTCTTATTAAATTTTACAACTGCACATCACGGCTGGACCTCAGAGCTGACCTCTTCTTTCCACTGCTCCTTTCCAAGACGCATTTCCCACCCAGCATCTTAACTACCCACTTGCTGGGAGTCTTCAGGGGAAAACTAGCAAGAAAGCACCAATCAGAACCCACACTTCCCCCGGCCCCCTGCCCGACACAAACACGGACCATGAGGGCTCTGACACTGACCTTTAGACCGGCCCAGGATCTGGTTGTTAAGCTGTTCTTTCTCATCTTTCAAGAGAGCGTTTTCTTGCTCTAGATCTGCTACACGCTGGAAGAGAGAGAGAACATCAGGGAGGAATATCTCCCCAGGGATAATGGGGAAGGCAGGGGGCTCCTTGGTAGGCATGAAAGACCTTTTCCCAAAGCTGCTCTCATTCTGCAGGGAAGAAGGCACACTCAAAGAAAAGCCCCGTGAAGACAAGACAGTGTCGTCTTGTCGTGAAGACAAGGTGAGTGTCGTCTCATGCACAGTCACCTCATGCGCCCATGACCTCACAGGAAGTCCACTGTGCACTCACACCTGGCTGAGGACCTGAAAGAGGGACCAGGCACCTGCACTATGTTTGCTTGCCTGACCTGCCAAATTCCACCTGAAATTCACAATAGGTGACTATCCCTGGTCTTGTATCTTCTTGCCTATGCCTTCCCTACTGCAGCTTCATGGTCAAACGGACAAGGAAGTGGATGACGACACACGGAAGTATGGCCAAGGGACAAAGGCTTTTGCTCATACTCCACTCGATCCAGCATTTGGCTTCAGACAACACTGCTAATGTAACCCCACAAAATGTTACCAGAAAAAAAGTGCATGAACGAAAACACTAACAAAAGAAAAAGCCTGGGCCTGGCGTGGTCGCCTAGCAGCAAAAGTCCTCGCCTTGAATGTGCCAGGATCCCATATGGGCGCTGGTTCTAATCCCGGCAGCTCCACTTCCCATCCAGCTCCTGCTTGGGAAAGCAGCTGAGGATGGCCCAAAGCCTTGGGTTCCTGCACCCAAGTGGGAAACCTGGAGGAATTCCAGGCTCCTGGCTTCAGATCGGTGCAGCACCAGCCGTTGCGGTCACTTGGGGAGTGAATCATCGGACGGAAGATCTTCCTCTCTGTCCATCTGCCTTTCCAATAAAAATAAATACATGCATATATATATTTTTTAGAAACCCTGGCTTTTCTGAAGAAAAAGGAAAAAAAAACACCGTAAGGCAGGATTTAAAAATTTTTTTGCTATGGATTTTTTTTGTATGGATTTTTAAAATGTACCAATTTAGAACTAACCTATAGAATTAGAAACTATTGGTATAAGAGAGAAAGGGAAAGGTTAGGTTTCTCTTTTTATCCCATGAGGGTTAAGTTGCAATCAATCCATCTTTGCCTTTAGAACCTCACAGATGCGTTCTTCCTGACGTAATCATTTCATCTTTGTGACACAGATGAGGGACAGCTGTGAGAGGATGAACATGTCCCCTCAGCACAGGACTGATGCTCACCTCACAGGGCTGTTCTCTGTACTAAATGAGGTGACCTCCACACTAGGTGTAGCAAAAGGCAGATGGGTGCCTACAACAGGCTCCTAGTGCTTGCCTGCCTGACCAGCTTTCCCACTCTCAACTGTCAAGGTTTTCTGATAGACAGAAGGAGCAACCTGGCTCCGAGGATCAAGGCTTGGATTGAGCCATCTTCCTGAGGACTCTTCCTGCCTGCAGAGAAAAGCCTCTGGGTAAGGCTACCCTTGGCCAAAGCACAGTGTGTGATGGCCAGTAGGTGCCTGGAATCACAGGGTTTAGCTGCTGTACCACTGGGAACACAGCCTGGGAGACACCAGCATGGCGATGACAGAAGACCTGGCAATGTCCATGGGAGCCACCTGCATGCCAAGAAGAAACACGTTGCAGAGACTTTGCTTTGGCAGAAAAGCAGGAAGGGAGGCCCCAGAGAGGCTGGTAACTTAGAGGTATGGATTTCAATTTAAACACCATCTCCCCTTCCTCTCCTGGCTTCACAGGAGGAGCTGAAGACCCCTACAGCTGAATGCATACTCACAGCCTCCCTTGGCTAAGCACTGCATCTGGAGACCCAAGGCTGGGTCCAGGAGCCATACCACGGTCCCTACCTGCCTTTGGACCTCAGGTGCCCTGGCTCTCCTTTAGGCATTGCAGGTGGTCTTGACAGCAGTTTGCCCTCCACAGTCTTAGGGAGAGAAACAAGACACACAACACTGCTGGGGTTGGGGGTTACACACACAACTCCCACTGCTAATCCTGTCCATGCCACCCAGTGCCCCAAATCACCTTCCTGGACAGTTCTCCTCTGTAATGTAGAAGTGGCCTGAACAGTGGCTCCCTCCACGCTCTACACTCAGCAGCACTTGACTTGTCTAGTGATGCCACCTGCGGCTGTGCTGCTGCAAGTTGCAAGTTACAACACAGACGCTCTGATGAGTGTCTGGGTGATCCCGTTGCTGCTCTGGGAATCCTGACCCTTACCCCACAAATAAGTGGACAGGGTCAGGGCCCCTTTGTATGGAGAGGCAGGTGAAAGGGTGGTGGTTCTCCTATGGGGTGGTGGGACACAGATGAGGCTAGCAGAGGACTACACATATAAGAAGCTGCACTATGTACTACTCCTTGTGTTTTGTGTCTTGTGGCCACTAAGAGAGGACTTGGTGATGAGGGCAGGGGACAGAATGGGCACTGCATGAGAGCTCCCCTGGCAGAGCTGGCTCCTACCTATTTGAGACAATCAGGACTTTTCTAGTCCCTAAGGGTGACATTATGCGTGGCTGAGAACCACAATAAGGAGGTGACCACAGTCAGCATGGAAGCCCAGGAGACTGCCAAGGGAGAGGGAGGTCAGCTGGCTGCTTCAGGCTGCGGTGGGAGGCGGCATCGTAGGTAGAGTCAAACATACACACACAGGGAGGGGAAATCTTCTCCATGATGCTGAATGACACTCAGCTGCAGCCAGGCAAGTCCCAGGAGTACGGGCAGACTGCACAGCTGCTCCTGATTCTTGGGATAAACTTGATCGCTTCCCTTGACACTCCCAAGGTCCCCCAGGCCCAGTTTCTCACCTGGTCTCTGCCCACCCTGCAGCTCCTGTCCTTCCCTTGTGCCTCCTGCCAGGCTTTAGAAGCAACCCAGTTCTCCAGAATGTTTATTTGAAAGGCAGAGGGACAGAATCAATCTCCCAGCCAGTGGTTCTTTCCTCAAATGGCTACAATGGTTGTGTCTTGGCCAGAGCTGGGAACTCATTCTAAGGTGCTTCAAGTGGGTAGCAGAGACCCACCATCTGCTATCTCCCAGGGTACACAGTAACAGGAAGCCAGAAGTGGAACAGGGCTGGGACTCAAACCCAGGCACACACCATATGGCTGGCAGGTATCCTAAGTGGTGTCTTAGCTGCCTTACCAAGTACCTGTCCCTCCACACCAGGAAGATTCCATTGTGTGCAGATTCATTTCTTCCCAGCACTGGCTCCACTATCACTCCTCCATGAAGGCCTCCTATCTTGCAAGGGTGCACAGTCATACAGCATCCTGCAACGCAGCATCTGTTTGAGGCTTCATCAGTTTGCATTGCTTCTTGGCCACCTGCTCAGCCTGGACCAGACTCCCTGGTCCCTGGACAAAAGGACATTACTGCAGGGTGTCGCAGTCTTTGAGACTAGCAGGCCACCAGCATTGCAAATGCCAGGGGCATTGACACTAGGGCCTGCAGAACCCAGTTAAGGAGCCAACACTTGCCTCAACAAAGAAGGAAGGGTCCCATAAAGGCATTTTTATTAATGCTTCATAGTTGGTTCAAATATTAGAATACATGCACAAATTGAATTACTTGATGAGCTTGTTTAATCAGACACTTCAATTCAGAAGCATTTAACATGAAGGGGAAACATTCCTGAAGTATATCTAATCGCTGTAATTTTAGTTCCCCACTCAGTGTCTTCATGAGGACCTTTAAGTTAGCTTGGCAAGTAATCAGGATTGCACTCACTTTTTCTGGATGCAGGAGTCACACCAGACACAATCTACAGGGTCAACCACACCTTCTAGACAGCTGGGAAGCTAAGCCCCAAGCTGGAAGGTACCACAGTTAGGAGGTGCAAGGCAGGAAGGAGAAGCAGGTGTGGCTGCTGATTCCACCAACTGCTAGGGAAAGCTGAGGTGAGCTTGCGGGGTGGGTCATAGAAAGCTGTGAAGGTAATGGAGCCAGACTTGGCTTCCCCTTCCCTACCCAGCAGGTGCCTGAGAAGGTTCCCAAGACCACTCATTTTCCCCTGAACAATACACAGTGCTCAGGCCCTGACATAATCCACCCAGCGAGCAGCAAAATCTCCATCCACACCAATGATCTAAAATCCTGAGTCTGACTACAAAGCGAGAGCACCACTGCCTCCTGGAACGCAGAGAAGCAACTCTCATTTGAAGAGCACCTGGGCAGCTGTCCATCTTGCTTGCCCGAATGGTTTGAGAGAGGCACCCATGTTTCTGCTCTTCAATGTGTGGCAGGAAGAGAACCAACTAATGGTCAGCTCCACACCCTGGAAAGGGCAGATAGTGCTGCCCCAGTTCCTCGTGCCCAGCGGCTCAGCATCGGCGGGTGACAGAGCTCTGCAGCCATACGGCTCAGCCCTGTGAGCTGCCAACGACCTAGGGTGCACTGAGTGAGGCTATAAACAGGACAAAGGACACCTTAGCTGAGCTCCAGGACTCATTAAACCCCATCCACTAGCTCCATTAGGGGAGTGGGAGGTGTGGGAAGGAGGGAGGTGTTTCCTCAGCAAGTGTAGCTGGGACAAAACGAGGTGTCCTTTGACTCATCCAGGCAGGGACTTGCAGCCACCTCCTGCCTTTCTGCAGGAATCTGCAACCACAGCCCTTAGCAGGAACAATCCTTTGATTTGGCAAATGCTTAAGGAGTTTCACTCAGCTGTTTTTTTTTTTTTTTTTAACTAGAAGGTGAGGACGGTAAGGCAACTCTGAGACTATAGCAAAAATGTCTTTAAAGGGATACAGCAGACAGTATTTTACCTACTATCCCTAACAGCGATCAGCTCTCTGGGGAGTTGAAGGGTGAACATTGTCCTCAGGGTCAGAAGACCCTTCCTGACTGCAGCCCACAGCCTCTCAGACCCCAGCACTTTCCTGCCATCCTCCTTCTCCCTCACTCCACCGCAGGGTCTCTCATGCCCTCAAAGCTGCTGAGCCAACTCCCATCAGTCTATGCACCTGCTGCTACCTTGATCTCCAGTTCCTTCCAAGCCCTCACAGGCTGCCTGCTCCCCTCTCCCAGGTGTCTTTTCAGATACCTCTGGCCAGCACACACAGTACTGGAGCCTGCAGCCCCCTGGGGCTTGCTCCAGCTTCCTGGCTCTGCCTTCCTTCTCCTGCTAGCTCACGGTCAATAGTGGGTAGGCAGTGTGAGACCCATGCGCACCTTCTTCCCTCATCCCTGTACATTCTCACTCTATAAGAACAAGGATCAGAACAGTGTCCAAAACAGGCACTTGATAGATCCCTGTGGAGGGAGCAGGATGCAGGATTGTGCACGCCTAAGATTTCTACAGTGAGACAGAATCCTTCCCCAGGGACCAGTCAGGGCCTCTTTCTCATGACCATTAGTCTCCTCCCAAACCATTAGTCACCAAGAGCACAACTCCAAGCCTTAGCTTGTAACACGAGTCCTGCTCTGTGTCTTTAGGGAGAAGGCCTGGCACATTCTGATGGAAGAGTCCCTTCCAGGCCAGATCTCTCTATATTCATAAAACCCAAGGACGTGCATGCTGAAATTACCTGAGGTAATCAGCTAGTAGCTGCTGCAGCTATGCTGACGACATGAGGCAACAGCCTCACCCCACCCACCTGCCAGGAAAGGGGCCTACTGGGCACCCCTCACAAGTGCCAAGGACCCTTGCTCAGAGCCAGGCACCTGGCTGGGGCCTACTCTTCCTCACCAAGCTAGGCCCTGTTCTCAGCACGATCTTGCTGCCCCTTGGCCGCCTTCAGAGCAGATCTTGGGTAATGAGCTGATTCCCTGTCTCAAGGGCAGCCTCGAGAGCCACCACCTTCATCAGGGATGCCAAACAGCCCAGCTGCATACACCAATATGGATGGGTGCACAACAGCTGCCCATATGGGGAATGCGTTTGGAAGGAATTCAGTATGTACCTTCCACAGGCTCTAAGGAAGCTGACTTGGCAGAGGAGCCCAAGCAAGGGGTCCCTTCAGCAGATAAAACACCACTCAACTCATCTGCCTGGGGACAGCAAGAGGAGTTCCAGTCCCCTCCTGTAGGACCTGGCTTTCCATAGGCCAAGACAGGCTGGATAGGCAGGCTCTGATGAACACCACTGGCATGTACTAGGGTGCTGGTTCTGATAGGGCACTTGCTACCTGAGACAACAGAAACATCAGACATGTGAGTTAAACGTTTATCAGCAGATGCACCCAACCACCTGCCCCACCCAGTGTGGTCTGTGGGTCTCATCAGTCTCTGCGGGGCCCAGTAGGAAACCAACTGGGTGATTTTTCACATCCAGTGCCCTCAATGGACATGGAACCCAACTAGCACTGTGTCCCCAACACTAGAAAATGTTTCTCTAGACCCTGGAGGAGAATGCTGGGCTCCATGTGCCCTGAGGATGGCAGACACCTGCTCAGGGACACATCTAGTGCAGCTGTCATTCTGAGTGTTCCCAAGCTGGGATTTACTGACGCCTGGAGCTAAGAAAGGGCTTAGTGCTCTGCTCCAGTCACACCCTGTCTACACTGCCCCAGCTTCCTCCTTCTCTGTTAGTTCTAAGCTTGAGTTTAAGATGTAGGTGAACACAGCTCCAAGAAATAGCACCAATCCTCTCGAGAATTGGGGAAGAAGCTTGTTTTATTTTGTTAAGATTTTTTTTCATATTAGAAACTGTTATACTCAGGGGATCAGTGTTGTGGCACTGCACAGTTAAGCAACCATTTGTGATACATATTCCTTGATGCTCTACTTCTGATGCAACTCCCTGTTAATGTGCCTGGGAAAGCAGTAAAAGACAACTTGAATACTTGGATTCCTGCATCCCTACAGGAGATCTGGAAGAAACTCCTGGCCCAAACCTGGCTATTGTGACCACCAGATGGAAGAGCTCTGTCTTTTCTGTTAATGCTTCATTTCAAATAAAGGCCTGACTTACAGTGAAAAGCTAGATTTTCAGAGAGAAGAAGAGACTGAGAAAGATATTCCATCCACTGGTTCTTTCCCTAGCTGGCTGCAATGGCTGGAGCTGAGCTAATCCAAAGCCAGGAGCTTCTTCTGGGTCTTCCACATGGGTTCAGGGTCCCAAGGCTTTGAGCCATCCTTTACTGCTTTCTTAGGCCAAAAGCAGAGAGCTGGATGGGACGTAGAGCAGCCAGGATATGAACTGGTACCCACACACGATGCTGGTACTTGTAGGTGGAGGATTAGCCAGTTGAACCATCATGCCAGCCCCTCAAATAAATAAATCTTAAAAAAATTATTAAACTCTCTTGGAGGGGGACTTGCATGCGCAAGTGTGCTGAGCCTCCAAGTCTCAGCATTGAGTGGGAAGCCAGGAATGGGATGGGTCAGGTGCTACGTGCAGGGAAGGGATGGCAGAGACCTTGGTTCCGCAGATCTGAAGGGTAAACAGGCTTTGAAGGCATCTGATCTAGTGGGATTCATATGTGGAGTGGTTTCGTTTTGTCCTCCCAGGGCCCCCTATCTCTTAGAGCTTCCAATTCAAATAGTCTCCTCTTCTTCATGCCTCTGGGTTCCACCTTCTTGTTGGATCCCATGTAACAGTTGTCATTCAGCAGCTCCCGAGGGCCAGCAGACTCCAGGTGTGTATCCCCCTTGACTTACAGGTTACAGGGGTCTCCCAGCACCACATGCTCTGGTCCGAACAAGGGAGTCCACTGAAGGCTTTGCAGAGGCTAAGCTAGCAAGGTCATGTGCAAGGAGGCTCTTGTGCTGCCTCAAAGCAACTCACCAGGAGGAGGAGGGCTGCTTTGGGAAACTCCAGGTTTGACTTTCCTCATCACCCACACCCTGTCAGAATCCCACTTTTGCCCCATGGAAGAAGCGGGAAGTGGGTGAATGCAGTAGCTGAGGGGACTCACATTCTGCCTGGGGTGGGACAATGAACTGGCCTTCAGGCTTTCTTCTCCCATGGGTATTGCTTCTTAGCCTGGGTTGCTGAGACCAGCACTGGGAAGTGGGGGTGCGAGAGGGAGACAGAACAACAGAGAGGGCCGAGGCCTCCCCTCTGTCCAGAAGCCTCAAACATGAGCTCATGGAGCACTACAGGGGTTTCTATACCAATGGTTTGAACCCTTAAAGAGGGAATAGAGGCCAATAAGGCACATGCCTGGAAAGGCTGGACAAGGATGGGAGCTTCTCTGGGTATTGCAGTGGCCGCCCCAGGGCCTCCTCCATGCCAGCTTTTGGTCTGCCACATTTTGTGGCTGTTACTCTAATGTGGACGCTGAGTCTTATCCTGACTGTGATGCCCCATGAAAGACAGATGCCTAATGAGCTGGCCATGTGCTATTCTCACCTTGGCTCATGGGTTGCTGTGAAGATGGGAGAGCACAGCAGTCTCCAAGTGCACAGAGGGCTCTCCAACAGTGCTTTGGTAGAAACAGTGGGAACTGCTGTATTGTGGGATGAGAGAGAACTTCATACCTGGGTCTTTGGAAGATCTGGGCAAATGCAGGAGGGCACATCCTCTGGGGCAAGGAGGAAGCCCGTGGACCCCACCAGCCAGTCAGAATGGATAAGTGCAGCTGGAACTTTCAAACTGAAAATTGATCCAGTACATGACAATTGATCATGGACAGGAGTAGGTTGTTCAGAAACCTCCTCTAATCCCTGAATGCAAGGTCAGGAACAGTAGCCACTTCCTCTGAGACACATGAAGGTGTGTGTATGTGTGTGTGTGTGTGTGTGTGTGTCTTTCCCCCATGGGTCCAGCTAACTAAAGTCACTCTGTCAGTTTGTGCTAGGTAAATGGACACACACTTGAGTGAGTTCTCCCGATGCAGGGCCACTCCAGGTGTATACACACATAAGCAGATGGTTAGCCTACGGGCACAAGACCCAGGACCGTGCAGGACAATGAACATCACAGGTTGGGAACCGAGAAGCTGCCCCCGGCCAGCCCCCACTGCATTACCTTTCTCAGCTGGTCTTTCTCCTTGCTGTGGGCATCCTCCAGGACCTGGCGCTCCGAGTGTGCCTTCTGCAGCTCCGAGCGCAGGCTCTGCACCTCCTCCTGCAGCCGCAGACTGGCGTCCCCGTCCTGGCTCTGCTGATAGTGTGCCAGCTCCTTCTTCAGTTTCTCCACCTCTACGGCGTGCATTGAGGTGACCGTCGACAGCTGCTCCGACAGGGTCTTGAACTCTTTGTTCTTGGGAGAACATGGCAAATGGGATTGTGGGGTAGGAGGTGGGGTAAAGGGAGGAAGGGGAAAGAGAGAGTTATTGGGCCAGGAAAAAGCTTGAAGGCAATCAAAAGAGGAGCTTCCATGGTGGAATTAAACTTTACAACCATGCCATGCTCCAATGCTTTCCTGGCATCTTTCTAACAAAGCTCTACTGTGAGACTGGGAGTAGAGGGAAACAGCCTAGCCACATTGACATTACAATGGTTCAAGGAGCTCTTGGACCAAGAGTAGGCAGCAGGTAGCTCTCCTCAGTGGCTGGACAGATTCTCCATTAGGCTTAAAGCTGCAGAGATGATGTAGCTGCTTCCCCAGGTCTGCAGCTCTGGCTGATGGGGTTTCCTGGCTCGTTCACACTGAGCCCTTTTACCCTCAAACCTTCTGGCACCAAGAGCTGCAACCTAATCTCTGTTCTGAGACAAAGGACCCCTTCAGCAGCCCCTCTTCCACGGAGGCCTCCTCTCCCACCTGTTAGCCACAGCTGGCCTGCTCAGACACCGACCTTGGGAACCAATGCCCAAGCTGCAGGCCAGCAGCCTGGGCCCCTGGGGTCCCGCCCACTAGGACAATAGATCAGCAAGGCAGCAATTCCTGCCAAGAGCCAGGGTCAAGGCTAAGTGTAAATTATGGGTGAGAGATGTGAGCTAGCAGTAGTCAGCAGAGAAAAGCAGGAGTGAGAAGGGTTCTTCATGTGATCAAGCAAGCAACAAACAGGAATTGGTTACCCTTAATGGCTACTTGCTGTGGAAACCCTAGACAAGCTGAGCTACAGGCAAAAATGCTGAGATGTCCATAACCAGTGATAAACTCACACAAGAGATGCAACTGCGCAGACATTGGAGCAGAGCAGCTGCAGAAAAGCCATGAGGCCCCACACGCTGGGACCTCCTGGCTGTGTGTGACCCAGGGGGTAGGCCATGTTCTGAATCAATTGACACTGTAGAGCCAGGACTCCTGACTCTGTAGGAACCCCTCAGGATAGCCTGATCCATCCTTATGCGTGCCCTAACTGCCAGCCTTGCTCTCACAGACCATGAAGAAGGCTCCAGTCATGTGGCATAAGACCTCCCTGCAGTGCCCACTTGGGGCTCAGTCTCTGCTGGAGCTTGAGGGGCTCCACATAGCAGAGAGGGAATGCTTGCTGCACCCTCCATCCTTTACCTCCCCCCCCCCATTCAGTCACAAAGGAGTAGCCTGTGACTTCAGCTTTCTGCCAACCTGGCACATAGAGAGTAATTTGGCCCATTGAAATGAGACATTTCTTTATATAATGAGAATCAAGTTTCTTAGACCCTAGACATATAAGGTTACACTTAAATATCTTTAAAATATGCTAACCTACAGATTCAGTCAGCAGCCTTAAAAAAAAGATTTACTTTCATTTAAAAGGCAGATTTCACAGAGAGAGAGAGAGAGAGAGAGAGAGAAAGATCTTGCATCCACTGGTTCACACCCCAAACGGCCACAACAGCCAAAGCTGAGTTGATCCAAGACTGGTCCAGGTTTCCCACATGGGTTCAGGGTCCCAGAGACTTAGATCACCATCTGCTGCTTTCCCAGGCCACAAGCAGAGATCTAGATTGGCACTGGAGCAGCCAGGACACAAACTGGTGCCCTGGGATGTTGGCACTTGCAGGAGGATTAGCCCGTTATACCACTGTACCAGCCCTAGTCAGGAGTTTTTAAATCTGTTTGATTCCGTATATTTAGTGGTCAGTTATTAAACTAACATTTTATGATTCAGTGCATTCATACATGTTTGAAAAGCAGGGTAAATCACAGCTTTAGGGCCTTCCTGCACCTCAGTTTTTCTCAACTGTGAAATGGGGATGTAGGTAACTTTCAGTAACATGTGTGTGAGTGAACAAGTAGCAGATGAGCAGCACATGGTACAGTCCCTTGTCCATAGTAGGCACCCAGTCACGTAGTGGTATTGGGGGCATTTATTTGTCCTCTCTCTAACCCCAGGGTATGTAAAGCATCAATCAGGATCCACCCTAATACAGTTGGGCAGGTTGTACACTGGACAAGGATGTCTAGCTGCAGAAACCAGTGAGGGCCAGGCCCTGCTGTCTGACCATCAGCCTGCCCTATGGCACTGCTGTCTTGTAGAAGGGTCATTGGTTCCCAGGTGTGCATCCCTGGGGCTCTACTCAATTACAGAGGTTCAGTCCCTCTTTTTTTCAGGATTGTCTTTCTCTGGTTACCCAGAGGTGTGCTATAGGGACCAGCAGAGGACCCAGAGTCCCTGGTTGTTGGAGCTGATGTAGCACATGCATTTCCCTCATAAGAAAAGATCTTGTTCAAGCAAACCTTTGAAGCAAACTGAGCTCTTAACCAAACTAAAGAATAGCAGTCTGGGTTCCCTGCCCAGCGGAGGGCAGATCTGAGCTCTTCAGCAGCAGGAATGGGACCGACCAGCAGTCTCTGAGGATGTTTGAGGAACCCAACGAATGCAGGGACCTGTCTAGAAATTGCCTGGAGAAGTCCCTTCTGTGGCAGGACAAGGCCTGACCACGTTCCTCTGGGACAGACTGTCAACCCAGAGCACTATATGTGACCACCCGGGCATTATCACCGTATTTATTTCTGAAAGGGACACTGAAGGGTTGCGGCTTTCCATTGTTTATGGGGCCACACAGTGAGAAAACGCCAGCACCACGGACAGTTCCCACCCTCCCATCTGCACTTTAAGACTCTCCACTGACCTTGTTTCTTCTGTTATTTCTTGCTAACCCAGTACCACGTGACTTTTTTCTTCCTCAGGTAAGTGCCCAAGGGTTTGAGATATGCATTTGGGCTGCTAATCTCACCCTGGTCTCTCCTTCAGTGCCCCCTCCTCCCCTCGTTGACTTCTTGGTCTTGGGGACACTTTCAAAACCTCCTCGGCTCAGGTGATTCAGCAATATGGCCTGGGGATGCAATTACCGCACAGGTGAACATCTGGCCTGGAGGCCCAAGCTCTCGGCCATGGTTCTGAGAACAGCTAAGCCATCATCCAGTTCCCTGTGCAGCTGGGGCCTTGTCCATAAATCCCTTGGGATTTCCTGTGCCTGTCTCCTCCTGCCTTTAGAATCTTGTTTGGAGAGAGAAAGAACAGCCTCCTGCAAGGTCTCCAGGAATTACAGGAACCCGAACACCTTGCTGCACCTGCTGAAGGGCCCAGGCAACAAGCAACTCCAAGGAGCCAGTGCAGAGTGTTGGGTTGGTGTCTCCTCTCATGACACAACACACCCCTAGAGCACAATCTTTTATGCCAGGCCATGCTCCCATGGCAAAGTGCCAGTTGTCCCTGGCATCTCCACAAGCACACACCCACACCAAGGGCGAGCGTCTCCTCTGCATCACGGTGCTCTCAGTCCCAAGGATCTCTTGGCGAACGGGTACCTTACAACCTTCTAAGAGGGCACAGAACACACATCCTGACACCAGCCGGCTGAATTCCCATCCTGGCTGTATTGACACAGTTGTGAGACCCCAAGTGGTGACTTACCAGTTCTCTATGCCTTGGTTTCCTGAGCTTTAGAAGAGGAACCGTGTTACTCTTACTCTCCTATGGCTGAGGTGAGGATTAAGTGAATCAAAATACAAACTGCAGCACCTGGCATGTGGTTGGGCACCTGGGACATGCAGGCAGGAGAGAGCAAGCCCCTGTGTGTGTGTCCTGACACCTCCCCCTGCTCCCAATGTACGATACCCTACATAGGGATGGCTACCAGCTCCCACTCCACACAGATGTTTGCCAAGCAGGAAGTTTAGGGTCCAAAAGCTCGCTTTAAAAATAGGCCCTTTGAGTCTGCCTCTCCGTGATGCGTAGGCACATGGATGGTAAAATACTTGATTTATTTTTATCCTCTCAAGACAAATTTGGAAGCCATAAACATCAACGCAGAACCCCGTAGCTAGAAACCCAGGGTCAGCACAGCTAGCAACTCCCAGGGCTCCCAGCATGCGGGGCGGGGGGTGGGGAGGCTCAGAGGTTGCTTGGCCCTCTGAGCATACTCCATGTCCAGGAGGTTCACTGGAGACATTTGACCATACAGTGCTTTCTCTGGGCAGTCACTAGCAGCCACCATGTTCCCAACAACCACCTTGGTGCCTTCTGGTTTGCATAGGATAGCCACGGCTGAACCCCTCTTCCTTATCTGAGTGGGTGGACCTCCCTTCCTAACCTGTACCAACACTGCCGGCTGTCTGGGTACAGGTGCCAAGCGTGCTCTCCCCTGTGCCCGGACCTTCCCTCTCATGTCCCCACGAAGGTGCCAAGCCAAACAAGGTGCTCTGTGGGACTCAGCCAGGGAGGAAGCAGCCAGGGTGGTGACCCCTGTGCAGAAAAGCCTGTTCCGTCTCAGGACTGGAAAAGCCGAAGCATTTTGCTGCCACCTGTGTACCTTACACACACAGTGGCTTGTTTACTGTGCTGCCAGTTGGGGTCACGAGAAGCTTAAACACCACCCAATTCTGTGAACAGGTACAGCAACAGCATGAGACTGGCCAGGCCATGCTTGGTCGCTCTTTCTTCCTACTCCTTTCCCATCTTGACAGTCCTGTGAGACCTGCTGGTGCACTGCAGACCCATGTGAGGTCCTGTGGTCACCCTAACGCTTGACATGAGCCAAGGAGCCTACTTTCCACCCTGGGAGTCAGACTAACAGAAAAGGACTCTTCAGCCAAGGCCAGGGTTAAAGCTAACACGAAAACCTCACCCCTATCACAGCCCTCGGATTAGACAGAAGCTAGGCGAGACCCATGCTCTAGCATTTGCCACCTTGGTGACCTTGGAAAGGGACTTCCAGTCCATGATCCATACCCAGGAAGTCACCTTACAGTATCACAAGGACCCAAAGAGGGTGCAGAAGGCACCAGTCGTGAGGTTTGGTATGTTTCAAGGGATGGGAAGGAAGCGAAGCTGCTGGGCTCACCTATACAGAAGCCTTCCTATGCATCCCACAGAGCTTAAGTCACTCTCTATGCACCAAGAATGACTCCTGGAGGGAAGGAAGAATGGCCACCAGCTATGCAGAGGTGGGCACACAGATGTGTGAGCCTAGTGCCCTGTGCCTGCCTAGAACTCCTTGCTGCACCTGGTCTCCTCCCCAAGTGGAACTTCAGAGGACAAATGTCTGGGTTAACAGTAGTGATAATTATTTCCTATTGTATAGCAAGGCCTTCCAGGTGCTGGACCACTACTTCTTATAGTCCCATAGCTCCATTTCAGCAGTAGGAAAATTGAGGCTGAGTCCCTCTTCTTCCAAGCAGTGCAGCTGACCCAGGAAAACATTCTGACGCTGTACTGAGTGTCCTCTCCAGCACTCAGTGGGACAGAGAAGCGGCAGGGCATGATGGTGGTGAAGGACACAGGCTCTGGGGTTACCTGGGAGACCTGTGCTCGTGTCCCTCACCGGTAACAAAGACACTGCCGGTGGCAGGGAACCAGATGGGCTGACACGGACAGAGCTGAGCTCAGCAACCTCCATCATCAGCCCACATTTGCTCTCTGCAGGAGGGCGGGGCTCTGGGTGCTACACCAGCTCCCTGTTGCCATGCTAAGGAACAACTGCCCACCCAGGCAGCAGCCCAATAGCCTAAGCCTCTTAATCTTGCAAGTCTGGCTCAGAAGTCTAAAAGGGATCCGCAAGTCTGTATTTTTCCTGGAGGCCTGTGGCAGGGGGTGGGAACTCATCACAAAACTCTGGGGGCCTGCAGCCCTGGGCCCAGGTGTCTGCATTGCACCCACCTCTGATGCTGTCCTCACAGCTCGCTCAACTCAGATCCTTCAGCCTCCCTACAAGGACCTTCCTTACAGGGAATTATCTCTGTATCAGCCGTGTTCCCCTCTGGTGACACCTCATCACTGCTGCTGAGCCTGTGCTATGGGTGGTAACACTCATGAACCAACTCCCTGCCTTCCCCGAGGCTGGGGTCAGAGTCTTTGGGTAGCACAGTCTTGCGGGGCCTCTGGCAGGTGCAGCCTCCCCAGGAAGTACGGGATTACACCTGCTCCCACGGCTCACCTGGTCATCGATCTTGCGCTGCAGCTGCACCACCTTGTTCTCCATGCCCACGTTGAGGCGCTTCAGGTGCTCGGCTGAGCGGGCCTCAATCTTGAGGGCCTTGAGCTCCCGCTTGGCCTTCAGCCTCCGGAAGGCACACTGGATGACGATGACCGCGGCTCGCAGCTGCTGGAAACGTCTGCGTGCCATCCAGCCTCGCGTGTGTTTCTGGATGATGGTGGCCTTGTGCTCTGTGAGGACCTGGTGGGGGACAGGTACAACCTCCCATCACACTATGCGATGGAGCAAGGGGAGCCCATGTGATTGCTGGGAGGTGAGAGCCAAGGCAGGTGTTTGGTCCTAGGAGGTACGGAGTACACCTGCCCAGGAGACTGGAGGTTCTGAGTGCTGCCGGCTCCATGGGCAGGCTGTACCTGGGCTCTGTAATGCATGTGCCTGCAGGGAACCGACTATCAAACTTTTTATTAGTTAAGGAGCCACCTGCTAAAACTCTCACAGCCACAGGGACTCAAGAACTACCTGGTTGCTCCCTCCTCCATCGCCCTGGCAGGTAAGGATCTTGCCCACAGGAATGGTGGGCTGGACATAAGGTGGTTTATTTCAGTGAGTAGCCACAATGGGTTCCTCCTGGCTGACCACAACAAATTCAGTTTCGAATTCCCTGGGACTTTCCTCTTCCCACCGAATTCAACACCACTCAGCAAGTGAAAGCATGGTCATTCCCATCTCCATTCCCAGCTAAAGTTATGTTTGTGACGTAGATGAATGAACAAGCAGGCAGGCTCAGATGAGCTAGAAGTTGTGCCCAGGGCTTATGTCATGAGTCTGCTGCCCCCTGTTGGCTGCCTCCCAACCTCTTCCCCTAAATGCGGCCATCCCTTGAGAGTATTTACAGAACCTTCTCTCGCTGGCCTGTCTTTCCCTGACACCCCTTGGCCCCGACATACCAACTTAATAATCTGCTTCTGTTGCTTAGAAAAATCACACTGAGTGTGAAAGAACAAGTCAGAAAAAAACAAAACCATTTCTAAACGTTCTCTTCCAAGTCACCCCTCCCCTAGAGTGCTGAACTTGCGACGTTAGTGACTCAGCAGAGCCAGCCTAGCTGATGCAGAGTACTCAGCCTCACCACGGAAACACCAGCAGCAACGCCAGGCAGGCGGCAGGCAGGGCCCCTCCCCTAACCCTTGCTTGTTCTTGTGCTGCCTAAGGACAGGACCAAGCCTGCTGACACCGAGTGTCTCCTCCTGAGCTTCCCTGAGCAGCTCATGTCACAGGGACACATAACATCCCCCTTCCCAGCCTCAGGTGACTCAGGAAAGGACCTGGGACAAACTGGGAATATTGCAACAGACATTCACAATTGGTGACCATGACCTCACTGCCACTTGAAGCCAAGAGCCAGCCGCACATGAGTCACTTCCAGTGGCTGCTCACCTGGTGGTAGATCTTGCGCACGAACATGCCCCGGGTAAAGGCCTGGATGACGATGGCGGCCTGGCGCACCCTCTGGTAGGCCTGACGCGCCCTCCGCATGCGGTACTGCTTCTGTAGTACTATGGCTGCCCTGGTCCTCCGCAGGTGCTCAGCCAGCCTGGAGAAAGCGGGACACAGCAGGACTGGTCAGGCTGACCTCAAGGACACCCGCACCCAGAGCTGCCCATGACACATGCCTCTCATACTCCACAACCCTGCCTGGACACCCCGAGGGCAAGCCAACTCTCACTGCCCTCACCAGACCTGGAGGTGCCTCAGGCACAGGGCATTCAGGCTCACCAAAGTAGCAGGCTCACTTGCTCCTACTGGTGGTCCAGTCTTTCTAGAAGCTTCTGGTTCAGTGTAACCCTAAGCTCCTCCATGAGCCTCATACAACCACTCTCCTACAATGTCTTCCTCGGTACCCTGGGTCACTGTTCAATGCTCCAGGCCTGGAGGGATCATGGAGTGTGCTCCTTGGGCCCAGGCCGCCTGCATCTGGCTCAGGTCCCAGCCCAGCAGGTGCTGGAAAAATCTTACTGAGTGGCGGCAACCTTCTGGTCCCACGCTGCTGTCTCACTGGTTTCTCCTCTCCCCTGCCCTTTCCACTTGGGACACCCTGGATGTGGATATCACCTCTCCTTTCATTTCTGCCTTCCCTACCCCACCTCCCACCAGAGTGTCTGACACCCTCTATCCTTCTGAATGGCCTATTTGCAAGGTCACTGCAAGTGCTCATTGGGCTCAATGTGAAGTAGTAAAAAGGAAACTGGACCTCATTCAGGGCAGTGCATTAGGAGGGCAGTGCAATAGGAGTGACCCACCAAGGGCATGCACTGTCTGCTTTAGAAGGCAGTGGCTTCCCCGGTGTGTACCTTCTTCATACCTGGGCCCTGCTGATCGGCAGATTGCAAACACCCCCGCAGAGAGAAGACAGGTCAACTCTGATGCATGCATAGCCCTTGCCAGAGAGCCTGACGCATGCACACAACCCAGAAAATTGGCAAAGACCACCGAGAGTCCCCCAGTGTCGGCCTCACTGACAAGGCTCTTCCTTTTAGAGCTGCTGCAGTGCAGTTTGTCCGATCGTTAGCACCTGTCCTCACTGGTCTTGCTCGGATGTACAGTTTACAGTCAGCATGTGACAGTGTAAAGAGGGGGCAATGCTCTCTCTTGAGGACACAGGCTTTCAGCTCTCATTCTTGCTGTTTTTAACACAGATGACTGAAATGCCACCTGTAAACTTCAACCTGTCCATGCACAACTTTGTGGTGGCTACCATCACTTAAGGGAAATTCCTGTGTGGGGATGGCACTGACCTTGAAGTAGGGCTCAGCCCAACTCTGGGAACTGCAGTAAGGGCCTGGTGTGAGGGGAATTTCATGGAGAGCTGTGCCCCTCACACCTGCCTCAGTGGAGTTGGCTTGTTTTGCCCTAGCACATGGTTAGCCCAGTGACATTGGCCCAGAAGCCATGGCAGTAAGAACTGCTCTGTGTGTGGCTCCATGCGGGCCTGCCTGGCATTCTTGCTCCACCCCTCTGGGCCGCTGCCTTTGTTTGGATGAGCCAACCTCCCTAGAGTTGATGCAATAGCCCCTAGGTAGGAGGGACCCTAGATCCCAGACTCCAGGAGTTTGAGATGTGTGCACAAATGGTGAGACTAAGTGCATGCTAACTATGATGGGAAGGCAAAAGGGAAATGGGTACTTTGTGACATAGCTTGGTGCAGGTAGGATGGAAACAGGTCAGTAGCACCTAGAACCCTGGGAAATACACCTGCTCCCTAAGGTGTGCACAGCAGCAGACAGATGGTTCCAGAGGTTAGGGGTCTGGGGGTATTGGCACCAAGACAAACAGGACCAGAAGACAACCACTCCACCTGCAGAGGGTGAGGGAGGTGGTGCCCTCTTCCACCCCGACTGGGCTCACCTGCGGGCCAGGTATCCTCGACAATGCCTCTGTAGGGTCAAGGCAGCCCCCTTCAGCCTGTGGTACTTCACCCTCTGCAGCCAGCCACGCACGGTCTTCTGGATCATGATGGTGGCAGCCCGGAACTTGTCAGCTCGCAGCTTCTCCAGGTAGGCCACCTGGCCTGCCCGGAAGAAAATCTTGGTGCGGCCAAACTGGAACTTGTCAGGGTCCTTCACAAGGTAGAGAGAGGAGCCAGGCAGTCATCAGCGAGCAGAGGCCACGTGCCCCACCCAGCCCAGGTCTCCCAAGGTCTCTCTCCCTATAGGCATAGGTGAAGCCCTTGCATTCATTTAACAGACATCAAACCCCTACCAGGGGGCAGGCTTAGCTGTCCAAGACAAGGCATGGAACAAGATGCCTGCTCCCCAAAGAAGTGATACCACACTTTCAGATGATGGTAAAGGTCATTAAGAAAACAAAACTGGAGGCAGAGAAGGCGAGCTGGGGAGGCCACCAAAGGAGGATGAAGACAGGAGCCACTGTCAAGGAGGTACCAGAGCAAAGATCGAACCAACTGCAGGATGCAGGCACAGAGAGGGAGGGGATGGAGTCTCAGGAGAGGAGCAGGTGCTTATGACCTGGACACGATTGAGGGCCAGGATGGCCGATTGCAGGGAATAGAAGGCAGGCGTGGGAAGGAAACAGTCACCAAGGCCTTTCAGGCTGCAGGACACAATTGGGCTAGGAGGGACAGGACAGCCTTGTGCAGGTGAGTGGCCTGATCTGGTTCACATCTTTCAAAGGTTATCCTTACACTCTATAGAGAGAACAGTAAACAGAGTCCTCAAAACACTAGAAATGGAACCGACATGTGATCCAGCAACCCCACTACTGAGGATATCCTGTAAATGACACAAAGTCATAGTAAGAGAGATAAGTGCTCTGCCACGTTTGTAAGAGTCAACAACTAGCATCAACCACAATGTCTACTGGCTAACTCCTTGGTTAGGCAGAGAAAACAACATGTTTCTAACTTGTCTCTCAGCAAAGATCTAGTCATTCACTCACTCCTCTACTGCTTTGTGTGTTCAGCTTAGTGCCCATAACTAAGGGGGAGGTGCCAGGGCAAGGCCACTGTCCTCGCAGGGATGGCTGCCTAATCGTGAACATGGGACAGTGTGCTGGGGCTTGAGGGATGTGGACTTCAATAACTGAGCTGGCGCTAACAAGTGGGCAGGCTCATCATCAGTTTGAGAAGGGACAGCTGTGCTCAGTAGGGTTACTAGGCAGGTATTCACCCCTGCCACCTAGGGGTAGGGGAAAGTGATGTGACCTGTGTCTCTCTACTGCATCCCCTGCTTGGGAGTGGAGGTTTTGCCATCAACTTCACAGAAACTCAGAAAAGGGTGGAGCAGAATGAACCCAGGACCCTCAACAAAGGAAAAAGGGGACAGCAGGCTTATAACCAAGCCTGGGCTGCACACCAGTCAGCCAGCTCTAGGGAGTGGCAAGACAAGCTCCCCTGATGCTTCCTGTTAATTTAGACAAGCTGGACACAAGCAGGTTTCTTTTCTCAACTGTGAACAATGATATGCTACAGTGCTTGAACCACAGCAAAAAATCTCAGTTAATCAGAGTACAATGTAATTAACCAACCACAAGCCTCAGTTAGCCAGTCCATTGCTCTTACTCCAAGTTTCAGAAAAAAGAGGGTGGAGATGGAGATGGGTGGAGAAGGAAAACGGGGCAATGGGCACCAACACTTGGGCTCTATCTGTTCAAAAGAGAGTGCTAAAGCTACACATGTGTCGTGTGCAATGTCCTAGAGTTACAGGCATGAATGGTTGAGACAGTCAGAAGACAAACTTCCCCCAAGACCCTGATGGCTCAGCACACAGTTAAGTCCAGAAAGACTTGCCTAGCAAAATCATGCTGAAAATGTAAAAATCCTCAGAGTAATCCTTTTTATTACCTTCCCCGAGGGAAGACTTTCAATATGATTTAGTCCCTTATGGAGACATTAACGGGCATCCACTGAAGTTGCTGAATTTCTCCAACTACTGAAATGCTCTAGGAGCCACCTCTCACCCAAGGTCCCTAGTAGCTTTGCTATTATGGCCCTCCCGCCTCAAGAGTCAGGTGCAATTCCAATTTGACTCGAGCAAAACACTGAATCTATTGGGTTACTGAAGAGGGGTCCATGCGGAGGGCCTGAGGCTAGCTGGGCGGGCAGATAGACATGAAGTGCAGCCATGTGGCACCTAGCTGACTTCTGGGCAGTGCCTGGACCCCCAGGAGGGCAGGTGGGCTAAACTGTGAAGCCTTTGGGAATCTGAGAAATAAGAGATCCTGAGGCAGTGGGGCAAGATGTTTCCACACCCCGTTCAGGCCCCGCACGCTCCCCAGGCCTGCGCACCTTGATGAGGTTCTCCAGGACGGACCTGCAGATGGCCTTCTTGTCCGTGTTGGCAAGCTCCTGCTTCTTGACCAGTACCCGGTACCGGTTGAAGAAGTCATGGTATGCCCACCTGCGGAGAAAGCAAGGGGATGTCAGGTAGTGTCAGGTGCTGCCCTGCATAGGGTCTCCAGAACTGCCCTTAGGGCCACATCAGGCATTTTCGGAATGGGACAAACCGTCCTGGGGCAGTCGTGTCCTCCCTGTGGTCCTCCACGAGACCCAGGGTGCTGTGGCTTCCAGGAGGTGTGGCTGCAGGACCCAGGGAGAATCGGCTTCCAAGGTGTGTCCCGGAGGAGGGATAAGGGGTGGACTCCCCACTGCTGCAGAAGCTGGGGCTTTCCCTGCAGGGCAGCTTTGATTTCCAGGAATTTTGCCTTTAAAATTTTTATTCCTTTATTTGAAAGATAGAGCAATATATAGAGGGAGAGACAGAAAGCTCTTCTATCAACTGGATTGCCCAATCTGGGAACTCCATCTGGGTCTCCCACGTGGGTGGGTGGCAGGGTCCCAAGGACTTGGGCATCTTCTGCTGCCTTCCCAGGTGCATTAGCAAGGAGCTGGATTGGAGCTGGAACAGCTGGGGCTTGAACCAGTACTGTGATCTGGGATGCCGGCATTGCAGGCAGCAATTAAACCCACTGCACATCAAAGCTGGCCACCCATTTTTGTCTTTCAGAATGAATAGTGTTCACTGTGAACTTCTTTCAATGCAAAAATGAATACACTGACAAACAAGTAGTCGCATCCTAGCCCCTAGATAACCCTGGTCAGATGCTTGTGCAGTTTAAAAGGAACCATCATTTGCCCTCAAAGATTTCAGCTCATTTCTCTGACCATAAGAGTAACCAGGCCCACCAGGGAGCAGATGCCAGCACCTCACAGAATGAGACGTCACACTTCCCCACCCAGGGGAAGCAGTGTTCCAGCCCCAGAGAAGACCTGTACTCAAGCACAGGGGCAAACCCTACATTTTCCAGGTGGTCTGTCCTTTCCTTGTTAAAGCTACTTCCGTTCACAGACTCACTATCCTGACGCTCCTGGATTCTTGTCTTAATTTACAGATGCTCATGCCCTTCCCATAAAGTTAAAAATCACGAAGCAGCAGGACCCCTGACCCACACGAGACAGCATTTTCAGCCCAAAACCCTGTGAAGGTCCCATCAACCCTCCTGCTCTTTCCCTTTGTCTGAGGGGGGGGGCACACCTCCCACCTCCCAATGCCGTCCTCAGGCCTGCACTGCCTGCAATGCTGGGTTGAGTCTCACTAGGTGCCACGTGAGGCTGCATACCTGCTGCTTCCTCTCACTGTGGCCTCCCCAAGGGCTCCACGCGTCAATGCAGAGGACCTGACCGACCCTTCCTCCTGAGTTCTGCGCCCTAAGTCCTTAAACAATCTTCTCCGGAAACAGCAAGAACCATTAATTGGGAGGCAGCTCTGATGATAGGAGGTGGGCAGCAGTTTCTCCAGGAAAGAGGGTCTGACCTAGAACCCTCCAACTGAACCCCAGCCTGAGGTTTGTAAGAAACCACCCCTCAGGGCTCCTTAGGAGGGAGGAAAGCAACCTTGAGCTCCTTGCCCTCCTCCCCCACTCCCGTTTTTCTCAGAGCTTCTTATTGGTTTGGTGGAGCAGTTCTAAGACAATGGTCTCTGAGAAAGACTGTGTATAAAAGCAAACAAAAATTATGTTTGCTCCTGTATTTTTTTAACCTCTGTGTAAAGCAGCTAATTAGAAATTACTAATCCTTCCCAGGCCGCCAAGTGTTTAACTCAAGAAATAACAGTTTTATTGAGGTATAATTCATGTGCAACAAAATTTATTCTTCCCAAGGAAGCATCTCAGTAGTTTTACTGTGTTTGAAAAGCTGTGCATCCATCTCCCAGTAGTAAATTCTAGAACAGTCTCATCCTTAAAGGAAACCCTAAATGTGCAGTCTAATGAGTCAGATACACAAACAGGCAGATGGGGTCATGTGTCTGTTGGAATTAGAAAAAGGGGAATCTCTTTTAAAAGTGTACAAGACACTGGTTTCTTCCCAAAGCTGCGCTTAGCAAGATCTAAGAGCAAGCCCACTCTACGTTTCCAGTTTCAGCATGAGAACAGCAACTGACAGGTGGTTCTCAGAATGCGAACACCACTTTCCTGGATTTCCAGCTTTATCACAAAACAGCAAGGGAGCCTCTTTAAGAGAATGGAAAGTGTTCATTTCTTCCAAAGCTGTCTCTAACCAGATCAAAGTGTCAACCTCCATTTCTTTGAGTCTCCAATGCCTGAGCTTTCAGCTTATCATCAGAATAAGAAGTTACCAATCACAGCTTTGTTTTGAGCAAGCTAGATGAGATGATGGACTCTGGCCCTTTGAAGTTTGTCTTCACACTCTGATGACTGTTGGCTGCTGGTTCTTTTTCCTTTTTCTCCCCCAAATCGTGCTTAACAAGCCAGCCAACCCTCATGAACATTGCAGTCTTTCTTGAAAAGCCCACTCCTGACTGCTGAGGTTGATGTTTTGGTAACTGCAGAAAATTCTAATTCCAAGCAATGCAAGAACTGAGGCTGCCTCCATTCATTGCACTAATTTCCTGGACTCCTGGCAATCATGCCGCACCCACTCCTCCTCTCAGACTGTAGCAGCTACTCTTCTGCTCTAAGCCTCCCCCGCCCCATAGTGGTTCTGACTGCCACAAAAAGTGTCAACAAAACAGCCTCCTGTGTGGTGGGTACTCCCTCTAGGAGCTGGAGAAGCAGGCATGCAGAATTACTGGTCACCCTAACAGGCAGCTTCACATATGCATTCAATAAAGATCCCTAACTATTTCAAGCACACACAATAAACATCAGGAAAGTGCCCATGCCCAGGTTTGTTCTTGACTGCAAACCTGAGGTCCAGGCAACAGAGCACCATGTCCCATGACCTGCCTGCCCATCAGATGTGCAGAGTTTTGTTTTTTTTTTTTTTCAAGATTTATTTATTTTTATCAGAAAGTCAGATACACAATGAGGAGGAGAGACAGAAATATCTTCTTTCTGTTGATTCACTCCCCAAGTGGTTGCAATGGCCAGAGCTGAGCCAATCCAAAGCCAGGAGCCTGCAGCCTCTTCCTGGTCTCCCACGTGGCTGCAGGGTCCCAAGGCCTTGGGCCGTCCTCAACTGCTTTCCCAGGCCACAAGCAGGGAGCTTGATGGGAAGTGGGGCCGTCAGGATATGAACCAGCACCCACATGGGATCCCAGAGCATGCAAGGTGAGGACTTTAGCTGCTAGTCTACTGCACACAGCCTGCAGGTTGCTTTCAATTCCTCCAAGGTTTGGACACAGACCCACTGCTCTGTTGATGCTTGCACACAGATCAAGGCACAGCTGAGCAAGACACACATGGAGCAGAGTTTCCCACACCAACACTTGTTCCCACCCAGCAACAGCCATGCAGCCTGCACAGCCCTGCATGGTAGGCACCTGCTCTCCCTCCATAGCGACTCAGCATTTTCCTGCGACTTTCAGAGGGCATTCCTCGTGCTTGACAGTTCGGGTTATTTGCTTGCACCCTCATCTTATTTCTCCCTGTGAGTTGGTGATTTCACTGGGGAAATAATTAAAGCAGCATTTAGCCGGGCTAAGAAGCTTAAATGATTCCAATCTGGAAACCTTACTGCTGACAGATCTAAAACTCAAGGAGATTTTAACAGTGCAAACATGAATGCGAACACCTCATGGCTGGCCCAGGACAGGCTTGGAGTATGGCATGTCCCAGCACAGAAGCCAGGCTCCAAGGCGACCAGCTCCAGCCTCGACACCTCCCCTCTCCCATCTGTGAAACGGGGGCAGTATTGCCCATCTCACAGAGGTCTCACCCCGCGGGCTTTGGCAGTGTTTAGGAAGGGATCCTAGGGATCTGATGACCCCCCCCATTCTGCCCTGGCACCACTCTCCCCTTCCTAATCACAGCAGTTCTCAAGACATTTACACCAAGCACAGAAGGCTGCATGAAAGCCAACTGCCTGCCTAAGCAGCAGGAAAGCTGGGGTGGGGCTCCCTAGGAGGGGTACAGGAGGCAGGTACCGAAAAAGTGTTGCCACCTGAGAGCCCAAGAGTAAGTGGTTTCACTTTCCCAGGGCCTCCCAGCAAGGTTCCCTCACTGCTTATGGGAAAGCCTCTGAAGGGAAGCAGTGAGGCATGGATGTAAGGACTGATATGATGGGAACTCTAGAGGCAGGTGCACTGTAATCCTGCAGATGGCAGGAAGTCCCTTCATCAGGACCACAGAGCTGTCCTCCAGGACTTCCCTGCTCCTGCCACAATGAAATCTCTCCCTCCCAGGGCATCTGTTACTCCCAAGGATATGGCTTTCCATCTTGTATTGTAGATGTGCTTGGACAAAGGGTAGCACCTCTGCTCTACCTCTGGCCAGGCCCTCTTCCAATATAGGCTAAATCTCCCAGTACTCATCAGCATGATGTCTTTACATACAGTTTTAACAACTGATACTTTCAAGATTATCCAAATGGCTGCAGTCCCTAGGATGAACGGGAGCTATTGGGCTTGGGGCAGCCAATACCCGTGTTCACAACACTGGACAGCTGGCATCTCTGGACTCTCCTCACCTCATGCACCACTCACTGAGCTGTTTAAAAACCTCTCAAACCCATGTAAAATGTTTTAATCACAGAGACCTGCAGCACTGCAGTGAACGCCATCTGCCTCCACAGTGTGGGCTCTTCCCTGTTGAGCCTGCCCTCACTGGGTGGCCCTGGAGAACACCTCTCCCACTGTGTGAAGCTCACTGCTCTTTCATTCCTTTCCACACTCCCACCCCAGGTCTTAGCACAGACCCCGCTACTGCGCTCTGTGGAGTCTTAGCAATTCCAGAGCTGTAACCCAGTCTACCCTGCCTGCAGCCTTGCTCTCCCCGGACTTGAATTCACACACTGAGCGCCTGAACTTGGACATCATGCTTCCCCGGCTAAAGGCTGCTTCCCCTAAAGTACCTGGTCAAGCAGTCACAGGTGAGTATGGGGAAAGCCTAGAATCTAAGCATGCTCCCTTGTAAGAATGGGAGCATCAGAGGCAGCAGGTGTGGGATGAGCTGAGGTAGGCACTCAGCAAACACCACTCTTGCGCTGTGCTTCTCAGGACTCCATAGACAGTGAGTGGTAACACCCTGGACACAGTAGCTAGGAGTGCCATTCCTGCACCCTGAGCTGCAGCCTAACACTGGAACAGACTGCAGAAGAGCATACCCATCATATAGGCCCCTGGGGCACCTGTGGCAGAGAGTTGACAAGTTGCCCGAAAACCTTTAACTCCTGTGTTTATTGCGCCAACCTGAAATTCTTACGTCTACCAGTGTCCTGTGTGGAGCCTCAGCATCTGGGAACTTTGCACAGGGTCTGTGCCTGGCTCCTCAGGACAGCCCCAGCTGGTGTATCTGGAGGGCTCCTTACCTGGATGGGTAGCCAGCTGCACTGATGCGAATCGTCTCCAGCACCCCGCAGGCTCTGAGCTGCTGCACCACTCTCTTTGGGTCAAAGCTGCCAAACAGGAAGACAAGCAGTGAGTGGCCAACTTGGCTGGTGGGAGACAACAGGAGAGCAGCAGCACACATGGCATCTGCTGCCACTGCTACAGGAGCTCCAGCTCAAGGTCAGATGCTAGTTGGCAGGCAGGTGCATATTCTTACTCACAGGTCACATGCTGCTCCTGCTCACCACCCACCTTCCAAGCCTCAGTTCTGTTTTCTCCCTAGAACTTCTTTATTTCCACCCATATGGTCACGTGTCTCAAAGCAATGCCACGTACCACTGGGCCCAAAAGGACAAACTTTAGGCCAGGCAGAGGCAGGATTCAATCATGGCATGGTCATCCACTGAGGTTTCATATGACCAAGTAACCAACCTTCCTCAAGCCTCAGCATCTTCCTCTCTAAGTTGGGAATGACAACAACCCTTATTCCAAAGGGTGAGTGTGAAGATTAAAGGCGACAGCCTCCACGAAGGCAAGACGACAGCTGGCACCACACAGGGCCTGGGTACCATCAGCTGTGATGGTGACAGAGCTCCAATGAGAACCCAACAGTGTGAAGAGTTTGATCTTCACACCTATGGAGAGATGCACTGCCTTCAGCCAGCCACACGCTCTGCACCATGCAAGACCCAGCACTGGAAATCAGCACTTGTGCACACTGACCAAGTCTAACACTACAGCAGAAGGCAGGAACTGCCCCAGCTCTCTGCGAGGACCCACATGTGGATGGTAGTCAGGCAGCGTGCAATAAACACACAAACAATGCTCAAAGAAATCCAAGGGAAAGACACCAGGCTGGCTGGAGGCAACTGGGGGAATCTTTATGAAAAGAAAGCAAGCTGCCCCGGTATCAATTAGCACTTAAAGCTCACTAAGAGTTGGCAGTCCATGCCTGGGAAGTGGGGAGGGACACACGTTCTTTCCTCTGACCATCCTGTCCCTCAGCTCAAGCTGTGGGCCAAGCCTTGAGCGCTCCTTTCAGTCTGAAGGTCAAAGGGCAGGAGGGAGAAGTGCCCAATCTTCCAGGCATGGTTCCGAGACACTGCTCTGACTTCTGGACAAACTTTGGCCAGGAATTCACTGCCTGCCTGCCTGCTCATACTGTGGTTTCACAAAGTTCTTGGCTAGGTCCTCAGCAACCTGCAGGTCCTGACAGATAAAGCAATAGCAGCTGTGTTGGCTTGAGGATCCATAATGGTCCGGTGGGCACACTCATACCAGCCTGAGTGACTCCTCAGCAACCAGGTCCACTGGAATTCTACAGGATGGTTTGACCTTGGGGGCTGCCACCCCATTACCCTGCATTCCCGAGGCCAAACTCAGGTCCCTGACCAGCAAGGTGGGAGGAGGCACAGCAACATGCTGGGGCGCCTCTGTAACCCAGTGTCTCCTGGGGGTGACAACTAGTGTTGTCATTTCCTCCAGGGCCTCCCACTGCTTCCCTGGAGAAGTGAGAACATCCTCCCTTTCTGAAGTGAGCAGTGTGGGGTGTGTGTGTGTGTGTGTGTGCACGCGGGGTTAGAGCATGGTGTAGCTCTCTTTTCTGGGAGCTCCACACACCACACTACAGCTGGTCCCCCAGAATGCAGCTGGCCAACAACTTTGGAATCTTGCCTTAACTCTTGCCTGGACTTCCTGTGGAACCTTGTGCACTCCAGTTTACACCTGCTCTTCTGCTAGACAGCAGTGCCATCCTCATCACAGACTGAGCAAGGCTGGAGGACAGAGCTTGGCTCTGTCACTCAGAGCTGATATACACTAGGTAAGCCACAGTCTCCCTGCAGCCTGTACTCTTTACGGCTGAGAATTTCTGCCCACATACAATTCAGTCACTTGCTCTAATGCCCACAGGAAATGAAAAAGGAGTTATTGCAGAAAGCAGCCACAAGGCATCATGGAAGGATGCAAGATGGTACCTCTGTCTTCCCCTGCCCAAATGTCCCTCTGAAGGTGTGAAGGTGGCCAGCCTGTTGTGCTTTAATCTTCTCTCTTGCTCTGCCTCCCCACAGTCCTGGTTTAAAACAACTGGAAACCAGCCCTTGTGCTGTGAAACTTAGGATTCAACACACACCTCCACTCTGACCCCTGGATCCATGTGTGGTATAGGTGGGGGACAGTTCAGGGTTTGCTGGATGCCCAATAGGAGTTGTGTGTGCTGAAGTGGGCTCTGCTTGGGGTTCTTACAGCACTCCCAATTCCTACACAGGCTTCTGGGTTCTGCACCTCAGCCCCAGAGATCCAGGCAGACCCTTCACCAAGTGAGCCCATAGGATAGCTCTTGCCCTCGGCCATCTCTTCCTGGAGCTCATTATTCACTGGTGGTATCAGCGGCCCCTTCTCATAGCCACTGACAGCCTCTTCTGCAGCACCATCAGCAAGGTAGATATGCCTGCCCCTCCACCTGTTGGAACTCAGGGTCAAGTGAACACGAGGTAGGTTAGTGGTTTCCTAAGTAGAAGAAGCAGAGGGGAAAGAATTCACAGGAGAAAAGCTACCAAAACACTTGGTGTATGACAGCAGCTCTCAACGGAGGCAGGTCTGTCCCCCAGGGAGCACCTGGTGCTTCTTAGAACACTCTTAGTTGTCACAGGAGCAGGGACATAATTGACACCTGGGGGTTGGGAGCTGGCGAGGCCACTACACATCCTCTGATGGATGGGGCAGCCCCACAGCCATGCACCATCTGACCAAAAACATTCATGGGTCATGGCAGAGGAAATCTAATCCAAGAGGATGGTAGAGGGCAGTTTCCTCCTAGAAATAATATCAGTCTTGGTAGTCTCAGAATACATGAGGGTGCTTCAAAATGCTCACAGGGAAATGCAAGTAAAAGTCTGTTTTGTTTTCACAGAGATAAATGCAGGTTTTTTTTTCCATAACATGCAGTTTCTTGAAGATTCCTTTGAATGCAGCTAACAGTTTTTTGCACCAAGATAAACTTAATTTTCCACAAGCTTTTTGAAGTCCCTCTGGCAAATTATTTTAGACTTCTTACAACCCCTTGGGGGTCTTGCACCAGGATGCTTTAAAATCACAACAAATAGATGAGGCAACAAGACCAAGAGAGTAAGAGACCAGCTGTGACTGGACATTTGGCAGTGACCAGCACTGGAGTCCAGGTCTTCTGGCTCGATTTTGGGTTCTTCCCATTGTTTCTGTATTTCCTGGATGAAGGTGCTGATCCTGGTGTCTAATGAAGGTCTCATACAAATTCCCAGGCAGACTGAGATGAACCCAACTCCTGTTCTCACTCTGGGGCGCCCTGCAGTCACCAGCATCTGGCATACATCAGACTCTGGGAAATGAATCGCCAAGGTCTTGGCCAGCTGGGACAGCACTGGTGCATAGTTCACATCTCTCCAAGGGAGCCCACTCCCCAATACCAGTGTGGGCTCCAGGGCCCTGGGGAACAGGGGCCCAAGTTTCCTGTGTGGCAGGACACTGCAACTCTCTCTGTCCTGAGCACATAACCCGTACATGGAATCTTGGTGCAAGCAGGCATCAAGCTGAAGGCCTTGCAAGGTCCCCACTCAGTCCTGCCCAAGCCTCCAGGGCAGGTGGAGAGAGGCCAGGTTGGCTGCCTGATGCCTGGCATGCACTTACTGGAAGGGCAGCTTCTCATCGTTGGGCTTGATGCAGCGGACGTAGTGTGGCGTCGTAGCATTCAAGGTCTCCATGAGCAGGTGCAGGGAGGTGCGGAACTGTGGAAGCAAACGCCAGTGCTTGATTAGTCAGTGAACATGTTTTTGGATGCATGACTATCAAAATACCTCAGAGCCTGTTGCTGCTGTTGTTGGTGGCAGTGGCTGTTACTACTATGACTGCATTTGCTAACACAGAAGGACAGGAAGGACAGCAGAGGTCTGGGAGCATATTCGAGCTTAGATGCTCTTCTCTTCTGAGCTCAGAAATCAAGTCCCTCTCACATTAGCACTACTCCAGCTGAACAAGGAGCCCCACAGTGGGCCCAACTCTGAGTGTGGCTTGTGGACCACAGGAGACAGAAGGCAGGTGAGTGCTGACAGAGCTGAGCCATGGATCACCATGCAAGGAGCCTGGCTCCCAGGGCTTGAGCATCCGGGCAACAAGCATTTATGTGGAATGCCCAGAGTAAGCAACTGTTAAGGAACAGGGAGCCCAGCAGGTGCTCTTTGTACTCTGAAAGAGACCTGTGGTGTGTTTACCCTACAGCTCCTTCACCTTCCTGCTCGCCCTGCAGACTGGACTTCCCTATCTCCCCTACCGTGAGATTCTTTGGCATGGTCCTTATCACAGAATTAAATGCACCAACTGGCACTAACACAATGGCCTCTTGTGAGCGGATGCAGAGCATGGATGGGGAAGCCAGGCTTCTCGGACCATCATGCGGTCAGGTTGCATCCCTACAGTGCCACACTCACAGCTGTCCCCTCACGCCCTGGGGCCAGGGGCTGACCTGGTGACCCACGGTCTTCTTGTGCTCCTTGTTGGAGGTCTTCAGAGGGGGTCTGGCAGAGCGAATGTTGATCTTTGCAGACGATCCCTTGCCAGAAGTGGTGGTGGCAGCGGGAGGGTCCTTGTCATCATGGAATAGGTCAGCCACTAACGGGAACTGGAAACAGCCACAGTGGGGGTGGTGAGTGTGAGGCCCATACACTTTGTGCTGAAAAAATCCCTTTGGGACAGGTGACATACACACTGTGTGACCACGCCATTTACCCATGCAAAATAGGTACACCACCACTGCAGCAACATTCCTTCAATTTCTATGGAATTGAAGGTCAGCGTGACAGACACAGGGATCTTACACCTACCTGCTCCAAACAGCAACAGCAGGACTGGACAGGACCCATAGGTCCTGCCAAGTGGGTGGTAGGAACTCAAGCACTTAGACCATCATTTGCCACTTCCCAGCACATTCAAGCAGGCAGTTGCATTGGAAGCAGTGCAGCCGGACTTCAACTGGGAGCTTTGATACGGGATGTGGGAATTCCAAGTGGCAGCTTAATGTGCTGCACCACAACGCCTGCCCCTCACAGCACTAAGGAATTAAAACATGGAAAACAACCCAAATGACTGGCAACTGATAGATAAGCTAAACTGTGAACTCTGTTTTTCCCTATCCTGCAGCCTTCTCACACTGTGTGGGGGATGTGCATGAGAGAGAGGCTTGGACAAGACCATCCACATAAGCATACAGGAAAGTACCCAGTGTATAATACACATGCAATCATGATGAAATATTATTTAGGGGTCATCTACATGAAAAATCTACCTAAACTGCCACTTGTGATCTGAGAAGGAAACAGCAGCATAGGATGTGAGATCTGCAAAGACAGAAATCAACTCAGCTTCACGTGGCTGGTGGTGCATTAGGGGCCATCAGCGTCTTTTTGCACAGAGAACCCAGGGCCAGCAAGGGGCAAAGCCAGGATCTGAACTCAGACAGCCCCACTGCAGGGCCCAGGAATGAAGACACCGCAGAGAGCAGCCATGACCAGGCAGTTGTTATACAGGACAACTGGCTGTCCAGGGAAGTGGCCAATGTCTGTTTCATATGGACGTGTGGAGCTGGACGAGCCCACCATCAGGAGCTTTTTTGGAAACACTGCAGAGGAAGGTGGTCAGGCGGGCACTGGGCTGGGGCAGCATGCCTGAGTCCACATACGGCTTCTGCCATTTAATTAGCTGTGTGACACAGGGCAAACCTTAGTCTTGGCAGATTCTGATTGGTTCAGCTGTAAGCAGTAGGGCCCCGAAGCAGGTGATGCCTTTCAATTGTTCCCTGCCCCAGCCTCCTGGAGTTCCCCAAACTTGAACTTCCCCATTGCTGGACTGCTTTCTAAGTGGTTTTCCTGGCTGAGCTCTCTCTGTTCACTCATTTCCCATGACTGTTCCAGCAGCACCTGCCACCCAGGAGAGGTGTCCAGACTCTACTTCTTCTGGAGCCTTCTCTACACCTGCCTCCAGCAGTCATCTCCAGGGGTCACAACCTCTGGGGTCAGAAGCAATGTGTTTCCACTCTTCATCCTGCATGGCCTCTCTGAAGGCCCCACCCCTTCTCAAGGCATCTTCCTGTGCCTCTACGGCTCCCCAAACCCGATCTCCCAACCTGATTTCCTTTCTGACACTTTTCACCAGCCCATCTTCTTGTACCTTCCTCCTGGCCTGTTACCCAGCACCTTATCCATCCAACCACTTTCTCTCTCTTCCTTCTAACACTTAGTTCCTTGGATCTTCACGGCCTGGGCTCTAGCTGCCTCCACCCTTACTATCCAGTTGTGCTCTTTTTCCATCATAGTTCCTCACTTCCAAACACCTGTTGAGACACCTCCAATGTCTAATGTAAATTTCAAACTCAACATGGCTCAAATGACCGTCACTGCATGTCCTCCTGACCACCTTGGGGATCTTGCTCCCACCCTACTTCCCGCAGCAGCCAAGTGCCAAGTGTGGTCTGTGGCTTAGCCTCAGTTGGCCTGGCTTCATCAAGCACAAGGCAGCTGGCGGCCTAGCTCAGGATCCCATGCTCTCTCCTGGACCAGTACAGTCAGGTAGAACTCGAAGGCTACGTGCACCTGTCCCTCCAGCAAAGCATCTCCACCCACAGCATGCTCCCCCTGAGCATGGCCCTTATCAATCAGGTCCCCGTTTACAGTCTTGTTGTTTCACACTGTGCACAAAACAGAGCTGCCATAATACCAACGCGCTGCTAACGTAAGGAGTGGCAGAAACAGAAGGGGCTAGAGGTGGGGCTGGGCCCAGGGTACTCTCATGATGGTGAGGAGAAGGTCATGGGTAAGGAAGGGAAACACGGCTCAGCCCAACAGGACAGGGAAGCTCCACAGGAAGTCAACAGGAGGCCAACAGCAGGTTCACATTCTAGCCACACCCTTACAACTCAGGCCAATTAAATCATCCAAACCCACAGACTAATTTCTGAAATGTTGGTGTCTAATCTACTTAACCACACTACAGAGGGGGTCTAATTTACAGGAGGAAATAGCAGCTGCAAAACAAAATTAAAATCCTAAAGTAACAAACGTTTCAAAGTCTTAGAAATACTCATGTTGGTGAACGTCATTTCAAACTGTTCTCTCACTTTCATCAGAGAAGGCAGCTGTGCTTTTCTGAAAACTGTCCAGAGTTTAACCCAAGCCAGCAGGCACTGTGCCATCATGGGAGCACCTACACCACCATGGGGTAGCCTGGAGAATGTGTGTTTTGTTGGTAAAGCTCTGGTTTGGTTGCATGTCCCTGGTGTAGAGCCTGTGTGCAAGTGGAAGGGTGTCTGGAACTTGAGGGAGACACTCCTGTCTGTGGGAACCACAGCCCCAAAGGAGGAGTAGGGGGCTTCATGTCCTACTCTGGCTTGTGCCACCAATTCAGTGAGCAGAGGCCAGTGTAATCCACAGGACTGAGTGGATCCAATGCCCAATGCTTGGCCACAGATTAGCAACAACAAAAGACCCAGGCAAGCAACAGCAACCCCTGCGTTTCCCATCTTCCCACCCATCCACCCCAGGGCACCTCCACACCCAGGGTGCCCCAATCATAACCAAACCACAAACCACAACGAAAAGTCTTTTTCAAGCTCTTCCTTGACAAAGGAGTCCCACAGAAGGTCCTGTGTCTGAGTGAGGGACCAGATGAGGACCAGTCCATTATACTTGCAGAGGCCAGGAGCAGCGTGCTCCTGAGCTGCTTGTCCAGGACCGAAGTTCTGTCCACACACCCCAGGGCAGCCCCAGGGAACAGTGCCCACCTGAGCCTGCACTGTCCACACACCTAGGACACCCCCCCCCCGGGAACAGTGTGCCCACCCAGACCTATACCAATTCACTCTCTCCTACCTGAACACACACCAGGAGACCCCACTGGACAAATTAACCTGGCCCAGATCCCATCTCATTGCCTTGCAATATGCCCATGGACAGCTGCCCTGGCATTCTTTACTGTGCAGAGATAGACTTTAAAAGCCCAAGGCAACTCTATTCAAAAAGGGATTAGAAGTAGGGAAATGCTTTCTAAAGACCGTCTGACAGTTTAAGAAAAATGTCATTTACAGCTGCACACAAAGCTGTTACCTTGGAAATCAGACTTAGTCAACTTGTGGTTGTAAGGATACAAAAGCAGACAGACAAGTGAAACAAAAATAAGAACAGTTTGGTCAGGGTCTATTGCAGAAGATTTATTCTGTAAACATAATTTTTAAAATGTGATGTCAATTTCACCAATTCTTTAGCATGGCTAAATGCTATATTTTGGAAAGCATAGCCATATACAAAATGCAGACTGCTTCATTAATTTGCATGTCACTCTGGGCCAGAGCCAGGCGAGATCTCCAATTTGAGTATATGCACTGCACTACAGCAAGTACAGAAATACTGTTTAAAAGGGTTTTAAATGGGTTTTAGAAGAAAAGACTCAGCACTTTGGCTTTTCTCAATGGACACAATATGCATTTTCTTGCATTAGAAAGAGGATGGTGAGGTTTTCTGTTAAGAAGTTCTCTTCTGTAATGACCTGCTTAATCCAAACAGAGGTAGACGATTTTCTGCTTCCAGTACTTACGCAGCAGCACGCCACATAACAATTTGAAAGTGTTTAACGTGTGCTAACATCTCAATCCAGCTTCTATACAACATTAAAAATAAAAAACTTTTAAAAAAAAAAATCAAACTTCTTTGTTCAAAAAGGAATGCTGAGTGAACCATTAAGGAGCTTACTGGTGTGGAAAGCAAAGGATTGTGCACACTATTATTCCTTGACCAGCCCAAGCAAGCCATGGGGAGGAGAGAGGGCAGCTGGGTCCCTCCCATGCCTCAGGCTGGTGAGCTACGGCTTGGGGTATGTGGATTGAGGCCATGGTAAGTCTTTGGACCCTACTGAATGTTCATCTCAAGAACCCTTCTACTGGATGGAGGGGAGAGAAGGTGACAGGCTCACCTGCCCTGGCTGCTCCAGGTGTCCAGCACCCCATGCAAGGGTGGGGAATTACTCTGCTGCCAGTGGCCATTTGTAGTACATCTTCCACAGGCCATAAAAAATGCTGCTATGGAGCCACTGAAGTTCAAGCCCCAGGATGCTGCAGCAGGCATGGACCACATGGTTTCACAAGCCTTATACGGCACTCAGGCTGAACGGTCGCCACCCTTGGCAGGCACATGCCATCCACACTAACCCTGGAGTAGGTGCTTTAGAAGAAAAAAATCCTCCGCTTTCGTCGGCTTCCTTATTTCAGGCTGACAAAATATTCTTTTGGACAGTAAACACACACTACAAGGCAAAAGGCTCCATTCTGAGAACTTGAACAAGTCAGTCTGTTAGGAACTTGAAGTCACATTTTAAAGACGCATTTCTTTACTTAAGTCTCTATTTATAGCTCCCTGATCGCTGAGAAAGCAATTAGCTGCATTAAAAGCTCTTAGGCAGTGTAACGGGCTTGGCTAATTACATCCTCATTAACACCAGTTTTATTTCACTGCTCTTGGTGGAAGTTCTTCAAACATCCCTCTGGCCACTTAGATCTATGGGTCTTCTATCCTAAGCTGCTTAATTATTCATGACAACTTGTTAATTTCTTATCAGGGATGCCCAAAGGGGGTTGAAAAAAAGAAGCCAACATTTTCCCCCTAAACTAAGAGCACCAAGTACAATTACAAATTTAGATATAGGACATGAGATCTAGAGGGAAACCAGTGAAGACTGGGCATTGCATTGTTAATTTAACGGGGAGCAGTGCTGAATCTTCTTTAACAAAGAGCTAGAAACAGCACAGGATTGTCAAAAAACTACCAATCTAAAGAAAATGACAGATGCTCAGTCAACACCAGCGGTAATGCTGCAGACAGGCCCATCTGTCCCATGTTGTACAGCACTGTGAGAAATCTTGCCCTGAGTTGCAGCTGATGTCTGTGAACCCTTTGTCTCTGGACTTACAGCGACCCAGTGCTAATCTCTGCACTCTCTGGGAATGTCTCAGATGGACTGAGGGGTCTCACGGGGGAGAGTCCCTTGCTGCTGCCCTCATGGTGCATCTCACAGCGGGTATTGCTGGGAGAGGAGCCAGGCTGAGAGAAGATGGTCAAGTCCTTGGTTGTTTACATATATTAGCAGGCACAAGGGAAAGCTACCATTGCGGTGGGTGGGTAAGGGAGAAAAGGGTGGTGGTCATCTCTGTTGAGTATAGACCTATGTTGCCCTATGGTTTAACAACCACAGACTCACTGATGAGTGTCACTAACTCAGCCTTCAATTCTATGCTTACAAGCATACCTCATGACCATAATTGTGCAGGTGAGCCAAGACAGACAGAAAGGACATTCATTACCACATCATTGCCAAGTGCACACCAGAATGACAAGTAGATGAGTGCTACTCCGGAAAGCTGGCCCAGGCCAGCACAGTGAGGACACCCAATAAGTACAACATTCAAGACAACCATGGCTAAATAATGTGGTTATCTTGACCCTAAAAAAAGATGAAATCATTATATACTTGTATATGCAGAATAGGAATTCATCAAAAATATGGGTCGGGGGCAGACGAGGATATTTCTATGGATCGCTACACATTTTGAATTTTTATCAGCCTGTACTTCACTTCTAATAAAAACTCAGTATAGAAGCAGACAGTAACACAGCAGGCCCGAGACCGCAGCCCATAGTGAGACCAGTCCACAGGGCACATGGTGGTAAGTGCATGGGAACCTGGCTTTCGGGAGGGCCTGATGAGAGTGGTTTACTATACATGTTCCACTCACCAGGGTTTGCAATGATTACCTGCTTTCCCTCTGGAAACCTGGGATTTTGCCATATGCCAGATAAAGGGCACCTATCCATGTGGTCGACTCCAAATAAAAACCCATGTCCCCTAGGGTGGAGGGATAGGCCTAATACAGGGACTGTCACAATTCATTTCTAGGAGAATCAAGCATGTCTTGTGTGACTATGGTGAAGCTGTGCCCTGTCTCTCCAACTTTACCCCATGTGCCTTTCCCTTCTGCTGACTTTGTTTTGTGTCCTTTGACTGTGAGCACACAGAGCCAAGAGCCGAGTTATACACTGTGTCACCCCAGAAAGTGGACACGACCGTGATCTTGGGAACCCCAAACATTCTCCCATTCTTCTCCACTGCACCTTCTTCTTGATCTTCCCAGCTCAGCTTGTAACTGGGCTGTCAGTTTGAAGAGGTTAGCTACATGCACAAATCAGTCTGTTATATGAGGGACAAAATATCCAGCTATCAGCAGAAGTGATCTGCTGGGAGCCTGTGCCACGGGCTCTCTCCATCCCATTCCTTCTAGGTCCTGGACGTGCTGAGGGACAAACCACGAGGAGAAGGACCTGCCTTTCTTCCAACCCCCTCCTTTCCAGGTGCTCCCACCCAACAGTGTAAACTCAAGGCCACAAAACCTGGCAGTCCCTGGGCCACTGTGGGACAGACGGGAGGTCACAGGTACCTGAGAAGGATGGCAGGGCTGTGCTGCCAGCACCTGAGCCTTCTGTGGTTGCTCTTGTGCTAGGGGACAGACTGCACCTCACCTCTGTACGTCTCACAACATAGGTGCTTAATACTCATGTTTTCAGATGAACTGGTAGCCACAGAATGAACAAAACATATGCTATCTTTCTGCCACATCAGCAGGCAGGGTATGGAGGACTGCGAACTTAAGGAACCACTATGGCCTTGACATACACTCCCACTATGGCCTCACTTACACTCCCAAATTCTTCCTTGGTAGCCTCTCCCTGACCCCTACCCATCCTTTCCACCCACCAACAGGTCAACTTCAGACATTCCACTGTGTGAAAAAACCAGGCAACTTACTCTACCTTCACCCCACTGAGCATCTGTGCATCCACAGCTGCAGGCCAACCCGTGTCCAGCCATGCCTGTGTTATTGCCCCAGCTGAGAATGTCCCCACCCCATCCTCCATTTCCACCACTCTTTACCTTGCTGGCTTTCAGGATGTTGATCTGTTCTTCGTACACCGTGTCTCTGTTTTTCTCCAGGAAACCATCCGAAAGATACTCTACCTGGGGACACAGGAAAACCCAACAGGTATTACTATGCCAGACTTACCCGTTTCCTCCAACAGCTCCCTGTGTACTTGAGCAGTGGCACTCATCCATATGGCATTTGCTACAAACAGCTGTGTATCAGGAGGTCCGCAGGTATTTTCATTTACAATGCAAACTCAGTAAGAGAGGGAGCCCAGTGTTCGCTTTGTGAAAGGATTACCACATCCAGAGGAAATTCACTTAACAAGGCTCTATCAGTGATGCTTCTTAGCCCAGTTCAAACCCAGCAGATCAGAATCAGCATTTTAATAAGATATGAGGTAATGTGTATGCACCACAACTGAGAAACACATGCCTGGTACACAACCAGAGACCCATGTCTACACAGGTGCCTGGGAAAGAAGCACAAAGACTGACACATGCCCCTGGTGGGGAGACCAGTCAGCCAGAGCCTTGGCTGTCTCAGCTCCACCCCAGCAAGCTCAGGCTGCTCTGCTCCCTGCTGGATTCTCAGGAGAAAGGCTCTGGTAAATTCCTGGTGAGCAAGTGGCTGGGCACTGCTGGCAGCCTCTGCGAGGTCAGGTGTCTGACATGCCAGGGAAATGGGAGCCGAAGGTCGCCAGGGAACCCACTGGGAGACCTCAAGCCCAAAGACCAGGTCTATCTGCATCAGTCACTGGTGTCCCTGCCAAGGGAGGGGTACTACCTTGTCAGCGAAGTGCACAACAATGAAAGCGGTGTTAGACATGCGTGGCTTCTGGAAGTGCTGGCTGCTGGAGTGCCGGTCATACAGCTTCTGCGCCCAGTTCTGGTCAGTGCCTTTAGGGACCTGTGAGACACAGAAGAGGGCACAGTTCTTCGTGAAGGTGGCAAGGAAGCCAAGGGATGCAGTTTAATGAAAGAGCAGTCAGTGGGCTGGCTCTTTGGGTAGATTCAGCTCTCCAACCGGGGCCTTAACTGGAAGGGCTTAAGGAGTGACCCAACATGGACATTTAGAATCCTTGACCTACCACACGTGGGGACCTGTGCCGAGCCTCACAGAACTTGCAGGAGGTGGGAAGCAAGGTGAAGGCGAGGGTGGAGGCTGAGGTCCCAGGGGAGCTATAACCCTGGACCCTCTGAACATGCTTCCTCCACACAGCTGGTTGTGATGGCAGTGTCCTGGGCATGCCCTGCCTGGCTCCAGCCACACCTGCTGCAGGAAAGTCCCCTACCCTCAAGCTTACGTAAGGCCTTTCCTGCCCTGCCCCTCTCCTCTCTCGGATGTTCATGGCAGGGCTCTCATCCAGGAATTCGCTGCTTTAGGGCATTACCTGTGAGCCCCAACTGTAAGCTCGCAAGTCACTTGCTCACTAATTCCTTTCCTAAGCAGCAAGGGAGCAAGACCTTCATAAAGAGCTTCCCGCGTGCCCCAAGTTTACACTCAGCCCCAGACATGTCTCTCCGTTGGGAGTTCTGAAGCGAGGCTTCTTTTCCATATGTTTATGTGTGACTTCAAAAAGGAAAAAGGCAACTTGCTTCATTAAACATATAAACTAGGGATCATGACACCTGCAATTCACACCGTCAGGGAGGACAGTTCAGAGTCCATGGCTTCCTCCTCGGCCATAGGCTTCAGCACTGGCCACTGCTCTGCTCACCTGCAATTAGCCTAGATTGTGTGGAGTGGGTAGTGTTCAAGGTGACCCTCTCATAAGCCACTGAGAAGAACTTTGCTTAGTAAATTAGTCAAAATCTGTGCCATCAGTAGGATGCTTACATGCACCCAGGAACAAACTGAAGCTCTTTGCTTGCCGACTCAAGGAGGCATCATTGGCACTGAACATGCAGTGCCCAGGAGGAAACTCAGCTACTCATCTTATTGGGCAGATGAAAGAGATCTAATTCAGCATTTTCTATATATGCAGTTTTATATTTATCTCTGAACACCCTGTGCTTTGAGTCACAGGGTCTGGGGGTGGGAGGGGTCAGCCTGGCAGGGCTCTCGAGGGAGTGGTAGAACCAAGAGGAGAAGCCCACATGGGCCAACACCTGGGGTTCACTGCAGAACAGGCTGGTCCTGGAGCAGCTGCCCCAGTGATGGTGCTGATCCTCTGGACGGCAGAGACACCCAAGGACAGCCTACAAAAAGGTGGAACCAAGCGGAAACTCACTTAACTCCAAAAATCTCTCTAGAAAACTAGATTTTAAACAACCAAGCCAGAAAGCAAGCAAACTTTTGCATCTTGATAAAGGTTAGAATATGGCTCTGAGTAGCTCTGGCATCTATAGCTAAATCCAATGCCTTGGAAAGGAGATCGCATGTGGCTTCAACAAGCTTCCTGAGACTTCTCTCAAACCACTGCAGAGCTCCCAGCTCTTTCCTCACCCAGGCAGGCCCTGTACCTCACACGTCCACCTCCTCCCTGTGACCTGGGTGCTGGCCTGTAGCATGTTAACTGCATGTCCCATCACAGTGAGATGCCCAGTGCAGCCACATATCTGGAGACAGCAGGTGGATTAGTGGCTGCCTGGGGCTGGGATGCTAACAGGCTTCTTGATGGGGCCATGGGAACATTCTATCCTCACAGTGGTGAGGATGGACGCACGACTCTGGAGAGACTGAACATCACTGATTTGCACAGTGTTGGGAGGACTGGATGTCGATATAACTATCCAGACACATGAAATCTGACTTCACTCTGTGCTGTTCAAGTAGAAGGGTAAAGAGCAAAAGGAGAGGCAGTGGCAGTCCTGGGGTGCCTGGACCCCCTTCTACCCATGGGCCTGGTATTCACATCTTGAAACCAACTTTTCACCAGTGCCCTACCACAGTCAGTACCTGGCCTAGGATGTCACTAGGGCCTAGCCTGCCTCGAACCAAACAGCTCACAGGAGAGGAGTGCTGAGGCTTGTCCTTGGCCTGTCCCCACAAGCTACTGCCACAATGACCACCTCCTTGGTCACTCACTCCATCTCCCTCCATCATGTGTCTGCAGTTCCCTGCTGCCTCCTGAAATTCACGGCCACCAACTGACTCAGTCTCCTAGAGGAGCACCTGCTGGCCATTCCTTGCCACCCTAGGTGCCCAGGCTGAGCCTGCGAACCCGCTTCTCCGACAATGCCCAGGGGTGAGTGGCTCCCTCTACCCTGTGACCCTGTGCTGCTCTCCCCCAGGCCTGTGCCTCTCTGTGTGCTCAGAAGCACCCACAGCTAGAGGACTCTGGCTGCCAGTGTCCCACATTGTCACACACCCGCTCCTTTTGCCTGCTCAGAATTTCCTGTAACGCAGGGTGGCTGCCAAAGGGCAGGCCAGCTTGCACTTCGGGAAATTTATTGGATGAATTAAGATGCTGTTCCCGGATCTAAGCTGGGAGCTGCCAAATCTCACCTGGGGGCTTCTGACCTTGGCAGACTGCCCTGCATCTGGTCCTCCTCTCTCTGTACCTGCTGTCCTCCTCCTCTGCCCCCAGCAGGTGCTTCCTTCCCCTCCACAGGGTCAAGATTCAGCAGGAAAACTGTGTGCATCCAGATGTGCACCTGCAGCCATCACTGTTCCACCCTCCCCACCTGTCCTCACAGGTGGGAGGATACCCTCTCCAACCACATCCCTCTCTCCTAACCCTGCTGCCCAGGGAGGATCAGACCTCTCCCACAAACCAAAATTCAGGGAGGAGGTTCCACACTGGCACCTGCACTGCCTTGTCTCCTAGCCTCTTCTCTAAGCTACAGAAATTTGACCTCTGCCCCTACAACTCCCTGCGAGGGAGGGGGCTGATCCCCCTCCCCCTGTGGATCAGCTGGGGCCATCCTCCTCACCTCCCTCTTCCTCACTTCCTTCCTGCCTGCGCCACATTCCCCAGGCTAGGCTGTCGCAGTTTTACACCTGATCTCACCTGTGAGAGTCCCCACACCTGCACAAAGTCTTCAGAGCAGGGATGGGGAAGGGCCAGCCCCATTAACGAGTCTAGTCCTGCCAAGGCAACCATAGGCAGGATATGAAATTCAATTAACCCACAGCAGGTTGATTTTACACTGATAACTCTATGCAGCCTGAAATGACAATAAAAATGTCCAATGGCCTTGTCCCTGCTTAAGAGGGAAGCCCAACATCTGACCAGGGCGACTTGGTCTCTCCTAATGGTGCCACCTTCTGATCTCACCTGTTTACACAGGTTCCTTTACCCACCCTATACCTCTGCTTCAGGCATCTCTGGTTCAGTGCCTTCATCTCCCCATCCTTAAGTGAGACCTTCATGCTTTCCCAACCCCATGAGGGCAGTGAAAAAGCACAGAAGCTCCTTGAGCAGAAGAATTAGTGAGAAGGCCAGCTCACCTCCCTCCACCATGGGACAAAATCTGTACATGAAAGCATTGGATCAGCAGCCCTCTGGGACAGTGGAAGAAGCCACATATCCCCCAGCCTGATCGCAGAGAAAGCTCGCCTAACAGCAGGTCAGGCCGGATGCAGGCAGCCCAGTACTGACCTGCCCCATCCTCTGAGTCCATCCTGCCCAGCTGCCAAAGCTCCCCAGAACTCTCATCACTCCACACAGAGCCAGCTCTCGCCCAGACCTGCCTGAGTGCCCCTCACACCACCCCTCCAATCTGACAGCATCTGGAGCCTTACTCCCTGCAGCTGTGCCCAGGGACCAAAGCAATTTTTTTCAGAAAATTCCTGCTAAAATCATGCGTGTGTCCTAGCAGGCAGCACACACAGACCTCTCACTTCTCCAAGAGGCAGGGGATGGCTGTGCGGTATGCAGGTGTATGGGGGATTCCCATCTGAAGGCTGTGGAAAGAAGGGCAGCCTCAGGGGCAGAGTTATGAGCTGCCTGGAAATCAACGCTTCCTACAAACACTTGCCTTCTTCCGTGCCACTGGGAGCACGAAGCACAGCTAGGCTGGGCCTGCTGAAGCTTCTCCACCTGGAAAACCTTGAGTGTCTTATGTTCTGGTCCCTACACCTACCCTAGGGCTCCTGGCCCTGGCCACAGGACTCTGGGGGAAGATCACCCCATGTGCAGCCCCTTTAAATCCACAGCTATTACACCTTCTGGGTTCTAAGGCAAACCTCAGCTCACAGTTCCCACCCTTTACTGGGCTGTGTCCTGTCACCTAGGAGTTACAGAACCCAACCCATGGCAGTGAAGTCTCACCATCCCTCCGCGCACGGGGAGGCAGCAGCGCCCATTGCCCAAGGTGATGCCCACCTGTCCTTTCCTTACCAATTCTGAACTTTCCCTACTTCATGATTCAGTCAGGGGACTCTTCAGAAGGGTCCAGCAAGCCCCTCATTTTTTAAAAGCCCCTCATTTACTGTAGTATGATTTCTATATATTAAGATATGCCCTTCTAAGTGTATAGTTCAACTGTTTTTTATAAGCATGTAACATCTACTGGTGTAAAATCCCTGTTAGAAGGCCACTGCCTGTAATGCTGGCATCCCATAATGGGAGTAGCTGAACTTACACAGGCAAAACTGATTCATGCTTTCATTTGAGAATTCTTTCACCAGCATAATCATGCTGTGCAAGAGGAAGCACAGAAAAATTCCATGCAATAATATCTCCTACAGCTCAGAAAACTGAGAAACACCCTCAGGCACAGAGCAACCACTGCTGGACTGGGTGCTCCATTTTCCATCCAGCTCCCTGCAAACCTGTGAATGTAAGGGATAATGGCCTCAAGTGTGTGGGCCCCTGCATCCACATGGGAGACTCAGAAGGAGTTCCTGGCTCCTGGCTTTTCAGCTTAACCCAGCCCCAGCCACAGTAGCCATCTGGGGGAGAGATCAGCATATGGAAGATTTCTTGTCATTCTGCCTTTCAAACAAAAAAATTAATAAAGTCCTAATTACTAAACACTGTAGTACATTACAGTGGACCATTATGCATTCCTAGAGCAATTAAATATGGTATAAGAAGACACCTATGACCTCAGCTCCTTGGGAGTGGGATGTGTGGCACCTCCAGTCCTTCCTCCCTGCTCCACTGGCAGGAAGCTCAGCTGTCAATCAACACAGCCTTCTCTGGCAGGAAGGAAGCTTGGGAAGAACTGGTATGTAACCTGACATATGCTTGTCCCTTATCCATCAACCACCAAACCAGGAAGGACTGCGAAGATCATCCACTCCAACCCCTGCCATTTAACAGAGCAGCAAGCAGGAGGGCCAAGAAGTCCGGGAACTGATTATAACCTACACTTCAATACATGTTCCCCATGGCTCCAGCAATTCAGCAACACTCCCTATCATGCCAGGCAGAGGCCTCAAAATTCAGGTGGGGGACACCCACAGATGTCACCTGCCAGAGAGACATGCAGCTCCAGCACTCACAAGCCATCTGATGATCCTGAGTCCTTGGGTCCTCACTGTTTGGGGACACGTGTCTAGATGTCTTATGGCACCTAGGACATCTGGGATGTCAATCTCACACTGCCATCATCCCACACTCTCCAGTTTTGGTCAAGTGTGCTTACTGATGGAGCAGTATCTGTCAGTGATGCTCAAAGAGCTACTTCCCCAGTACTCCTCCCAGCACACTAAAGGCCAATCACAGACGGAGTCTCCAGCTCCGACCTCTCAGAAGCTCCCTTGTACTACAAAACCATCCCTCCACCCCATTTTCCAAGCCTGGAACTGACATGCCAGCATCGTGACAGCATCATCGGCTTTACCTTACACTCTTCATCCAGCAGGTCCAGGATCCCCAGCTTGGCTTCTATGAGATCAATGCAGGGTTGGTTGTCATAAAAATCAATCAAGGTCCAGGGAATCTGCTCCTTCATGTATTCTTCTTGTTCCAGTTTGAACACATGCTGGGACAAGGAGTGAAAGGTTGAGATGAGGGAATGGCAGACACCTTGACACCTGCCTTCTCTGAGTTCTGGTTCTAGAAGTATGGTAATTTCACCACTGCATGAGGTTCAGGCACAAAATCACAGTCAAGGTAGCAGAAGCTCCATCAGGTGATTTCCACTCCTTCTTGATTCCTTCCTCCTGGAGCTCTAGTAGCCACCTGTGTTGCTGTACCCCACCATTACAGGTGCTACAAAATGAAGGCTGCTGCCTCGATTTTTTAGAAGTCTAGGTTCAGAGGGACAGGAGTCAGGGAATCAACCTAGCTGCTGCGGTGTAGAGCTCATAAGCAGTGGACAATACTCTTGTGATACCACCAGAAATCCAAGCGAAGGCCCAGGCAGAGCTGAACCCACTGACCTCAGGGGAGAGTGGAGTGGCCACAGTTATCACTCTCAAGAGTGTCTCAGTGTCCCCAACCTACCAAGTTGAACTGCTGCTGGAGCTTCTCGTTGGCATAGTTAATACAAAACTGCTCAAAGCTGTTCACTTCAAAGGTCTCAAACCTGCAGAAGGGATGGGGAAGAAGTGCAAGGTGAGCAGTGTCTGCTTTGCCAAGGCCATCCTCACCCACAACTCTGCGCCAGGCTACCCCAGTCAAGCTCTCCAATCTCCCTTCCCTGCCCTTGTGCTCTCAGATCCCCTGGTTACAGGCAGCAGCACTGCAGACAACCCACCAGACTAACAAAGTCACAGTGAATGTCTGGGGTCTCTCGCTAGGATGAGCGCTGACAGTAAGGAAATTCAGGAAGGGCAAACAGAAAAAATCGGCGGCAAATCTCACTCGTGCCGATTACAATCTCAGGGTTTTCCTCTCCTCCGTAGTTTCATGTTTGGAAAAGAGAATTACTGGTAGAATCTCCTCTCCTGCTTTTTCTTTGCACTTCTCACAGCAAACACTTGCCATCACATTGATCTTTACATCCACCTTGCCAATCACTGCCTGGATCTGGAATTGCAAAGGCATCCAGTGGGGAGAAGGTCAGCAGCCCCTCACCAGCCTTGGATGCCTTCCTTTAGGTCACCCCAGTATGCTTCAGGAGTAGGCAGTGGCCCCCTAAGATACATGCCATCACATAGCCTGGACTCCACTCAGGGACATTTCAGTTCTTTCAGATTGGAGTGACTCTCAGTGTTGTGACAAGCACTGAATTCATGAATCTGTCCCAGAAGGAAAAGTACCACACCCAAGAATACCACACAGGAACTGCCAGGAAGGTAGAACATACATATGCACATGCCGTGTCCTTGTTTTCCTAACACTGGCCTGCAATGAGTTTGTAGCAATCCTATTGGAGCCAGAGTGTATTTCCAAGAGGATGCATCAACTCCCTGGGCAGGTCTTGGTACATTTCTGAGAGCTATCTCACAGCACATAGTGCAGATGGAAAACTCTTCCATTCCAGGGTAAATTTCCTCTCCACACTGCTCCTCACCAGGGACACCTCAGTGCCTAACACACCTCTCTGGCCAGAAGGGTCTATAAGTTTTTGAAAACCTTGAGTTACCTGGTATGAACAAATGCCTCTGTTAGAATTTTAACTCCTTTGATCACAAAGAGGTCAAGAGCTTTCTGTCTGAATCAGTCACCCGTACTTTGTAAACTGTTGGTGATCCTTGGCATATCCTGTTAGGTTCTAACTTTTAAAACAGATTCATTTCATCAACACTGGCATTTGCTGCTCAAATCAAACTTTTGCAATAGAGGCTGAGTGCTGGAGGGGGTTGAGGTGGGGAGTTGGGACCAACAGCCCAGAGGATAGGAGGGGGGAGATCATGTATTACTGAGGTGGCTGGGTCCTGCCTGCTGGTCTTCTAACCAGGGAGCAATGAGGGGATTCTGAAATGAAGAAATGCTGCTGAGACCTCTGACTTAGAGACAGGTAGGAGAAAAGGTGTGATCTGGGGAAAAGTGTGCAAGACCACAAATGGGAAGCCAAGCATGGTCATTAACACAGAACAGGTAAGACCCAACCAGCACCTGGCTGTCGCTGGCATGGCTGAGTGGTAGGAAGGTTCTAGAGACATTGAGGGACGAAGATGAGGATGGAGGTAGTTACAGATGACCCACGGGCCAGGCAGGCATGTGTCGGTCACCAAGCTGTCACTACCATATCATTTGCAGTATCAGCTACAAGTGAGTGCATCCCACCTGGGCCCCAGATACCCAAGTTCCAGGGGAGAGCAGCAATGATTCAGAGAATTGTGGACAAGCAGGGGAGCTTGCCCAGGAGAGGGAGTTTGTGAGAGGTCAACGCTGGGCCTAGGGCTGAGGGGCACAGCCTTCATCTGGCCTTCATCATCCTCATGACTCTCTCCCACCTTCAGTGCAGACAAGTAGAATTTCTCTGATACATTAACTGCCATAAAATAGGTTGCGCCCCTAAACAGAAACATGACAGTCACTCCTGGTGAGGGCTGAGGCTAGCAGCACTGGGGAGACTGCACATGTGCAGAGGGCTGGCTGAGAACAAATTGATCACACACACACACGACGGCCAGGTCAGCACCTGCCCATCACCACATCCACCACCTCACCAAAGTGCCAGGTACAGTGAAATGGGGAAATCACCTTGAGATTAAAGCAGGTCACTGCTTGGAGACATCGACATGAAGGCACAGTCTCTGGCCACACGGGAGGAATTATTCTTGGTTAATTAAACAGGATCAAAGATGCAAACTCTGTACTGGGGTGAGGAAAGCCTGCTGGGGGCATCCCAGGCCAGGCAAAAGAGATGGGGGCACCCAGGCTAGGTGGAGGAGATGGGAGAGGCTAGGTGGGTGTACCCAGGCCAGGCAGAGGAGAGACGCAGAGAGCACCACACAGTCCAGCCCGGATGCTGGATGGCAGCGCTGTAGCCCGGGCTAGCTGGCTTAGAACCCAAGCCCTCCCTTTTCCTGAAAGGTTGCTGACACAGCCGTGTCCAGAGGGAATGTAATTAACAAAACCTAGAAGGAAGATGAAAGAGTCATCCCAGCAAGCAGCCAGTTAATAGCAGTGGGACACACTGGTAGAGCTTGTACCCACTCACACAGAGATTTCAATATATTCCACTTGTCATTATTTTAATGGTTTACATTGGGAGCATTCCACAAAGAATATTCTCATTCATTTGAGATAGCCTGAAACTAGCTTCTAATTTCCCTATTTCTCAGATATTAAGTGCTAATAATTTTATGCCATCCAGTGATGAATGAGGGGTCTTGAGGCACTTGGAAAATATCTAACACATTCGACCTCTGAAAGCCAAGGTCAGAGTAGGGCAGCTTCTCCCACACTAAGGAATTTTCTTCCAGTCCACAGCGAGGACTCTGTAAATGCATGGATCAATTTATGGTTCATCACATTAAAACGTCACCAAAAAATTTATCTACCAGCAGAAATCGGACTTCTCTTGCAAAAATCAATGCAGAGAGTAAGTGGACCAGAACCCTGGGATTGGAGGAAGGTTGGAATACAGAATAAAGATGTGGATCTGAGACAGGCATGCTACGTGGTGCGATGATCATTCACACTGAGGCTTCCCTGCAGCTTCAGAACACAGTTGAGAATCATGGACTCTCTTTTTGCTGCCAGCATCAGGGAGCAGCAAGGACCAGGGGCCCCTCAAAAGAAAGCAGCAGGTGTCTGAAAGCCTGCAGTACAGAGCAGTCAGCCACTACCCTGGCTAACCATTGACCTCAATGCCAGGACCTGGGACCAGAATGGCATGGAGAAGTTTCCAACGTTGGGACATAGAGAGTGGGAACTCAAAGATAACTGCATAGTCATGGCCCTGGCCACCTCATTTACCACAGGCTTCAGATGGGAACAACCCTGGTACCCACTGGGGGACAAATGGAGACAGGAAAGGGGACACATGTGTATAGTAGAGTATCAGTCTATCTTAAACGAATGCCTATAACATGCCCAAACCATGATCTACCTGCAGCATCTCTCAGGCCAAGGGAAGGCAGCCAGTCACAAGGAGTCAGATACAGGTAGAAACCATTTACAGGAAATCTTTCAAGCAGGAGGAAGGCTGCCAGACAGGGTTCAGGTAGGAGAGGGGGGCCCATGGGGCAAGGTATGGGAAATTACAGGGTGCAGAGTCTGGGCCCTGCTGCATGAAATGGCTGTGAAGCACACCCCACCTTCCCACTACAATATGTGTCCACCCAGCAGTGGGAAGTGGTAGATATTCCCTTACAATAAAATAATTTGGAAATATTGTTAAGTTATCTAAGATGTGCCAAGTAGAGTTGGATGCTAATTAAGTATTGGGAAATAGAGTAGCAGAGTAAGAGGACTGAGAAAGATACAAAATCCCAGCACATATGTTTCCTGCTTCCCTGGACCAAAACCTCCCTACCTCCCATCCCACTTCTCCTGATCCCTCAGGCATCAGTTCCCACACCCCGTGTCTCCCACAAGTCTCCCAAGGTCACTGCTCCACACAGGAATGGACTAGCCATACGGAAAGTCCCCAGCCACCTGGGAGCTGTGAAGATGGAAATGGAAGGTAAATACATGTTTGTTTTTCCCCAAGTGAAGCCATTTATTTCTTGTTACCTCAAGGAGGGCAGAGGAATAAAGAAGGCAACTGGCAGTTATTCAAGCCTCTAAAGGCAAATGCTGGTGAATGCAACATGAAGAGGATACCTCAAACCTCAGCTGCCGGGGTCTTCCCTATTCACTCCCACACCCTGTCAAGAAACACCCGGTGGGCAGCTCCCAGCTTCTTGGTTGATAAAGCAGCACTGGGCATTGCATGCTTTGAGGGGTTAGGACTGAGGCGCATGATGCTGGGATGCTGTCCTTATGCCAGGAGCAGGGCAGGCGGCTCCATGCATGGAGGAAATGGCAGCTGTGCCCAGGGTAGTTCCTCTAGGAGGCCAGCCTCTTCCACCACACGAACTACCCCCAACTCCTCCAGAGCACACCGACAAGCAGAGCGGTGCACGAGGCTGGCTTACAACAGGGGACTTTCATAAGGTCAAGGAAATCAGATATCACAGAAAAACTATGCACTGATTTCAAAACAGCTTTACACATATATCCCCAAATAATCCCTGCTTTTAATTATTTTTCTCCATGAACTTTCTGAAATCTGCACTTTTCTTGCTTTCCTGGACTCCAATCCAGTCACTGGTCTGCTTGCAAGAGGCAAGAAGGGGGTCTGGTGTGGTAGCCTAGTGTCTAAATCTTTGCCTTGCATGGCACTGGGATCCCATATGGGTGTCGGTTTGTATCCCAGCTGCTTCACTTTCCACTTAGCGCTGTGCTTGTGGCCTAGGAAAGCCAGAGCCCAGAACTCCTTCCATGTCTCCCACATGGGTGGCAGGGAACCAAGCACTTGAGCCATCACCTGCTGCTTCCCAGGGCATACATCAGGAAGCTGGATTGGAAGCAGAGGAACTGGGATTTCAACCAGTCATTCTAACATGGGGCAGAAGCATCCCAAGGAGTATCTTTAACCACCGTACTACATGCCTGTCCCCTACTTTTAGGACTCAGTTCAAATCCCAGCTCTTGACTGCAAGCAAGGGTTCCCTTTTCAGCCTTGAAACTTGCCAAGCACAAAGTATCTCAATCTTTTGGCAGACCAGCATGCATTCCTTCTGACGCCTCTTGCATTCCGGAACCCTCAACTCTCCAGCATCTTCCTGAGGCCTCTGGGATGGCAGAAACCAAGCTTCCTCCGTCTTATGACAGGTGACTCAGGCCTCCTGCCTGGGGCAGGCAAAGCACCAGAGCCATCACTAGGAGGACCTCTCTGCAGGCAGAGATGGTTGCTTCCCCAGGTGGCTCTCCTTTCCTCCAGCCTCAGCACAAGGCAGGGCCCAGCCTAGGTTCAACCCAGAGGGCAGTCAACCTCACTGGAATGCCAGGGTTCCCACAAGGCTGCCCTGAAGCTCTCAGCCAGACTTCCAAGGTGGAAGATTCGAGAGGATTTCATCTACTATTCCAGAAGGCGGGAGGGATATTGTCAGAAACGAAGTGTGGAGGGGTTTGGAACCCAGTTTATGCAGCTTCAAACCATGGAAGGATCTGGGAGGAACCTCAGACTGCACCACACAACTTCACCGGAAGTTGCAGGAACCGAAGAGCTGAGATGGGCCGTGGTCTCAGTGTTCTGCCAGCTGGTGACAGAACTGAGAAAAGCCCAGTCTCCCAGTGCCTATGTACACCTCCTCGACACCAGGCCTAAAGCATACCATCACAACAGTCGCTTTGATCAGGCAAGAGCACTTACACAGGGGCCAGCACGCCAGCAGAACAGACTGTTTCTCCACTTTCGGGGCTGGCATCCCTTTTGGGAAATAGTTCTAGTCCCAACTGTTTCACTTCCCATTCAGCTACCTTCCTATGACCTTGCAAAACAGCAGAGGATGATTCAGGTCCCTGAGCCCCTGGACCCATGTGAGGGAGTTAGAGGAGGCTCTTGGTTTTGGATCAGCTCAGCTCTGGCTGTTGTGGCTACTTGGGGAGTGAACAAGCAGATGGAAAAAAATCTTTTATTCTCCATGTGTAAATCTCTCTTTCAAATAAATATGAATTAAAAAAAAAACAGTAATGACAACAGAAACCTACACAGCAACCTAACAGAAGGGCTTTAACCGCTTGGCTCCGACAGTGGTCATATAAACCATGAAGTCAAAGGCTGTTCTGAAATTTGGCAGAATGGAGACATCAAACCTGCATCTAAGTTTTGTTTCTCATCGTGAACTCTGAGAACCACGCAGGGCAAATCACTGCCCCCTTGGGCCTCAGTTTTCCAGATGTGAAAGCAAATTCATGATAGGAGAATTACACGTGCTCTGCAGGTCCCTTCTGCCCTGGGACTGCCCACTAGATCACAGGACACTGGGCCCCTCTGGTCTCAGGCTAGTGAACCTGGTTATGGTGACAACCCAAACTTCCCCTGGGTGAGAATGAGCTAGGAAGCTCTCCAAGGCCTCTGTTGGCTCCAGGACACCAGTGGGAAGATGGCTCTGTGGGATGGGAGCATGGCTTACCCATAGATGTCTAGGACGCCGATGAACGAGTGCTGCTTGAGGGAAGTGTGCAGCGCCTTGTTGATGTGCTCCACGATCCAGGCGAACAGCTGGGCATAGATGTGCTTGGCCAGGGCATTGCGGGCATTCACCACCTGCTGAAGGGACATGGTCTTTACGTAGGTCTCTGAGGTGGTGACCAGCTTGCGGTGGCACAGCCAGTGCTCCATCTGACTCTGCTCCACTCCCAGCAGGCGGCAGAAGTTGCTCAGGTGTTCATCTTGGGGCTGGCGGAGTGGAGAGGAGAGGGATCGGTTCAGGAGTGGTGTGGAAGACAAGCTCACTCCTCCACTCAGAGGGAGATCAAGTCAAACCCAAGGTGTCTCTGTTTCTTCCACCCCATCTCTTTCCCAGCAGTGTGTGTCTCTCACCCCTACACACAACGCCAAGCAGAGATGACAATGAGAACATGGGTTTGCTCAATTCATCATTCCACCTGCTAAGGAATATATTCTCATATAGCTTAGGAGGGAATGATATACTGCAAGGCAGGAGCCAGAAGGCAGAAAAGACTCACATGGAAAGTCAGTACCATCTGGCTGAGGTCCACATGCATGGCTACCCACAGCACAGTTCTCTCACTCACAGGCCTAGCTGAATGCTTAGAAATAGCCCCAGGCACCTGAAGGGCCTTCAAGAGCACATGGTCTCTTCCATACGGGACCCTCTTCCAGGTTGGACAGAGGCTGGCTGTGTGCCTGCTGTGCCCAGGTAACACACAGGCCCTGTTAGCATTAGGAGTATGCTGCTGTCTTGGGTTCAAGGATATGACCAAATGGCATTCCCACTCTTCATGCTGGGCTCTCTGGGTGAAACTCGGCCCAATGGCTGACACATAGATAAAATGCTGGCAGCAAAAGATCACTTCAGATACTCTCCCTGACAACACTGTACCCATAGAGAGCCAGAAAAGAACAAGGAGTCCTCTGCTTCAGGCTTCTCCACCATGCAGCTCGGGGCTCACCCCAGGACTATGTCTTCCCACATCCAAGGCACCTTCCCTGGCCCAGCTGCCTCTGAGAGCAACTTTTGGGTCCTAACCCTCATTCACCCAAATCCCAAACACTGCATCCTATCCTGGTCCACATGGCAGTCACATTCCCTTGGAGGCCTTGTGACACCAACCAACAGGTCTCTTGGACCATCCTTGTTGCCCATGGAGAGCATCCTGCAGCACACCTGTCATCCTCCACTCACCCCATCCTCTAACCTCACCTCCAGTCAGCCGGAGGGCTCATTATCTGTGAAGCCAAGAGAGAATTCTCTAGAACACAACGGGTCACCTCCTAATGGCCCCAAATTGCTTGTGAGACTCATTTCCTGATGAGGCTGCCTTGTAGCATGGAAATGAGGGCTTGTTCAATGAAAATGAACAGAGAATGTAGCTATCATTTCTCCCTTAACACTAGAATCCTAAGGCTATTCATTTTCTTCTAGAGGTATTCAAAATCCACCCACTTGAAAACACACACAATTATAAAACAACAGACGGTCAGTTGAACAGACTGGCAGAGTGGGCAAATATCTCAGTGCTTTTGCCCAAGTGCGGTTTATGGAGCAGGAGTTTTCAGAGACATTATAGTGCACCATGGGGAGATGGTGGGAGCAGGTCCAGCACAGTAGCCAGCATTACCCTCCTTGTCAGTTACCAAGAGGCATGTGCTTACCATCTGACCAAAGACCTTTTAGGCCTCTGAGAAAATCATTCAGGAAGAGGTGCCCAGGAAAAAAAAAACTTTGGAACTACCATTTCATCCATGTCCCCTCTGCATTCAGAGAATGATTTGGCACCCTCAACTTCAAGCAGCTGACCTAAGGATAGTGGGGGAGCCAACTGTCTTTGGGTCTGGTGGATAAGGGTAGGCACCCCTAAGTTTTCACGTTTGCAGTATTGAGGGTTGCTGTGGCCACCTCTCCCTGCCACAGCCTCTTCCTCAGTGGCTGCCTTCCTGCCCCTTCCCACCCTGAGCCATGCATGGCAAGGTTAAGTATCTGGGCATAGTTGGCAAGCAGTGAGGTCAGAGGTGACAAACGTCCAGCTTGTTCATCTGACCTGCTCTAGGAAATTCTTCATGGCTAGATCCAGCACTGCAGGTACATTCCATGACATTAGCCTACCACGTCCTCCTTGTCACCTCTAGCCCTGAGGGACAGGGTCCTTGCTCCTTTCTCACAGCATGCACATGGCTGATGGTCGGTGTAAATGAACCTGATGGACCATTGTGCAATTATGCTGAAACACATCTCAGTGATGCTGCAGCCATTCCCCACAGCCAGCATCACAGGTAGATTAATTTTATGGGCCCACATTGTCAAATTCAAGAAACAAATGGCTCTAGGGGGTCCAACTAATCGGGTGCTATTGCATCTCCAAGGTAACACTGGCAATCACAGGGCGCATTCTTAGGATTTAATTAAAAATAAAAACTGCTAGGCAGAAGGTGGGATGTCTGTGGACAGGCAGCCTTGCCAATAGGAGGTCAACACCACAGAGCCAAATAACAAACCAAAATACATTTGAGTGAGGGGCTTTCAGTCACAACCGCACCATCATGCACTTCTTTCTCAAAATAAATTGTATTTATTTGAAAGGCAGAGAAAGAGAACTCTCTCCCATGCCCTGGTTCACTCCTTAAATGACCACAGTAGTCAGGGCTTGGCCAGGAATCACATGATCTCACACACAGTCTCCCACACAGGTGCCTATGACGTTGGTACTTGTCCCACCACCTGCTGCCTCTGAACATGGCACATTAACAGGAAACTGGGATGACAAGCAGAACCAAGACTCAGGCCCAGGCACTCCCACAGGGGACTGAACATGTCCCAAGTCCATCCCAGGTACATTTCTCAAGCTGACTGAGCCCAGCACTGGGTTAGGCATCAGTGGGGGCCACTGGGCCAGTGGAGGACAGTTCCCACTTGAAGAGGCAAAACAGCAGCACAGGGAATGAACTGCAGCTGGGCCTGGGCCTGAGCCTGGTTTTGCTATTAACTCTCCATCTGAGTATTCACAGAGTAAGGAAGTCTCCAGGCCCACCCTAACCCCAACCACAAGTCTGCAGCAGTCAGGAGCTCGACCACCATCAGCTCTGAGCAGGGGTATCCCAATGCAGGAGCTAGTGAGCATTATGCCCACACTCTTGCACAGAAGGAAGTAGCCTCAGGTAGGACATAGCAGCCCTGGCCATCGACGGTCACTCTTCAGCCTCTGACTTTCAGGATCTATGATGCCTGTACTCTCAAGCTGCATGTTGAGTTCCTGTCATCTGCCAAGCCACCTGGGACCCATACATACCTCCACCTCCCCTGTCCTCACTGACCACCCATGGATGCGCTCAGCCTGCCCTTTCCCAAGCTGGTCCTGACCTCCCAGCATACTCAGCAAGCATCAGCATGTGTTGGGGCAGAAGAGTGACCCTAACAGACTTGATCCCAGGCGTGTGTGTGTGTGTGTGTGTGTGTGTGTGTGTGTGTGTGGTAGGGGTGGGCTACAGGCACTGAGCCAATCAGTGCAAACACTCACCTTCCTTCCTGCCCAAGGGCTGGGTATGGGAGCCGGTGCTAAAATCAAAGATTCCCCACACTCAGGCCAAGTCCCAGATTTCCAAAGAGGCACTACCTCCCACTGCACCATCAGCCCTCTACACTGAAATCGGGGTAGAGTCTGGCCTGCCCGGGAGGCTCCAGGCCATAGGTGCCATTCTACACCTGAGTCTCTGAGCTTCACTGCACTGCATCCCCTGCAGATGCACACACAGCTGGACAAACATCAGACATTAGAAACTGCTCTGAGACACCCACCACTGCCAGCTCCCACACTCCCCTCTTTCCTATTGCCCCAGGTAGGTGAGTCACCATGCTCCCAAGGAGCAGCAGGGCTGACACACCCAGAGACCCTCTATACCCAGTGCTGTCCCCTTGGAGGGAAAAGGTGTGAGGCAGGGAAGTGATGAGCTCTATCTGTACAGGCCCAGCCAGCAATAGTTCTGGTCTTCCTCTCCCTGAAAGCAGAATAGTTGGAATTTGGGAAATCCTAACGCATTTCAACAGCAGGAGATTAGCTAATGTCTACTCCACTGAAAGGACCATCAGCATCAGCATGGCCTGGACACTTGCCCACATCCTCCATCTTTTCCCTGCCTCTGGTTCTTTGAATTCCGAGTCCCTAGAAGCACAGAGCACACTCCACTCCTTCTAGGACTCAGCAATAAACGCAAACCAAGGGATGTAAAACAAACCGCAGCGGACACACCCAAAGCCAGATCCCCCAGCCAGCCAGCCCACCACCACTGCCCTCCAGAGAGGATACAGTCACTTCTGTGTGTGTCACTTGCAGGGTCTTGTCCCACCTTCCACCGTGTGGGCACCTTTACCCTTCCCAGTGGACTCTACCACACGCTGTCAGAACCAGCACAAGGGTCTTGCCCAGTCTTAATCTGCTCAGGGCGACTGCAAGCTGCTTTGAAGCAGTTGCAAAGTATGGGGTCCAAAACTCCACCACCTCCTTGCCATGGCTGGAGACCCCACATAAGTCTAGAAAGACCCCAGGAGAAGAACTTGTTGGATTGACAACACGTTACAGGATGTCACATACCTCAGGGTACATGGAAAATCCACCTGTCACAAATGTTTTCTAGAATAGCTATTCAATTCCCCAGCTTGAGTGATGGGAAGTGGATGGCAGGGGATCCAAAAAGGATTGGTTCCCCTACAAAATTATCAACCAGGGAAGAGAAACCACTCCTGCTAAGAATAAATGACCTAGAAGTGTCCTTTGATGATCAAGACCCACTGCAGTCCCATCAAGTCATAAGCAGGGAGCAAGCTAGGCATGTTTTATCTCCAAAACTGGTGTGCAACTCACTGATATACTACAGGAATCCCCATCACGCTCAGACTGAATCTCCACGCTTCCCAGGTGCAGGATGGATGCAATTATCTTGAAGATGCTCATCTGATGGGACTCTCTCACGCCTGCAAGAGAAGACAGACACATGCACAAGTCACACTCAACTTCCCTGATTGGATACAAGGACATTTCTACCTCCTACAGGACTGTTTAGAAATAAAGCCCACTTTTCCTTCCTGGGCCAAGGACTCCCATAATGACAGGCTGCTCACCAAGGAACTGCCAGTCACAGTGACGGCTCAGGGGGGAGGGACTCCATGGGCCACAAAGGTCACATCCCCACCTAGACTGTGCCCATGGCACTAGATAGTTGGTGCCACCATGCTGACTTCTCGCTCTGGACTTAATTTCAACCAAATGTTGTATGAATTTTTTTTTTATGAGCCTAACAAGAATGGTTACTATCTGCAGTCATTTTCTGCCCAACATAATATTCTGCAAACATCTGTGACACACATGTCCAGCACCAATAAGAGAAGAGGACAGGCTTCTCTTGGGACTGTGGTTCCAGGGCCTGCAACGCCAGCTGGCTGGGGGCTACTGTCCCCCATTCTGCCTGCAGTCTCAAACACGCACTTGCCTCAGAACCACAGCAGCACCAGCCATCCTGCTTCTCACTTACACAGGAATGGATAATCTAATAATTTAGCTTAAAAGCAGTCTTTAAAAAAAGACATGTTTTTATTTGAAAGGTAGAATTGAGAGAGAGAGAGAGGGAGGGAGAGAGAGGGAGGGAGAGAAAGAGAGAGAGAGAGAGAGGGAGGAGGGAGGGAGGGAGGGGGGAGGGAGAGAGAGAGAGAGAGAGAGAGAGAGAGAAAGAGAATGAGAGAGAGAATGAGAGAATGAGAATCTTCGATCCTCTGGTTCGCTCTCCAGATGGCTACAAACAGCCAGAACCAGGTCACAGCTTGGAGCTTCTTCAGGGTCTCCCACATGAGGACAGGGTCCCAAGAACTTGGGCCATCCTCTGCTGCCTTCCCAGGCCATCGACAGGAAGCTGGATCAGAATTGGAGCAGCGAGGACTTGAACTGGGATGCCAGTGCCACAGGTGGGGGGTTTAACATGCTACTCACAGCACCAGCCCCCAAAACGGGCATTTAAACATTACAAAATATTCCAGACTTCCAAACAAAAAGGAGCTCAAGTAATGGGCATCAGTAAACCCACCCCTTAGTGTAAGAAATCCAACCATTTCCCAGTCCCTTACTAGCTATTGTCCTTGGTAAATGAGCAGCTCAGAGGTGTCAGGCCAGGATTAGAAATATGCCCAGGAGTGAGCATTTGCCCTAGCATTTGAGACACCAGTTAGGACACTCATATCCCTCATGAGAGTGCATGGTTTGACAATCCAAGTCGACTTCTGATTCCAGCTTCCTGCAGAAGCACACCTTAGGAAGCAGCAAGGCTGGCTCGTGTGACTGGGTTCCTGCCACTCACATGGGAGACATGGATTAAGCTTCCAGCTTCAGCCCCAGCTGTTGCTGGCACTTGAGGAATGAACCATTGGAGCAGGGTTCCTACATTCTCCTTGCCTCTCTAAACAAAATAACACCAGAAAAAAAAAATCCTCCAGAAATTAAGCAACATTAACAGTGGGCTTTCTGGTCAGATGGCCCATACCACGCATGCCTCTCAGGGACAGAGGGGTGGTTTGTGTTGGTTTTGTGAAATTTACGATCATTTGCCCAGTGCCCAGACCAGAGCCTGGTCTGGAAAAGGGGCTAAAAAATGCGAACTATGGGTCAACTTGATGAGGGCTCTGACAAGCTGAGCAAAACACATCCTGCTCCCAGCTCCAGAGGATGAGACAGGCACGTGATGCTGGGGAAGGCACAGGTGCCAGCAGCTAGTGCATCACCTCTCACTGTCAGGTCCTCTCTCCCTTCCTTACCCTGTCTCGAGGAACCAGAGCTGAGCCCTGCCATCATTTCTCCTTGGTCTGCTGGTACCCATTCCCAGAGGGCCCTACAGTGACTTCTGAGACAAGGGGAGCAAGAAGGCACATGTGACCAGTAAGCACCACTCACAGGTGAGACCACCCACCTCTTTGGTAGCCCCAGCAGGGTCCTCAGGCTAGGGCTCCCTAGCAGTGGCATCTCTTGAGCTCTGCTGAGCACAGCACAGCCTGGGCAGCTACAGCCAGCTCCCTGCAGGCCAGGGCGGGTCCACACCCTCTGAGGTGGCTGGCTCTCAACAGCTCCTTTGTGGCCTGTGATTCTTCACCCCAGATATGGCACCTGTCCTTCTGCACCTGCCACTTTTGCACCCCTGAAATCACCTTTCATCCCTTTTCATCATTAATCACCTATGGTAGCTCTATCGACTGTATCTCAACAAGGATGGATGGATATAATCAGCACAGTTGGTCTCACTTCCTGGGTACCAACAACAAATGCTATCCACATAGCACAAGACAGTCGGTGTTCACTCCATACAGAGATGAGGGTGTCTCCTGTCCAGCTTTGCTTTACCTGGATACTGGACAAAACTCTTCTGGCTCTGAGACTAAAGACCCTCACCATGTTGCCCTGGGTGTATCCTATGGCTCAGGAGCTGGATGCTCTGCCAGGGAAGAGACTTGGCATAGCACACGAACTGCCTGGAGCACTGTTATGGGCTCCAGGCTGACTTCCCAGGCTTTTCTTCTCTGTCTGCACGTCCAAGTAGCCTTTCAGCTCCATTCCCCAATCATGAAAGGTTGATGGCATCTCCACCTGGATACAAGTAGTGGTGGTGGTGGTGGTATTAGACTTCTCTACAGAGCATGACAGGGGAAGGAGCGTTTTCCTCCTGCTCGGCTGTTCCCTTAAGGTAAGCTTCCCTTACCCTAACCCTAACCCCTGAAGGACAAGCAGGACTTTCTGACATCAGGCTCCTCCACCGAGTCCCACAAGAAGTCTGAGTTAACAGACCAAGCAGAGTTTGTGCATGGCAGAGTCACCAGGCAGGCAGCCTGCTTTCCACAACATACTCCCTCTCTAAACCCAGAACCCAGCATGAAAAGACATCTGGGTTTTATCTAGTCATTCTGATGACCTGAGTAGGAGAACAATAATACCTGTGGTTATCAGGGAGACAGATTCTTGAATCCTGATTTAAAAAAAATATTCTCATCTACTTGAAAGGCGGAATGGCTTCCCAAATGCCTGCTACAGCTGGGGCCAACGCCAGGAACCAGAGCTCCATCTGAGTCTCTCATGAGCCTGCTAGGAGCCCAAGCACTGCTACCATCACTGCTGCCTTCCCGGCACATCCGCAGAAAGCTGGAGAAGTGGAGGTGTGAACGCTTGGATACAGTGTTCCAAGATGTGGCTTCACCTGCTGGGCCACAATATCTACCTCACAAATAAATCGTAAAGAAAAGAGAGAAAGAGAAAGAGAAAGAGAGAGAGAGAGGGAGAGAGAGAGAGAGAAAAACAAAAATTTTATTTGAAAGATAAAGTTCCAGAAAGAGAAAGAAATCTTCCACCTGCTAGCTCACCCCCACAAATGGCCAAAATATCCAGAGTTGAGCATGTCTGAAACCAAGAGCTTCTTCCAGGTCTGCAAGTGTAGAATTCCAAGGACCTGGGCCATCCACACTGCTTTCCCACATGCGTTAGAAGGTAGCTGGACCAGAAAGGGAGTAGCCAGAATATAAATCAGCACCCAACAGGAATGCTGGCACTGCAGGAACTGCTACACCATAGCATCGGTTCCCCAAATTCTTATTTTTAAGAAAAGTCGGGTCCAGCACAATAGCATAGCACCTAAAGTCCTTGCCTTAAACACATTGGGATCCCGTATGGGCTCCAGTTCCCATACAGCTCCCTGCTTGCAACCTGGGAAAGCAATCGAGGATGGCAGTCGAGGATGGCCCAAAGCCTTGAGAACCTGCACCCATGTGGGAGACCCACAAGAAGCTCCTGGCTCCTGGCTTCAGATTGGCTCAGCTCCAACCATTGTAGCACTTGGGGAGTGAATCATCAGCCAGAAGATCTTCTTATCTCTCTCTCCTCCTCTCTGTATATCTGCCTTTCCAATAAAAACAAATAAACATTAAAAAAAAGTCAACAGGTTTGGCACAGTGGCTCAATTCGCTAATCGTCGCCCCTGCAAACTTGGCATCCTTTATCGGTACAAATTCATGTCCTGGGTGTTCCACTTTCCATCTGGCTCCTTGTTTGTCACCTGGGAAGGCAATGGAGAATGGCTCAAATCCTTGGACCCTATAACTGCATGGGATACCCAGCGGAAATTTCTGGCTTCAGATTGGCTCAGCTCTGGCCATTGCGGCCATTTGTAGAATAAAAAAGCAAATGGAAGACCTTCCTCTCTGTCTCTCCTCTCTGTAAATCTACCTTTCAGGAGGAAAAAAAAAAAAAAGGCTGACAGAACTGCAGCTCTCAAGCCTTGGAGCCTGAGGGCCAAGGCAATTAAGACTAAAACCATGTTCACTGAGGACATAAAAGCTTCCCCATTACCTCATGGCCGTCCTCAAACCATGTGGGCCATGGCCTGGTTCCCTGCCCTCAAGAAGTCAGCACCCACTCTCCCATCCAGAAGCTACTTACCAAGCAGTGTGAAGGCTTGTCGTGTCTTCTCGAAGTCCTCTGCATCGTCTACACCCTCGATGCACGTGTCTCCTCCCTGGGAGGTGTAGAAAAAGTCCTCTGCACATGCTTTGGGAAGCAAGGTGGTGAGGCGTGAGGCACTGGCCTTGTCCCCATGTCACCCACACAAGGTCTCAGTGCTTGAGCACTGCTACCCCAGCAGACCAATCCAGACCCAATTTTAGCGACATCCCTGGATATACTGTTGTCCAGGATTGCAATGGGGAAAAAACAATAACAACAAAACCCCTAAAGAACAAAAGAGAAACCTGCTATCAGACAATGTGCCACTCTACTCAGGCAGCACCAGTACAAGATGCCTAACCCCCTAAAAGCAGTGATGGGCAGAGCAGCTTCATGGGACAAAGTTTCCTCTCCAATGTGTGCTGATATGTGCAAGTTCAACACCCACGTACCTCAGCAACCATCTCACCCATCTCACCCAACCAAAGAGAGGCGGTAACAGCCCCTAGGGCATATGGGCTCTCCTTCTACCTGTCCTACAAAGGTTGCGCTTGAACTGTCTAGGCATAGCAGCAAGTGCAGCCCAAGAATCTTTGCATGTTTGTTTTGACTCTGCTTACTTCAAGAAAAGCCATCAGCGGAGGCCTTCAAAGAGGGGCCTGAGATCGTGTATGTCGGAGTTCAGGTCCAACCTAACACAGCATGGGAGAGAGAATAAACCCACAGTAGGTGCCCACGCTGTTGGAAGGATGGGCTCAAGAGCCAGCAGTTAAGACAACAGGTGCGTGTCATCAAAATGATGCTTGAAAATCACTTACATCACTTACATCTCCAGGAAAACACTCTGGCCTGAGCGCCCACACCATCAGTGCTGCATGGGTCTGGGCACAATGCCAGAAACTGCCAGAGCTGGACTTGGGTGACCCTCCTTGACCCTCCCAGAAACTCAGTGGAGCTTCCTCCTCCTTGGCTGGGTGTGTCCAGTCAGAGGCACCTCAGGTCGGTCCAGCAGGACACACAGCCACACTAAGGCTCCAGGTGCCAATCCCAACACCTGGTCCTTCCTGTTGGACCTGCCTCCTGGAACCTTCTGGAGTCTTTCCCCTTGCTCTGCACCAAAAGCCACTTGCCCCATGTACTCCAACCCCAGACAAAGGCACAAAGCTTATACAGACGAGGGGTTTTACAAAGACAGCTGCATGTGTTTGTGGAAGAACAGGATGCATGTTAGCTCTAAATATTCACTTCTCACCACTGACTCAGTTGCTTAAGTACTTGACACCTCCAGCCACCAGACCAGGGTTATTCATGAAACTAAACAGAGCTCCGGGGCTTACAGCCAATCTGCCCACAAAGCTGCACAAGAACGTATTGAAGGCTCTTCACAAGTATGTGGAAGAGTGCAAGGAACTGATCAGACTGGTTGGCTCTCAAGCACTGTAGCTCAGGGGGTCGAAGGAGAACATGACTTGCAGAGACATGGAATAAGGAAAAATTATTTTCTACCTCAACAGAATTCGTGGACATGCGACCAACTTTAGGAGGATTTCCTCCCTGCTGTTCTATAGTTACATCTTGGACAAAGTGATGCCATGTATAGCCACAGGGAACTTGCCTGTATTTGCCTTTTCTCTATCTGACTTCAACATTTTCAAGTCTCAGGGCCAGTGTTGTGTTATAGCAAGTTAAACTATCACCTGCAATGCCAGCATTCCATATGAGTGCTTCTCTGAGTCCTGGCTGTTCTACTTCCTACCTATCTCTCTGCTCATGCCCCTGAGAAAGCTGCGGAAGGTAGCCCAAATGCTTGTGTCCCTGGCACCCATGTGGGAGACACAGTGAAGCTTCTAGCTTCAGCCTGGCCCAGCTCAAGGCCACTGTAGCCATTTGAGTACTTAACTAGCAGATGGAGGATCTCTCTTCCCCTCCCTCTAACTCTGCTTTGCAAATAAACATATCATTAAGGTTTTCTTTTTTTTTCTTTTTTTTTAATTTGGAGGTTAGCCCTAAAAAGCCAAGCTGAGGCCCATGTCCCACTGTGGGAAGAGCAGGATGGCCATGACCTGTACTATGATCGCCAACCTGGCCACTTGTGACTGAGAGCTGAGACTAGAGCTACAAAGTGCCATCCAGGGCTGCTCAGCAGGTGACACACAGTCCTCCCCTCCATGAGGGCCCAGCAGCCACTGGCCAGCACTGTACACATGCGGAGGACAGGTGGCATCATGCAGAACTCCTTGCTTCTGTCCCAGGGTCAGCATTATTCCCAGGGAGCCTCTGGCCTACCTCTGCTGTGCTCCATTCACAGTTACTGTAATTGTATGGTTCCATGCTACACCTCTGGCACCCAGCATGGCCCAAGTCAATTGCATGGCATTGTCATCAAATTCTGAAGAAATGCACAGAAGGTAAGTGAAGTCAAGGTGGTGCTGACCTACATTGGATGCATTTAATGCACCAGAGCTGCTGGGAGCATGGGTGAGTCTGGCACTTGACCCTCAGGATGGCTACAGTTACAGATTAGGGACAGCAAAGTCCCAGAACTCCTATTTCTCTCATAGCTGCACAGTGCAGCTAGCTTGTCTAGACACCCAGTGTTTCACACCATCTGCTGGTACTGGACCTCCCCCAACACACCCCAAAACATAGATGGCAAGCCAGGGACATGACACTTGGCAGACACGAGGGCGCTGCTAGGCTCCAGGCTGGCTGTTGTCACACACAGGGTGCCAAGGACTCCACGGCAGGAATTGGCCAATGCTCTATAATAAAGCCCCTCAGGGAAGTGGCACCAAGCAAGGGACAACAGGCAATCACCCCACCATCTCCAAAGGATAGGCACTAGGTTGCGGCACCTCCCTCCCACCCAATGCCCAACCACAGGTGCCCTGGAAGCTTTCATACCCACTTGGGAGAGACCCTGGCAGTGCTCAGACTTATCCAACTCATCTTATCCCCTCATCTTATGCTCTCAAATCCTTCAATGTGACTTAAAACCCATAAGCCACATTCACAGCCACACATTCCCCAAGCCTCCAGATCTTCATGGAAAGGGTAGACATCTCATGATGCCTATTGTGCAAAGCACACTCCTTCCCCATACCACCTCATCCTGCCTACACTTCCTGTGGCAGGCCAGCCTGTGTGCCGTGAATGCTACTCGGCACACGTGACTATGAAATTCACAGGGTCTGGAAGCCAAGGCAAGGGCCCACATCAGGGATGCTTGGAGCAGAATCTCCAGCCATATACCCCCAGGATCTGTAAGCACCTGCAGACTTACTCAGTGCTAGCTCTTTAAATTCTGGAAGACTGGAAGCAGCACAGAGCTGGTAAAAGATGTGGTAATTCCTCTCATCATCTGCCTGAAAGAGGAGAAAGCAAAGCAGTTTTAGGGCTGTGATCTCTGAGATTGTGTCTCCATCCCTCCCAACCTCAGATGTCCCTGGCAGAGGAGGCCAAACCTGAAGTCTTCCTCCTCAGCTCTGCCACCTTCACTTCCTTCTTTCTGGCATGCCATCTACTGTCCTGGGTCTTGCCCCAACCTGAGGGCATTTGCTTCCTAACTCATGTGAGAGCCTGCCTTTTCCTTCCCCTTCTGTGTAGGGGCAGGAATGTCACTATTGCTGTGACATTCCAGACACAACATCATGTGTGGGTCAACCAACAAATACCAATTCAACTTCTGATGCCTGACTAGTGCTATGTAGACTGCAGTCTCTTCATGTTCCACTGGCTGGTAAGAATGAGAAGGGCTTAAAGCATCTGGCTGAATGCCAGGCAATTCTGGCCAGCAGAGTAAACTACTGATTTGGAGCTATCAGGTCACACTGCCACCACCTCCTCCTCTGAGCACAGCCAAAAGGTGGGGACAAAGAAGTGAATGAGAGAAAAGAGCAAACCACAGACCCAAGCCCAGGATGCAAGGTGCCACTGCTGCCCATCGTTGTTGGGGTTGTGGGGAAATGCAGAGAGACTCAGGCCAGCTCGGGATCTGTGGCATGCTTAGGGAAAGGAAAGGAAAGCAGAAGCAGGCGGCCAGGAGTAACTAATTTTATCAGTCTACCCAAGAAGGCTCCAGGAAAGGCTCTCATGAAAGCAGAAACCCAGACTCGGGATCTGTGGCATGCTTAGGCCATCACAGCCAATCTCCAGAAGGACGATCTTGTTCCCCACGGTGACCCTGGCATCTAGCTTAGGGCTGGCACGGGACTGAATCTAAACAGCACTGCCTAGAAGGTTTTAAGGCCTCATGTCTACATCACTTGAATGAACATGTACTGACATGAGAAACAGAGAAAATTGGAAGAACAAGGGCATCCAATGCCAAGCTCCAGACATGAGATGTTCTTTGGGCTGTGAGGGAGCAGGGCACCCACAGGAAGGCAATCCTGGGGCTCACATCCCACTACTCACCTGGAAGACCACTCTGGACTTCTCCAACAGGTAGGTCCTCATGTTGGCCCCAATGATGTGGTACCTTTTGTCGAAGCCAATCTGAATGTACTTCCCAAAACGACTGCTGTTGTCATTGCGCGTGGTTTTCGCATTGCCAATGGCCTGGTTGGAACAAATGTTGACAAGAAAAGGTGCTCAAGAATCGAGGACTGGCTACATTTCATGACAGTGTCCTTGTGACAGCATCCGCCTCCCTGCTCTGTTACTAAGATGACAACGGGGCCAAGCTACAGAAAAAAAAACAAATCCTTCTGTGTTTATTCTACTTCCTTTGGATGTCTGGGAATAGTTGGTATCACACTGCTCTCCAATAATAAATGCTACTTTTTAGAAACAAAGTGTAAGTCAGCAACTGTTCTCTTACACACTTCATTCTTGGGGCAAATCAAGAAGCTGTCATTTTTCTTGGAATCATTTTTGCACGTTGTAGTACAGGCACATTCAAAAAAACCAGAATTTTAGGAGTTAGTGTTGTGGCATTGTATGTGAAGCCACGCCTACAACACTGCCATTCCAAATGGGTGTTGGTTCCTGTCCCAGCTGCTCTAATTCTGATTCATCTCCCTACTAACATGAGGTCTAAGGAAAGCAGTACAAGATGGCCTGAATACCTGGGCCCCAACACCCTTGTGGGAAAGTAGGGGAAGCTTCTGGCTTTGGTCTGGACCAGTGCTGGTCATTGCAACCACCTGGGGTGTGAACCAGCAAATGGAAGTTCTCTTTCCCACTGTTTCAAAATTTAAGTAAGTCTTTAAAAAAAAAACCTAGAATTTAATAATTTTTGAAAGTGGCTAAAAAACTAATTTCATGGCATGAATATTTGTTTTTTATTTTAAAAATCACATTGTTAATGGGTTAGTAATAGATACATTAAATATTTTCATTACTTGTGCAGGTGTTGTGGCACAATAGGCCACTGCTTGGTTTGCCCACATCCCACACTGGAAAGCCAGTTTGAGTCCTGGCTGCTCCACTTCAATCCAGTTCCCCTCTGATGTGCCTGGAAAGCAGTGCATGATGGCACACATGACTGAGTCCCTGCCACTCATGTGGGAGACCTGGCTTTAATCTGGCTCAACCTTGGCTGTTATGTCATTTGAGGAATGAATGATGTGCTTGCTCTCTGTCTTTAAAAAAATTATATATACATATATATATAATTAATTCTTGAGCTCTGCCTGGTAACCTAGTGGCTGAATTCCTCACCTTGCATGCGCCAGAATCCCATGTGCACCCCGGTTCATATCCCAGCTGCCCCACTTCCCATCCTGCTCCCTGCTTGTGGCCTGGGAAAACAGTGAAGAATGGCGCAAAGCCTTGGGACCCTGCACCTGCATGGGAGACCCAGAAGAGGCTCTGGGCTCCAAGCTTCGGATTGGCTCAGCTTCAGCCATTGCGGCCGCTTGGGGAGTGAATGAAAAGATGGACTATCTTTTCATTCAATAAAAAGATATGACTTTCCAATAAAAATAAATCTTCAAAAAAAATCTAATCCTTTCTACATGTTGACATTGTCAGGTGGTTCAAATACTTGAAAAATATCTACTTGAGTAGTCTTGGAAATGAGAAATCAAGATCCCAGCCTACCTGCCACTCTTGCCCAGTCTCACTCAACCCTGATGACAGAACTCCATCTCCCAGTGCTCCAAGCTTTGCAATGCTGTGCTGCATCAGTTGCAAAACCAATAGGAGCACGAACACGCAGCCAGAAGCTGACCAACAGCTAATGGGCACAAATATGTCCTGTTAAGTCTGGACTGGGAAAACTTGCAGATCCTCAAAGTCTTGAGCCATGCCCTTGTTCATTTGTAAACCAAAGCCTAGCCCTGCCCAGAGACATGAGCTGGCTCAGGCCTGCAACCACCTGTCCACCCTCCACGAACACTTGGTGTGAGGTTCCTGCAAGTCTAACAGAAACATTTTACTGCTTTCACAGAAAATGTAGTGGGTGGAGCAGCATGATAAACAACAGCACAAAGATGTGCTTAGCAAGGGCAAGAGGGGAAAATGTGCAAAGGTCTAGTTTCAATACTTCAGTTTCTACTCCAAATTTCAATTTAGTATCTCAAAAATTCCAATTTCTTAATGTGTAAAACAGCATGAAGATCCTTTGGTACATTTCAGATAATTACTTATTACACCCGAGGAATGCCCTGCCCAGGTTCTTAGGATCACTGCCAACAGATCTGTCTACAGCCTACAGATTTCCATGGGCGGCCCTGCTGATCTGAGGGCTGACTGGGCATATCTAGTAATACTGCACAGGCATGCACCTAACCACCAGCAATTCTATTTCTAGATAGTACCTAGAAAATACCCAAGCACATAAGTGACACACAGGGGGAATATTCAATACCAGCTATTTCTAAAAATAAAATACCACCTAAATGTCTAGCAGTAAGGGGAATAAAACACAGTATATTTATATAATGGCAAACTCTAAAGCTATGAGAAGAAATGAGTACCTACTTTCCAAAACACATCATGGGCTTAGTGTTGCGGGCCACCGGATTAAGCTGCCACTTGAGAGGCTGGCTTCCTCTACCAGACCACTGGTTTAAGTCCTAGCTCCTCTACTTCTGATTTAGCTTCTTGCTACTTCTGCTAACGGATAGTAGCAGAAGATGGCCCCAGTGCTTGGGCCCCTGTGACCTGTGTGGTGGACCTGAACAAAGTTCCAGGGTTCTTGGCTCTGGTCTGGCCATCATGGCCTGTGTTTTTCTCTATTGGTCTGCCTTTTAAAATAAATCTTTAGAAGAAAAGAAGGCAAGCAAGCAGGAATGGCTTTAGGCTATGAAAACAGATGTGAATCTAATGTGAGAAACCTCCCAGCAGTAGGGAAGGAAAAGGCAGTCCCCTTGTCATTGGTGTGTAGGCAAAAGGACGGGCAGAAGAGTAGGGAAGGGGAGCTGTCCAAACCATGTTTGGACTGGCTGATGCAGGGCATAAGGTAGGCATGCTGGGGCAGACTTGGGTATGACGGGGTTTCTCGTTTGCATTTTTAAGAAAAATTTGAAAACTATGCATATCTGGTCTTGATTTCTCTTTTGCTCACTGAGCCCCTAAATCTCCTTCCCTTCTCCCAGGAAGAAGGGGCCACTGTGGCTCTGAGCTGCAGACACATGGCACTCCAGTGTGGACGAGGGACCTGTCCCTGCTCTGACAGGCTCTTGATTAGTGCCATTCGTTTAATCAGTGCAGACTCTGAAACAACTTGCTCATGGGAAGCCAACCAGTTCCTGATTAGAATGGGGTCAGAGCCTGCTGGTGCTACAATAAATCAGCCTGGTCCACTCCAGCCAGTCCCCAGCCAGCCTCAAGTTGCTGTGACTTCCAATGGCTGTGGTCTAGCGCAGCCCTGCGGGGAATGCGCCTCCTTTCCTGTCCTGCCCTTGGCCTCCCTAGATGCCATCTGCAGTCTCTGAGCTGAGAAAGCCATGAGATGACAGTGGCCCAGCTGACTGCTTCCTCAAGAGGAGCTACACTTTTCTGGCACAGGGCAGCTCACCAGCAATCCAATGTCCACTGTGCTGGTTCTAACCCTGAGGACACAGTTCCACTTGGAACCTACACAAAGCTGTGTCTGTAGCCACAGGCAGAGTAAAAAGCCACACTCTTTCTAATCCCACCCAGGCTTTTTTCCCCCCAGCTACACATCATCTCCTCCATGGTCACATCCAAGCTTTCTCTAAAACATGACCCCTCCTAGTAGTTCAAATGAGAATCCCTATGATGGCAAAATTCTAGTGTACAGATGGGATCCTGGGACTTGGGCACAAAGATCGCAAATAACCGATGTGCACATGACAGAAAGCCAACACAACGTGTGCAGTCTAAACTATTGCATAATCTACTTAGATCACATGGGACTGTGCAGCATTAGGTTAGCTCAGGCAGTTGCCCCTGCCCCTCTAGACACTAGCAGCTAGACTGCATGTGGTGTATTTTGCATGTTACTCCTACACATCTCTTATGCCAACATATTCTGCTTCCCTCCCACTCTTCCACAAACTGCCAGCTGCTTGACCACAGCAGGTTTTGCAAACACTGGAGTACCTTCAAATGAGCATAATTTGGAAGTCATTTCCACAGCAGAAACCACACACACACACATCCCAATGGCCACAGCACCAGTATCCATGGTAGTCCAGAGGTAGACACAGCCCAAGCATCCACCACAAGGGCAAAGGAGCATGTTCACACACTAAATATCACCCTGGCACCCAAACCAAGCAAGCAGCGAGACACAGCAACATGAAGCTGGGAAGCTACATAAAACAGGGCTAATACTGCACAATTCCACTTGAAGCAGGAACCCAGAGCAGGCAAATTCACATAACGTATAAGAGAGGCTACCAGGAGTGCAGGGAGGGTGAATGAAGAACACTCATGTGACAGGCAGTTTCTGATTGAGAGGAGAGGTGGGTTTTTTTTTTCTTAAGATTTATTAATTTTCATTGGAAAGGCAGAGAGAGAATTTAAATAGAGAAGAGACAGAGACAAAGCTCTTCCATCTGCTAATTCACCCCGCCAAATGGCTCCAACAGCCAGAGCTAAGCTAATCTGAAGCCAGTAGCCAGGAGCTTCTTTTGGGTGCAGGGTTCCAAGCTTTGGTCCATCCTCCATTGCCTCCCCAGGCCACAAACAGGGAGCAGGACGAGAAGTGGAGCAATCAATACATGATCTGGCACCCGTATGGGATGCCAGCGCTTGGATGAGCCAGATGAACTACTCTGTCACTCCCGACAAAGTTTTCAAAGTAGATGATGATGGCTGTGAAAGCAGTGTGAACGCACATAATGCTATAGAACTGTATACCTAAAATAGTAAACATGATAAATTTTATGTCATGCATATTTTGTTATAATAAAAACTAAAGCACGGCCCCTATATCTTATAAATACACAGTCACATGGTGACCTAAGTCACGGAGGAAATGACAATGACTGTGTTCACTGGTGATCGATGAGGACACTTCTACTCTGCCCAGAATAACCACTTCTTTCCCGTCTCTCCAAAACCTTATGGCATAAAAGCTTAACTGATTATTGAAATTCAGGGCAAAAAGGCAAGCCTGGTTTTACGCCTATTCTGAGGAAAACAAGATGTTCCTTGTTGATTCCATGTAAGGAGATTCCACAAGCACAGGATCCCAGGGAAGCTGTGGTCAATGAGCATCTTTTGAAAGGCCTGGTCTACAACTCAGGGTTTGGAATCACCACCCAGAGTAAACAGGATCCCAACTAAACACTGAGCAATGGGGAGATCAACTACGGTCAAGCATGTAGAAACACTGGGTGGGGATGGGGCTTATGCTGTAACAGGTGGGGGAAGTCTACCCGCTGCAGGGTTATGAGCCCTCCTTTCCTATCATTCCCTTTCACTGTCATGTTTTTCAGCGGGAGGCCTTCACATTCTTTCAGTAGGGCAATGGTTCTCTGAGTATGGTGCCCAGATCAACAGTGTGAGCTCACCTGGGAGAAATGCATATTGCCATGTCCCTCCCCAGACTTGCAGGTGAGATCCGGCAATTTGTGCTTTACAAGACCCTCAGCCCAGGGCTTGGAATTAACACTGAGAGCAAATACTTGGCAGCGAGGTCAAGCACATAGGTACACATAGCTGTGATGCTAGTGCGACAGTTCAGCATGAGAAGCCTCATAAAAGTTCTGATTCTGAAACGTGGTTCATTCTTGCAGCATCTAACATTCACAAACTGCTCTGGCATTGCACTTGTGTCTATCCATCCCAGGGCATTCACAGCAATGCCAGGATGATGCATGCATGATGTGACCCAGGAGCTGTCCTGGGTGCTGTCTTCTGAGGCCGTACAATACACATCTTGTCTCTAGCCACCTCTTCCCTGCTCCCTCAGGATAACATACATTCATACAAGTGGTTAAAGGTCCTCGCCTTGCACGCCCGGGATCCCATATGGGCGCCGGTTCTAATCCCGGCAGCCCCACTTCCCTTCCAGCTCCCTGCCTGTGGCCTGGGAAAGCAGTCGAGGACGGCCCAAAGCGTTGGGAACCTGCACCCGCGTGGGAGACCCGGAAGAGGCTCCTGGCTTCGGATCGGCATAGTATCGGCCCGTTGCGCTCACTTGGGGAGTGAATCATCGGACGGAAGATCTTCCTCTCTGTCTCTCCTCTCTGTAGGCTTTCTGCCACTTCCCAGCAGTCCAGGCTGAGCTTTCCAGGAGGAAGTTCAAGGCCCTGATATCCTGACACACAATGCCAGCAGGGAAGAGGACAGCAGTCAGAGGCAGGGCAGGGGAGGGTGATTACAACACTCAGCAGAGAACGTGAGGATACTGCACCGACATGTTGACCTGGGGGCACAGGCAAATCACAACAGCCCCAGGTGTACAAGGCCTTACCTCCATGATGGGACTAGATGCTAGGACCTTCTCTTCAATGTTGGTGTCACTGGCTGAACCACCAACGGTGGCGAAATAGCGCATGGAATACTTGGCTGACACGGTCTTCCCAGCTCCAGACTCCCCGCTGACTATGATGGACTGATTTTTCTCATCTCTGGAGAAAGGGGAGAAAGAGCTGGTCAATCACTGGCCCTGATCAGGCTCTGGTGCTTTCAGAGATGCTGGGACAGGGGTCTGAGTCTCATTCAGAGTGCCTTTCCCATGTTCAGGGATACCTGTGGAGGAGCAGCCTATCAACCTACCCTCCTGCATGCACCTGCTAGAGATGTGCAAGCTGAGAGGAGGAAGGCAGTTCCCAGAACAGCTCACCAACAGCAAGGGTCCTCTTCAACACACCAAGGGAGACACAGCCAGGTCACTCACCCAGTTCTCTTTGGGTGCAGCACTCCTAGGTCACCCCCTTACACAATCCTGTTTACTTAAACACATGCTCACTTTACACACTCACCTTTGAGTCCTTACCATGTCCAGCACAGGCCCCTGCCCACCTCACAGGTCTCAAGGATCAGGGCCTTCTCTTTTCTCACTGCACCCATGCTGAGCATGCCAGCACATGGACTCTGGGACACTCCTGCTCACACATGGCACATGGCTAAACACTAGGCTGGCCCTGCCTCAGCCTTTCCCGAAGTTAGATCAAGAGGTAGGCTCTCCCTGCAGCCCTGGTTCTGTCATCAACACACTTTCTTGGCCACAGAAATCACACTGCACACAACATATTTCCCATTTCATAAGGGCACTGCAAACATTACATGGGAAATGGAATTCAAAGAGGAGTTTATTTTCATACATAAAAAAATTTTGAAATCCATGTGTAGTTTTTTCACCATGTACATTTTTTATGAACATCAGAATGTGTTCAACTTTATTTACTTGAGAGGCAAAGCTACAGAGTGAGAGCAAATCCTAGAGATCTTTCATCTGCTGCTTCACTCCCCAGAGCTGGGCCAGGCAGAAACCAAGAGCCTGGAACTCATATAGGTCTCCCCCATGGGTAACTTGAGCCATCATCTGCTGTCTCCCAGACACAACGACAGGAAGCTGGATGGGCAGTGGAGCTGGTTTTCAATCTTAAATGCTCTGCAATATGGGATATGGGTATTCCAAACAGCAGTTTGACCTACTGCACCACAGTGCCTGCTCTTCCACAGTTATATAAGTCCCTCTGTATGCAGGGACTTCAAAATGTTCATGTACCAAAATAGCCTTACTTTGTACTCCATTTCATAAAGCCTTAAAACTTTTTTTATTTGAAAGAATAAACAACCAACAGAGAAGGAGAGAGGTCTTCCATCCACTGCTTAATGGCCACAATGGCCAGGGCTGGGCCAGGCCAAAACCAGCAGCTTCTTCTAAGTTTCCCACATGCATTGCAGGGGCCCAAACACTTGGGCCATCTTCCATTACTTTTCCCAGGTCATTAGCAGGAAGCTGAACTGGAAGTGGAGCAGCCAGGATAAAAACTGATGCCCACATAGGATACCAGGACCACAGGGGTGGCTTTACCACAATGCCAGCTCTTGAATTCCATTTTCTATCAAGTTTCTGAAGTGTCCTTATGCTTGCTGAAGAGTGTACAAAGTGCCATGTATCCTTCTTAGGCCAGATTTTACAGTTCAGTCACACTGGGAACACACATCAGTCCCCGACGACCACATGCTTCTTTGCTTCACCGCTTGTCAACGGTGTTCCCTCCAACCAATGTCAGCTCCCACACACACCCTTGTCCTAAAGGCTCCCCACAATCTGCATCAGGCCATCCATCTTTACTGCCTGTCCAATTACCCTGGATGCTGACTGTTTCTACATATCCTTGTCACATCTCATCATACGTAAACATCAGCTCCTGATGGTCCCTTTTCTTACTCTCGGTGATTTCAGGTTGCTTCTTCTTTTGTTTCCTAGTCCTTCTCTCTTTTCATCTCAAAAGTAAAGGGCTATGACTTGAACTCTCTCAGAGACTGCATGTGTTTCTGATATCTGATAACTAAAATCCTAACAGGAATTGGGGAAGGGAAAAGTTCTTCCTTCCAAATTTCAGAAGTCTGGGCTAGGTTGTAGGAGAGAGACTTATAGGAATGGAATCCTACCCAATGTCCTCTTTCAAAGGTATAATTCCTATGTGGCTCCATCCATTCAGATCAATAATCGAGACAATTTAAGTGGCAACTTAATCCGCCTTTCAATGCATTCTTATTTCTTAAGACTGTTGAAGTTCCCTTTAGACAAAGTAAATCATGACTAAGAAATCTGGTGCTCAGGTTGTCTTCAGGAAGACAAACACTAACCCCAAGCAGCAAACCCCATAGGGCCTAACCCTCAAGAGCAAGAGTGCAAGAATTCAAGATCAAAACCTCAGCTGTTCTGTGGCTCCCAGGCAAGACACCTGAAATCAACACAGATATATACAGTCACAACTACTTCCCAGTTTAGTCCAGAGCTCTTATGACATAGAAGATGAGAGAATTAACTGCTGCTAAATCATCCTGCAAAAGTTGCCCACCCCACCAGTGCAGCGGTTTAAGCTCCTGACTCTCCATTTCCCGGTGGGATCACCTGCTAAGGAGGGTGGCACAGGTGACTGTCATGGCACCTGGCAATCAGGCTACCCAAAAAACAGCTCTGCTTATCAGCCAGCTACTACTCAGAAGAAATCCTGCTCAAGTGTTTACTGTCTTGTTTGCGTGTTTTGCACCTTGATTTGTCACCTTTAGTCTTCCAATTAGCAATATGTAAACAGAAGCCACAGGGAAACACCGCTCAAATCTCAATGCTGAGACAGAAGCCCTGGGAAAGGGATAGAAGGCTGATGCCCTGCAAGCAGCCTGGCCAGAGACACGCCTGCAGACCGGGTGACACCTGGGGTAGCCTGCATGCTCTAACAGCCACAATCATTGCACATACTAGCCATTAGACAGAGGGCAAGTACTGCACTTTAACCTTAAAACCTGGGGCTCCTGGCCCCAAAGCCACCCATCCTTCATGTCCCAGTGCATATGAGAGGTACCAGCCCTGACTCACTTCAGCTACCATGGACTCCTCCCTTTTTCTAAGGCCCCTGTTAGCACCTCCTCTTAAGCTTGCCTCTGAAAAGAGTCTGGCTGCATTTCTACAGCTTATAATCTAGGCCACTGTCATCTATGACATGTACCACAACCACAACACTAACCTCCACTTAAAATTTAGCGAAACATTTCTTTTTAAATTTCACTTATTTAGAAAAGCAAAATGAAATCTTCCATTTGTTTGTTGGGTCACTCCCCTAAAGACACCCCCTAGTACCCAGAGCTCATCTAGGTCAAAGCCAGAAGGGACTATAGGAATCCAAGTCCTTGCGCTATTACCTGCTGCCTCCCAGGGTGTGCATTAGCAGGAATCTAGAATAGGAAACTGAACACAAACACCCTAATACACAAATTGGGCATCCCTGTGCCAAACATCCACCCCTGCCTTTTCTTCTTACCCTCTTCTGAACACATGCTGCTGGTGCAACTTTTTGTGTAAGTATCTAACCTACCTGCCCCCTTCCAGTAGCCTACATGTGCCTCTAAAAGAGGTCCACACCCCCACAGTCAAGACACTCTTGACCGAGCACATTCAAGCCACTGAGGGCTTCCTCTACTCTTGCCTGTGATGCAGCCTGCAGTTATTCCTGCTCCAAGAGATGACCCTCTTCTTTCATCTCACAGTTCCTAATGCCTGGTACTCCATCACATGCTGTCTTCTGCAAACTCACATATGATTGCCTTTCAGTGTGATTCATTACCATCTTTTTACACCACATGCGACTGGCTGACCAAACTCTCGGCCACGTGGCCTTGCTCAGGAGCCCTAGGCTCATGGGTGCCAGTCATCCTATTATAAAGAATATAAAGCACAGAACAGCCAAGTAATGTGTCTAGAATTACTTAGCCCTTGACAAACTGGACACAGGCACCTTTCTGCTCCTGGGGTTTTCCATGGGGTGATACAGCAACTTATCTGGATCACAGAACCCCTTGTTGTATCACAGATTCCAAGCCCTGGGTTAAAACTGAACAGTAAGTCTTATAACACTGCACTGGTGGTTCTCCCTTCTACACCATGTTCTTGCCCCAGCCTTCCCTGCCAGAATGTAAATCCTGTGATTTTGACAGGTAGGATTCAAGTGGGCAGGCCAGCACCGTCCACGTCCAGACAAAAGCTCTGGCAAGACTATCTCACGTGGTGGGACAACACAGGGCTGTCCTAGGAGGAGGCCCTCAGGTAACTGCCATGTAGAGGGATAGGCCAAGCCCAGCATCTGCAGCATCCCAGTGGGCTACAATTCCTTGCCCACTCAGGTTCCTGCCTCATGGTCAGCTTCCCCACTGCTAACCAATGGAAAAGGGACTGTCTCTGGATGGGGCTCTTGAGCCTCCAACAGGTTCAGCTGTGATTCCCAGAACTGAGAATTCCCTGAGTGTGAGAAGACAAGGGGCAGGCAGCTCAGGCCCCAACACATAGCCCCTGGGAAAGGCAGAGCTTGCTATGGCAGGGCAGGAGGCCTGCCCACCTCTGAATACATCCTTAAACCCCTCTATCATTGCCTCCTCACAGGACAAAGCACCAGGGGATGTGAGCCAGGAGTCTTCATTCTGTGTTTTGAGAGATCATTGACCCTCCACCTCCTACCTTGATGGGCCTGTCTACACTCTAACTACACCATCAACACATCACAAATCCACAAAGCTGGCTATGCCAGAAACTAGAATACAAAGACCTTCTCATTAAGAACATATGTTCAGCAATGACATTTGTGTCAGTACCATGGACAGAGTTAGTGGTTAGGAGACAGGCTAGGCAAACAGGGCTATAATGAATCTTTGCAACAAGGCAGACTAAAAACAATACTAACCTATGGGATGACACTGCTATGTATGTCCAAACCAGCAAAAACAAACAATGGTTAGAAACACACAGAACCATGAATAAAGACAGTAGCAGAAACAAGGAAAGTTAGGCGAGGAGAGAGTCAAGGGGCAAGTGAGAGGGCATATAATGCATCCTGGGCACCTGGAGGGAGCCTTGTGTGAGGGCTCCTTCTGGACCAGGGTCCAGGAATGGAAGTATCATCAGGCCTCCCTATGGATGCTGCTACCTAGTTCCCACACCCCACAGTGTACACCTCCTTGTTCACACCCTCACACTGCATATGCTCTCTCCCTGAACGGGCCACACTCTTGGCATAGTCCAGCACTCAAGACAGGGTGCTTCAGAAGGCATGAGCAGTCAGCATCCTAAGCATCTGCCAAGTAAAGATGATCATGAACACCCCCACCACCGCCCCTAATGAGGTAGGAGGCAAGCACCTTGTGCACTGAGAATCCATGTCTCATTTTCCCTCCACAGTTCCACAGCGGCACTCAGAACACCATGTTCTATTTATGAACAGCTGGGTATACTGTGATACATGTGCTAGCAGAACCAAGCTGTCCTTTACTGTT